GAATTGAGTTTGGATTTCTCGTTTGGAGAGTTGTGGTTCCGCAAAAGCAAAGCTGATGATACTCTGGACGCGACTACGAAGTACAAGGGATTCTGCCGGGCGGTGAAACAGGGGCAGCACTACCCGAATGGTGCCCCGAGCCCGTTTTAGGTGTCAACAACAAGTTACCAGGAGGTACTGTGTACGTAGTTGTTGACACGCAATACTATATACTATATACTATATTACGATACTGCAGAGTATCCAGGTACAGGATGCCTGAATGCGTACCTGGACACCTGTGAAAATAAAGCTCTCTCTCTAATATAAATTCACAGCCAAGGGGAGTTTATTAGCAATACCTTAGGGGGTACAGTCACGTGCCTTACCTCACCCGCCCCCCCCCCAGCCAAGCACCGTCCAGCAGCCCCAAGGCCCAAAGCGGTCTACCGCAGCTCACGACTCCCCGTGCTGTGTGCATCACCACCCCGTCAACCTCCCCCCAACGTGATCCGCATCCTGAACCTGAACCTGAACCTTAACTTTATCCTCTCCCTCTCTCCATCCCGTCCCCTCTACTATCACCCCAATACCTCCCAGAATATCACCACCCCTCCCTCCCCCACTGCCTCGGATCGTCGAGAAGCACTCCTTCAAGCCTCTCCCTTCGTACCCTCTCTTTCGCCCTCATTTGATTCCACCAAGCAACAGTCATTTGAATTGCACTGCAGCACACCCACAACCGTACCACTCCCGCCGCAACCCGCGCTGCGTGCATCTCCATCATGGAGCATCAGCAGAACCAGCCGCCCCAGGGTGGTGTCCCAGGCCCAACCGGCCGGAGACTTCATATTGCTCATCGCAGGAGTCCGTCGGAGCTGACGCCGCTCATGAGCATGTTCTCCTCGCCCGGCAGTAAGTACAGCTAGTCCTTAGAGGCTCCGCCTTGCATCTGTCGTCATCTTTTTTTAATTGGGATGCCACCTATGATATATCATCTTGCTGATCAACTCCTCTTCGTACAGTGGAACAACTAGCTATACAACAGCAAATCGAGCTACTTCAACAGCAGCAACAACAGATTCAGGCGACCCATCAGCAATATGTCAACATGGGAATGATCCCGCCGGCCCAGCACCTAGCTCCCGGCGGATACAACCCTCTGCAGCCGCAGATGCAGAACCTGTCGCCGCAACCTGGCTTCCAGTTCCCTAATCAGATGCAGCAGCAACAGCCCCAGCAGCAGATGAACCCGCCGATGGGCGCTCCCACGCAACCCTTATCACATCGCCGTAATCAATCGGCACTTCCCAACATGGGAATGGGCCCACCACCAGCTCCATCATCCGGAGCTTCGGGTTCCGCGTTTGGCGACTTTGGAGGACATCCTCGAGAAAATAATAACACCCGTGGAGGTCGCGGGGGCGGACCTCCCGGTGGTGGGCACCAGCGGCGTCACTCACTGGCATTACCTGAGGCCAAGAAGGCGGCAGAGCTTGCCCAACAGAAACGAACTACATCTGGATTTCAATTCCCAATCCCAGGCGCCGCCGGCGCAGCTCCAGCCGGCGCCGAGCGGACGGATAGCCCCTCGGGCGAGGACAAGAATGCACAAGGACAGGCTCCTGGAAATCTTTCTTCATCTGCCCCTAGCCTGCGTGGTCGAGGCGGTGGTCATGGCCGCAGCCAGAGTATGGCTGTTGGAGCCAATGGCCGTGGCGGGTCTTCCATGCGTGGAGGCGGATCATTCCAATTTCCTCCGATGCAAGCCACTGCAGATGCCGGCGCGAGCGGGCAGGGCAATGATTTCCAGAAACGAGGCTCCGTGGGCCACAATCGTAATTCGTCCCGCAACTTTGAAGGGAACTGGAGAAACCAACCAGCTCAGGGACAGCAGGACCAGCAAGGGCCCATGGGCAATTTCCAGGGCCAGCAACAGCAACAGGGCGGCTTCCAGCCTGGACATCGTAACCGTGGCTCCGTCAATCAGTCTATCAACTCTCTTGGCTCGTTCCAATATGGAAACCAACCCCAGCTGGTGCAATTACCACAAGGTCAAATGGCACTCGTTCAGCAGCCCCTATTTCCCGGCCAACAATTGAATCCCCTACAGATGAGCCAACTCCAAGCTCTTCAAGCTGCTCAAATGAATGGTCATGTTGGGCTCCAAGGAAGCCAGCATGCGCCTCAGCTTTCGTCGCAGCAACAACAGCAGCAGCGCAAGACCCTTTTCACACCGTATCTCCCTCAGGCAACACTCCCAGCGCTGCTCGGAGATGGACAACTCGTCTCTGGCATCCTCCGCGTCAATAAGAAAAACAGGAGTGATGCTTATGTCTCAACCCAGGATGGGTTGCTTGATGCGGATATTTTCATTTGCGGAAGCAAAGATCGCAATCGTGCACTCGAAGGTGATCTAGTTGCTGTCGAACTGCTTGACGTGGATGAGGTCTGGGGCCAGAAGCGCGAGAAAGAAGAAAAGAAGAAGCGGAAAGACATCACCGATACAAGATCCAGTGGATCTACCAACGGTACAGACAGAGCCCACCGGGATAACTCTACCACCGGTGATGAGCAGCCTAGTACCAACGAAGGTGGGATTAGGAGACGGGGCAGCTTGAGACAGCGCCCAACGCAGAAGAAGAATGATGATGTCGAAGTTGAAGGACAGAGCCTTCTTCTGGTCGAAGAGGAAGAGGTCAATGACGAGCAGAAACCTCTCTATGCAGGCCACATCGTCGCCGTCATTGAGCGTGTGGCTGGCCAGATGTTTTCTGGGACCCTCGGCTTGCTTCGCCCTAGCAGCCAGGCTACGAAGGAGAAGCAAGAGGCTGAACGTCTAGCCCGCGATGGTGGTTCCGGCCGCCACCAAGAGCAGCGCCAGCAGGACAAGCCCAAGATTGTTTGGTTTAAGCCTACTGACAAGCGAGTACCATTGATCGCCATTCCAACAGAACAAGCCCCCCGTGACTTCGTTGAGAAGCACCAGGACTATGCTGATCGAATCTTTGTCGCGTGCATTAAGCGATGGCCGATCACCTCTCTGCATCCGTTCGGTACCCTTGTTGAGCAGCTCGGTAAAATGGGAGAATTAAAGGTTGAGACCGACGCTTTACTCAGAGACAATAATTTTGCTTCTGACGACTTTTCTGATGCTGTTACCCGAAGTGTGGGACTCGATGAATGGTCTCTGGCGAAGGAAGATGAGGCGGCAATTGCTGCTCGCCGAGACTTCCGGGACGAAAAGACCTTTACCATCGATCCTAATGGCGCGAATGAACTTGATGATGCCATTCACGTCAAGGAGGTTGATGGGAAGATTGAGATTGGTATTCATATCGCTGATGTTGCACACTTCATCAAGGCGAATTCCCTTGTTGATCGCGAGGCTAAGAAGCGAGGCACTGCTGTGTATCTGATGAACAGAACTTGCGCCATGCTTCCTCCCAAGATCGCCTCGGAGATCTGCTCTCTGACCCCCGGGCAGGAACGTCTTACCGTCAGTGTCGTTTTTAAGGTCAATCCTCTCACCGGCGCCGTTTCTGATGACGAAACATGGATTGGTAAGTCCATTATCAAGAGCGCCGGCAAGTTGACATACAAGGACGTTGATGCTGTGCTTTCTGGCCATGTTGAGACCAAGCTCCAAGGAGCCGAATTTAAGGACATACAAATTCTTCACGTGAGTACCATGCACCTGTAACACTCGTACCATGCTAATTATTTCAGGCCGTCGCCCAGAAATTCCGGGAACAGCGTCTTGGTACAGACGGGGAGACAATCGCGCCATTGAGACTCATCTACCAACTGGATGATGAGAACGTCCCTGTTGAACAAAACATCTTTGACTCAACATCATCCCATGAATTGATTGAGGAATTGATGCACAAGGCGAACGCCTATGTTGCCCAGAAGATTGCAAAGGGCCTGCCAGAAAAGGCACTTCTTCGCCGACAAGGCCCTTCGAACCCACGAAGATTGCAGACTTTTGCCGATCGAATGAACAGGCTCGGATATGAGATTGATACTACAAGCAGTGGAACTCTCCAAAACAGCTTGTTCAAGGTTGATGATACTAACCTTCGGAAGGGAATGGAGACTCTCCTGGTCAAGACAATGCAGAGAGCCAAGTATTTCATTGCTGGCAAGACCCCTGCACATCTCCATCCCCACTATGCGTTGAATCTGCCTCTTTATACCCATTTCACAAACCCATCTCGTCGCTATGCCGACCTAGTTGTCCACCGCCAACTTGAGGCTGTGCTCTCGGAAGGCAAAATCGAATATAACGAGGATATCGATATGCTGGTCAAGACCACTGAATCCGGCAATACCAAGAAAGACTCCGCTCAGAATGCACAAGAACAGAGCGTTCACATTGAATCCTGCCGAATCATGGATCGGAAACGGGAAGAAGCTGGTGGCGAGCTCATCAGTGAGGGTATTGTCATCTGCGTGTATGACTCTGCTTTCGACGTACTCATCCCTGAGTATGGCTTCGAGAAGAGGGTGCACTGTGACCAACTGCCACTGAAAAAGGCAGAATTCCGCAAGAACGACCGTATTCTTGAACTGTACTGGGAGAAGGGCGTTCCCTCTTCGGCATACGTCCCAGAAGATGAACGTCCCAGGCCCGGCCTGTCTCAGAGGACAACCAACGCTGCGGCTGCCGCAAAGCAAGCCGCCGTTGCAGAACGTGCCAAGAAGGAACACGAAGAAGCCCAACGCAAGCAAATGGAGACAGGCACTATCTCGACTGATGATGTTGATGCTCTGTTTGATGATGAGGATGATGTTTCCGACATCGCCGAGGGTCTTTCTGGCGTTTCCCTTGCGGAGCGCCCAACACAAAGTGTGCCGCCGTCGCCCACCAGAAATTCACTCACTGCAACCGGTAACCTCCATCGCACTCGTTCGGATTCCAAGGTGCCAGCCGGTGAACCTGTTGAGGCGAAACTTAGCGCCAAGGAGAAATACTTGAAGCTCTTCACTCTCCGAGAGGAGAATGGAGAATACATCCAAGATGTCAAAGAAATGACCAGGGTACCTGTGATTTTGAAGACCGATCTCACGAAGAGTCCTCCGTAAGTCATATGATGCTCAATGCCTTGACCATAGCTAACAGGTAATAGATGCCTTACCATCCGCTCTCTCAATCCCTACGCGCTATGAATGTTGATACATCCATCATCTGGTCCGGATTTTTGGCGCATGCTCATTTGGCGGCACTGATGGCCGCAGTTTTGGCGATTGCAAAAAAAGTCCTTAATCCCTCGATATACACGTCAAAAAGTGGTGGAATGTTTCCTTTGCATTATTATCGAAGAGCACAAGTAGAAATAATATTTCGTCGAGAGATTGTCACTGAATGGTCACGGACAAGATGACAGTGGAGGAAAAGTTAAAGTTTGAGGCTTGAAGATCACCCACCGATGAGGGGTAGTAATGGGTGATGGTGATACGATATAGGTAACTAAGACATATCGGGGGGTTGCTCAATATGTATTTCATTGCTTTAGCGTCTGCATCTATCTATAGCCATTAGCGCAAATCACATGTTTTACCCGGTGCGGCGATCGATGCCGTCTATTAAAAACGACTAACATCCTGATGTGTCTTACTTAGAGCCCTATGCTCCACGCCCAATGCCCTCTCTATATACTTTGGAAGATTTACATGTACAATGCGGCTTCGGGCTATTTGTCTGCTCTGACAGGCTGATCTCAGATGTCATCCAAACGCATTGGACTCCTCCCACTGGCTCCCAGAGATCAGAAACCCATTCGGGTGTAGCGGGACCCCCATATTGTTTAACATCTAAGAAACCGCGTGAAGAAATTCCGACGGGCCGGCAGAGGGAGCATTATTGGGGGGCCATTTCTCCACGGCATGGCACCGAACCGCATGGCAAAGCATCGTATCGCATCAACATCCACGCGCGACATTACGCATCTTGGCGAACCGTGAACCGTGGAGCCAGCACGGCGACGACGGGTACAAAAGCTTCCGTGCGGATGCACATAACCATGCAACAAGCTCAGATAGGTGCGATCTGGCTGGAAATATACTTCTTTGGAGGCATTTGCAATCCCATTGCCCCCTGCCAGTGTCAATGCCTCACAATCTGTAGGCGAGCGCGGTTTGACCAGCCTGTTCTCAAACACGCCCGACACACGACCCTCTCGTGTCCCTGCCTCGGCGCTGGGCGTTATCCGAAAAAGGCGTCGTCCAGTGTCATGCCCAGATACTAGGCCAAACCGCCTGCTCTGGCTCTGTTTGGCTTAAGGATTGTTTTGCGATGTTTTGCGCTCTGGTGGTGCCAATCGGAGGCTTTTTTGAGCGCCCTACTGGTCCTTCATGCGGCCGTGGGGTGGTCGGGTGCTTGAACTGGGATAGTAAGGTCCCGTGCTGCTGGATTGTTGCCCTGCTTGCTGCGAATATCTTCGGATGATGGATGCTCCTGGCGGACATGGCCAAAATACCTTGGTACCCCTTGAAGCCTATGGGATACGGAGGAGAGCTCTTGAGGGTCAAGCGACTCCAGTCGCAAGGATCAAATAATCTCCTCGTCGGTCAAGCTTCCACCCGTGGAGGAGGCCAAGATCTGTCTGTCTCCGTTCCGTAGGCTAGTCCTGCTGCTGGCACCAGCGTTGCCTTTATTACTTAGTCGAGTCCCGGATCTCTCTGTTTGGGTGGTAGCTGGCACCACACTCTTTGCGTTCCTAACTCACGATACCCATCTCCCCCATTGAAGCGCTGGTTTGCTTTCATCGAAAAGACAATCGCTTTCCCTCCTTTAGTCCTACATTCAAGATTGTCCTTCTCGCCATCACTTATAATACTCTATTAATTTCTATTCTGTTGTGCTTGGATTCCTTGTTATAGCTCAGGCTGGTCTTGTTGTCGATATACAATCGCCTATACTTCGAATCCGGTCCTTCAGATTTGCGTTTACTCTCAACTACGAGCTCAGTCTAATACAATCCGATATCCTCAATATGCCTAGCTTAAGACAAATCTTGGGAGCGGTGGCGGTTGGGTTCGCTACTGTTACTTCCGCCGCACCGGCATTCCCAAAGCTCGATCCTCGAACCATCAGCGCATACAACGCCATCTCTGCGAGACAAAACCCAGCAACTGGTTTACCTGATGGATTGACGGATGTTGATATCCTCCAATTGTACGTTGGCTACCTCATCGTGATCCCGTCACTCGATGCTAACGATATACAGTGCGCTCACGTTGGAATTCCTCGAGACAGCTTTCTACGAGGAGGGATTCGCGAAATTCCCCGAGTCGGATTTCACCGCCTTGGGTCTCCAAGCAGCTGATATCACCAACCTGAAGTCCATCCTAACATCTGAGCAAACTCATGTTACCACCTTGTTGTCTGCGATTTCTGGTGCGGGCGTCAAGCCTGTTGCTCCTTGCAAGTACAAGTTTGGCCTGACTGATGCGGCCGGCATGGTTGCTACTGCTGCCATCTTGGAGAATGTCGGCGTCTCTGCGTATGTTATCCCCATTGAACTTTCTCAAATGATCATGTACTAACGCATTGGCAATAGTTACCTTGGAGCTGCCCCTCTCGTCACCACCCCATCCATCCTCTCTGTAGCAGCCTCAATTGTTACCGTTGAAGCCCGCCATCAAACATTCATCCGCGTCGCCTCAAAGGCGGAGGCAATCCCCTCACCATTCGACACTGCTCTCGGTATCCGCAACGTCTTCACCCTCGCCGCAGGATTCATCGAGTCCTGCCCCGAAGGCTCCAACCTCCTCGTCACTCCCTTCCCCGCTGTTACCATGGGTGCTGCTAGCGCGAACACCAAAGTTCTCGCAGGCCAGAGCCTGGCTCTTGAGTCTAGTGCTAGTGCCGGTGCTACCTTCTGTGCGTTCACCAATGCTGGCGCACCCGGCGGAACTGCATTCAGCCCATTCACCGGCGGTGCTTGCGTCGTGCCACAAAACCTCAAGGGCTTCACTTATGTCAACCTTGCGAGCGCCGGCCCAGCTACTGGCGTTCTTACTGATGGCATTACTCTTGCCGGGCCAATGGTTATGCAAGTTTCATAGAGAGACTCAGTTTTAGTAGAAAGATTGGGAGGTGTTTTGGGGATGGTTAGTTAGTTGGTGGTTGGGTATTGGTATTGGCTCACTTAGACAGCTGATGGGCAAGATATACAAAACTTTTACGCCCACCAAGGATATTACTTTATTTTTATTCTGTGCATAGAAAATGCAATTCTCTTCTTGATGATACCCAACTACGTTCACGGGGCCCCTCATCATATCTTTTATTTATATACTATTATACTTAATATCATCGAGGTATGCTGCCCTTCCTAATCCCATGAGCCATCCTTTCCAGTGCCCGCTGCCTCGACCCCCACCACCGTTGTCTACACTCTACGCGCAATCCGTGAGATAGTATTTACTTTCCTATGCATTGAACATCACAATGTGCTCACGTAAATATCTAATATTGAGACACTTAAACTTTGCTGGCAAAACACAAACATTTCCTGTCGCTCGTTACGGTATATATGCATAGTTAGTTAGACGAGTCCAGGTTGTTTCACAAAAGTTTGACAAATTAACCCGATCTGTTGTCTCATTTCACCACATTACTCTCCTAACCCCCCCCTACAATATTCTTAAAAATACCCACGCCTTCCCTTCCTAACGCCGTTCCAACAGCCACCGCATCCGCACCGACACTCCTCATCCTCTTATACCCAGCCCCGTCTCTCACTCCTCCCACCCCTATAATTTGAATTCCCCTGATCTCAGCGTGGGAGGAAGCGTCTAACATGCCGCGGATAGTTTTCACATTCCCCAGCGCAAGAGGATGTAATGCATCCCCAGCCATACCCCCCATCCCGGTTCCATTCGCTGAATTTAACATAGGTTCGCTATCTGAAGTAGTGATGAGGCAGGAACCTAAAGTATTAGTCGCCGTGATGAAGGATATTGGGCATCCGCCCGGTAAATTGACCGACTCCTCAAGCGCAGTCTCCAGGCCGATGAATTGGTCGGAGTAGGTGTATGGTGGGGTTTTAATGCCTACGTGTACACCCCTCACGTCCATACCAGGACTGGCAGCAATAAAATCCTGTTTCCCGACAGCAATGGCACTGATATACTCTGCTAAGCTTTTAGAGTCATATGCTGGCGGCGGCTTTGACGGAATGTTCGGACAGGAAAGATTTATCTCCATCATCAGGCTCAATTCCTCCGCCTCATTTTGCAATTTCAACAAGGCGGTATAACATCTCGCAACTTCATCTGCTGCTCCTGTAACGGAAACTATAAACGGTTTGTTGGATTTGAGTTTTCCGGACGAGTGAAGCCCCCTGAGCATATCTAGATACTCGTGGAACGGAATAGGGCTATAGCCCAGAGTATTCACACTGCTGGTCTCGCCGGCAACAACCCCACTTCGTCCTTCAGCGTTGACTTCGGAAGTTGCATGGCCTGTGCTGGTTGAAAAGAATGTATATTGGTGTGTTTTAGGGTTGTGCGGAAAGCCTGATAAGAGGGAAGTGCGTATTGTTACCGCGCCCGTGTAGGGAGAGGCGTAGAGAGCTTCGAGATCCGAGAGCGTGGTTGCCCAGGGTGAGGCGGAGTTGAGAAGGGGTGGTGTGATTTTGAAGGGAAATTTAGTGTTGTCCTTTGCTTGCTTTAGAGTTTCCATTGTTTGGAGGATAAGTTCTCCCACGAGTGTTCGATATCGGGTGAGTGGGGTAAGGGCGATAAGATGACGAAAGTTGTACATCACAGGAATCATATAAATTTAGTACCGAATTATGCCGAATGTAGGATCCTGCAGGCAAGGAGCTTTAATGAAATATTAATAAATGATTTATAAACTATACCTAAGTTTCTTCTAAATAAAATATAAAATATATGATAGTATGCGGAGCTGAGGGCGGAACACGTGACCATCCTACTATTTTGTCCTAGAAGGGGGGACTTTGACACTATCAGATTAGACATAATTCTATATAATTATCAATTACAAATGCTGGCAGTATTATCCTCTAAACGGCATTGTGTCGCTATGTGTGATGTGCTTAAGCAACTAGAATAACATAATGATCACGTGCTGCTATAATATCTGTGCTTAAGATGACTGTAATTCCGTTGAGCTAGAAGTTTATTTATGTTATTGCATTGGAATTTAGTCTGTAGCTAAAACATAACAAGTATCCTGAATTGCTGAAGTCTCAAAGTAACACTGCATGTGAAAGACGGATAAGTCGGGTGGGGCCAGTGTCAAGGTTCTTCCCCAGCTTTTAGCTTTAGCATCTCTTAGCGACTTTCAAGTTTCAACAATGACAAAACAAACTTCGAACAACACACAACAACGGATATCACGGCATATGATAATCCTTGAGCCTAACCTCGTTTGCGTGAATTAATGTCCTGCTGTTATAGAGTTGTGAGAGAGTGGGTAATATATATTTAGAACATCCTGGTAGATTTCAAACTGCGACTTTGAGTAACCCGCCTGGAGCTGCTTACAATCAGTTGACAGCCCGAACAGCGCGAAAGCTTTGTCTTTTAGATCAGTCCACTCAACATTTCCAAAATCTATCAGCAGATCAATGTGCCTCGTCTCTGGCTGTTTCTCTCTACAAATTCTGTGCCTATAAAGCTCGATTCAGAGCTCAACTCGAACTCGGTCACCCCCAACGTGTCCTTCAAAACTAGCCAGCTGACAAGCGCCTCTCAATCCACAGACTTAGTACCGCAATAAATGATTAGACGACGTGCAAGACCTAGTTCTTGTAGAATCCACATCCTCTGCCAGTAACCTCGATTACAAGATTTTCCAAAGCCAGTCGTTCTCGATGGTCCCACGGACCTTGAGGACTGGCCGATTTGTCAACCTCATCGAGATATTTCATGACCATGCCGCTGTCGTATCCCTACTCTCCCATCCAGACCAAAACATCAGCCGCTCGACTGTATATCTCTGCCATCAAGCCAACTTGATGATTGCGCTCTCTCAAATTGTCCTGATCGATACAAAGAGCATCATCCCATAGCAAACGATGCGAGCTCTTCCTCGGGAGAATTCTTATGGCTCACCATAGGTTAACCCGTATCTGAATAGGCTGTTCACAAAGAATCAGCGACCCGGTTTGGCCGGGTGGGCCGTACACGTATGAGACCGCTTCGCAGCACGGCTTGCGTGTGAGCTTAGCTCGCACAAGGCTGCAAACGAGTGGCTCAGAGCCATTTCCCTTGTAAATGGTCAGAAGTCTGATATCGGATTTGAATTCGAGAGGTGCATAAGAGTAGGCGGTTTATGCTCTTTAATCAATCCCATATATGCGAGAAGGTTGACAGCGGGACAAGAGCAATTTACACCAGCATTGGTAGAGCGTAGCTTATCGCTCACGGCAACTGGAGGGCCTCCAAACCAAGCCGCCACGTTGGTACGGGGTTGAATATCTGCTTTGCTGGTGTTCCTATCCGAAATAGTTGATGATAGTCGGGATTGAGTTGAGGTATTTGTAGAGCGGAGCGGGGACCAACTGCCAAGTCTCCTTTGACAAAACCCACGGCATTGTCGAGAACGCTGACTAAGCTAGGGTAGACCAACCCCACCACCGCAGCATGTAAATTGCAGCCGCCCACGTGAGTCATGCCAGGGCCAAACTACAAAATTGAGGCCAGCACAGTACACATTGTCGTCGCTCTAGACGTCTCTTTGCCTTCTCCCCGTTCCACCAGCACTTGTGACTGCCTCAGCTTTCACGTTTCTGAGAAAGCCACGATACCGCGCAATTTGTACATGCGATGGCGGAGGTTCTAGAGCAACCCGAAGGTACCTTCGTGACGAAGGAGCAAAATGTCAATCCCTGGAGCGTCTCAGGCGAGGTCAATGAGGACGGCACTGTAAAGCCTATCGACTACAGCAAACTCGTCGAGCAGTTCGGCACCAAGCTCATTGATGAAGCGCTGCTAGAGAGATTTGAGCGTGTTACTGGCCACAAACCCCACCGATTCCTTCGACGGCAGATTGTCTTCTCACATCGTGATTTGGAGGTCATTCTAGATAGGTACAGTCTGCGGCTCCTCTGGAAAATACCAAGCTTACATGGGGAAGGTTCGAGAAAAAAGAGCCATTCTTCATCTACACAGGTAGAGGCCCAAGTAGTAACATTATGCATATCGGGCATATGGTTCCGTTTCAACTGACCAAGTGGTTGTCGGACGTGTTCCAGGTCCCCGTGATCATAATGCTGACGGATGGTATGTTAAGACACCATCAAGTTAGGATAATCCAGTTTGCTTACGTTATGTATGATCAGACGAGAAGTACCTTATCAGTGACCATGGGCGCACCGTGAACGAATATGAAGTTTACGCTCAAGAGAATGCTAAAGACATTATTGCTGTCGGATTCGATCCCGAACGAACCTTCATTTTCTCGGATTTTGGATACATGGGCGGGGATTTCTACAGAAACATCGCACGGATAGCCAAGGTTAGTTTCCTGACGCCGTTTCGGGCTTTACTAACGGACCTTAGAGAATCAATAGAGGAACTGCCGATGCCTGCTTTGGCTTCGATTCTAGCACCAACATCGGAAAGGTAGTAGTAGTTCATAATACCTTTATACCAAGCTAATAGCTCTTTAGGTTCACTTCGCTGCCGTCCAAGCCGCCTCTTCGTTCGCGGGATCATTTCCATTTATGTTCGGTCCCGACTCAAACCAGATCCCATGTCTTATACCGTGCGCAATCGACCAGGATCCGTACTTTCGTTTGTAAGATTTTAGCCATCTCCGCTCGTTGTGTATTTAGTTAACATATCGGTAGAACAAGAGACGTTGCTAGTCAATTGAAGTATGCGAAACCGTCGCTGATCCATGCGCGGTTTTTAGATGCTCTTCAAGGTCCTGGATCCAAAATGTCCGCATCCATCGAGTCAAGCTGTATCCTCGCACGGGACAACCCCAAGACAATTATGACTAAGATCAACCAATATGCGTTCAGTGGAGGTCGAGAGACTCTCGAGGAGCATAGAGAAAAAGGCGGAAATCCAGACGTCGATGTTTCGTATCAATACCTAAGATTCTTCCTAGAGGTGAGTCGAGAGGAGTGCCTGTCTAATTGTCTTGCTGACGTACCATAGAGCGACGAGGAGCTTGAGCAGATTCGGCAAGACTACAAGTCTGGAAAACTCTTAACCGGTGAGATCAAGAAAAAGTATATCTGGCCTGTGAATCTTCCAAAGTCGGTGTCCATTCTGACCATAGTATAGGTGCGCCGGAGAACTGGCCACATTCTGTACCTCGTTTCAGGAGCGACGAGCGAAGGTAACAGATCAAATACTTGAGCACTTCATGACACCACGGCCGCTACTCTGTCGTGGGGCCCTATCGAATACTCTGCTTCCTTCGGTTCAAGGCAAATCTGGTGCCTCCAAAGGACCGGTCCAAGACGTCAAAGACCCCAACTCAAAATCACAGGCGAAGAAGATGAAGAAACTCGAAGAAGCGAATGCTAAAAAGGCACTAAAGGCTCGAGAAAAAGAAGCCAAGTCCATCGCTACGGCTACGGCTGGGGTTGCGGCTCTTTCTGTTGCAGAGAACACAGCTGTGGGCGAAGACACAGTTACCTCGACGAGTAGTCTAACGTAGAGCAGAAATGACAATCTGTTAGCATCAGGCGACTGGTGAGAGCGACAGCATCATTGAATCAATCAAGTGAAGGTGAATTTCTGTCTACATCTGTGTATCCAGTGACTGGAGTAGTACGTCAAACAACCCACTGCTGTTTTGCGGATGTCGGCACCCTTCTCATACATTTCAATATGCCTACAATAGGCGGAAGTAGATGGCAATATTCTCGTAGTGCGAGCAATGCCAATCTATCAAGCTTAATAGCTCCGCTAGTTGTCAGCTCTTCAGCCCAACGACATCCCTAATTATTTCCTACCGCAACAGCCTCCTTCTGAGATTCTGTTAAAACAATTGCACATTGAAGCGACCGCTCCATCGAGCTAAGTCTCGCCTAGGCAGAATAGTTCGCGCTCTTTAGGTGCCTTGTGACAATTTGTTTTGTCGTCTGTTTCAGTTATGTTGCATGAACCCCTCAGCGTGGAGGAACTTTGGGTTCTCCCCCTTGAAATCGCTCATGGATATTTGCCGGGGCTGACAAGGCGGCGGGATGGATATTGTCCGCTTCTATGTAATGTGCAAGGGCTCAGTGACGTCTCGCAGGTGGTATCCTCGGCACGGTGGCTTCCGAGATATATGGCTGTGATATTCGAGGCTTATCCCAAGCACGTATGGATTTTGAGTTGGACGACAATGCTCGAAATATCCTAGAGAAACGAGACTTTACGTTCAAGATGGACGGAAAATGTCATATTTTTCCAGAGCCACAAGCCTCCTTGTCTAGGAGCACCGATGACGATGGAAAACAGCGGAAGATACTAGATTAAAGGAAAGCACGGCGCCGAGAAAACGGAGAATATGGTACAATGACGGTTCAATTGCTTATCTTCTTCCGATGAAATACGATGGGCGGTTGCAAGCTTGTGTGGTATTACTTGTGAATCTCACCGATCTGTCAATCCAAGCGGTATGGCACCCGAAACCTCCCGCTAGTTTCTTAAGTACACTGGTGGAATGCCCTGAGCAACAGCTTCTTGTGGGGTTTGCCCTTGTTCGGGCCGCTGAAAAGTATATGGCTAACCCATCCCATTGTCGATCCCATGCACGAGACATTAACGCTACCACGTGGGAAGAGCCCGTACCATGTGTCCCACAATTACCCTGAACTAAATCGAAATAGTGGTCTTGTTGACATATCAAGTATATTGTTGCCCCGAAGGATGGGTTGGTCCTGTGGGGCATATAAGCACTATGCCTCATATCATCACGTCAAATCGATGCTAAGCACTTGTCGGAAATACGGCAACTATTCTACAGACTTTTGCATCAAAGAGTACATTCTGCATGTTCTTTTCATCGTCCCACCTAAGGTAAGGTACCTTGGATTCCGTACAAAACGATGCCGAGCTACACGTGACTAGAACAAGTGCCTAGCGGCTACTCATACGAGGCCAATTCCGTGATTTGCAATTACAGCAGTAGTGAGACAGTGGCCGCCAATCATAATGGGAGTTTAGTGCTGTGCCGCTTATGATCGTCCTCCTTCGTTGTGTTGGTCTTTTCATGGAACACTCCCGACTCTTCCTGGCTATGGCGGGGTATGTTTTGGTGTGGGGCTGGGTCCTGGTCAAGCTCGACAAGGCCAAGGCTGGGGAAGTATAAGGTTAACAACTCACCCCATATATCTCCATTAGCGAGTTATCAACTACATATCAAGTCATCGCATATGCCCCCTTATACCTAACCGATTAGATTCAAACAGCGCCAGGATGCCTACTACAGCCGAATTTCCACTCCTCCAAGTCACGGAACTCCATCCAACATTTGCCGCAGAAGTAACGGGTCTCAATTTGGCGAAGCCAATTCCGGACGATGTCTTTCAAGAGATTGTTAGTGTCATTGCAAAGGTAACAAATATCAGACTGCCAACTTGTGCAAATCGTGCTGATAACTAGTCCTATAGTACGGCGTAGTTGCCCTTCGCGATACCGGACTAGATGATACAACCCATGTTGAGTTCTCGCGGCGATTTGGGGAACTGGATGATATAAGGCCATATATGCAGAAAGGTCGGTTGAGTTTAATAATATGCTAAAATATCGCCAGTTGGGGTTAACTCTTACAGGTCCAGGCCGCAAACTTCGCTATGAACACCTCGAGCTTTTTGATGCGGGCAATGTCAATGATGATGGAAACCTTCTCACACCCGACCACCCAAGATCTCATTATAATAAGGTACCACTAAATCTTACTACTTCCCTTGATAAATTTTCTGACTCCGTGTGACTAGGGAAATGGCTTGTTCCACGTTGACTCCTCTTTCAACCCCCGCCGAGCCTCGTACTCCCTCCTCAGAGGCGTCGTTCTCCCACCTTCAGAAACCGGCGGCAATACAGATTTTGCTGATACACGAACTGCCTTTGATGGGCTACCGGAAGATCTCAAAAAGACATTGATCGAGAAGGACTATGCCGTGGCACACTCGATCCACCATTCCCGCAAAGTCGCTGATCCTGAGTTCTTCAAAGACTTGGACCCCACGACTATCAAGATGTCCAAGCACCGACTTGTCCAGAAGCACGAACCTTCCCAGCGAATGAATCTCTACGTTGCAGCACATGCACATCATGTGGAAGGGCTGCCAGAAGCGGAATCTACAGAATTATTGAAGACCCTAATGGAACACGCAACCCAGGACAAGTACACAACCAGTATTTCGTGGAAGCAGCCGGGCGACCTAATCGTCTGGGACAATACGTCCGTCATGCACAGATCCGGCAAGTTTGCAGGTGGATATGTAAGAGATATGCGGAGGACGACGGTCCATGATGGCAGCCCGACGGCTTGGGGCCTGAACCAGATGGGTGAGAAGAAGGGTGGCTTTGCTGTCGATTCTAAAGGCATGGTTGCAATCCCAGCGGAGCCAGTTGCCGTATGATAGGTGTTACTAGGATGAGGCCCCTTATCTCCGTGTAATTATTTTATTGGCCGCGACCTTTTCTATTGTTTTGAGCACTTGAACATACCTGATTTTCCATGTACTCTGTACAACCCCACAAGCATATCAATATATGCACATGATCTCTAAGGTGAACATTGCTAAGAGCATCCCACCACAAATTTAATGTTTTACACACCTTACCATATCCACGCGGGAGCCTATTGATTATGGATGTTCCGTTGAACCGCCCTGTACTTCGTACACTCTACCTATATCAAGTTGTTTGCTCAGTTATTCAATTCACAGACCCACATTGTGGGGCACCAGGTAGGCACAGACTCCCGCTGCGGAAGTGGCTTAGGGTGCGTACTTAGTGCCTGGGCAACTGTACATATCTCTACGAAGCCTATCATCTCCCCTCCTCGTGTTGCACATCCAACAGATATGATGTCGTATCACGCAGACCCTCACTTTTTATTAAATGTATCTATCCACATATCCTCCCTACACTTCCGTCCGCCCCATTCCAATTTGGCAAGTTCATGGATTTTCCCCGTTTAGATCGACGGCATTGCTGCGGGGTAACCCGTTTGCTGCTCACCATCCCGGATGTTGATTCGTTTGGGTAAAACATGCTAGCTGAGACATATGTCGATAGAGCTTTAAGTCTATTGACCTTGATCTAATTGATGGGTATTGCAATTCAGTTGATTGCAAGCTCATATTGAATATATATTGAATATAGTCGCAAGGTTATAGTCTTAGGTAAGGGCTGCGGGAAGTATAAACTTCGGATACCCCAGAGCAGTAGGTTAAAGTTTGCACTTCTCATTACTTCCTTATTTTGGGGAAGTTTAATTTTATATGATAATATTGGTACGAGATAGTCCATCATGTCGTCAACCCCAGGCTCAGGATCGGTGGTGATCCCACAAACCTCCGTGCTGGCAAATTGGAAATGCATGCTAATCGCATGTGTTGTGTCGACGGCGAACATGCAATATGGTTTCGATAGTGCTGTTATAGGCGGCCTACAAGCCATGCCGGGATTCTTGAAGGTGTTTGGCTTCGTTGATCCTAAAATCAAGATTGGTTATGGAATTGATGTTCGTGCTTCTCTCCGGCGAGCTCCTTCTAGTCTCTAATATAGATGTCGTTATAGCCTACATTCCAACAACTCATCACCTCTCTTTTGACACTCGGCGCCTTCCTCTCCTCTCTAGTCGCTGGCATCTTTGCTGGATACTTCGGCCGGAAGGCTGCCCTGTGGTGTGCATGCGTTGTGAACTGCGCTGGTCTGGCAACCCAAATCGCAACCACCAACAAAGGAGTTATATATCTCGGACGCATTCTCCTTGGACTTTCCAATGGCTTTCTAGTCACATTTTCTAATATCTATACTTCGGAGGTTGCTCCAGCACACCTGAGAGGTGTTATGGTTGCTTTCTTTACCTTCTGGGTCAACGTCGGGAGTCTCGTTGGATCGGTGGTTAACTACTACTGTGCTAAGATGATGGATAAGCGATCTTATGTTATTCCATTGGCGTTGCTCTATATTGTCCCAGTGGCTCTTGCAATGGGGCTTTTATTCGTCCCCGAATCGCCGCGCTGGTTGTTGTACCAAGGGAAAGACAAGGAGGGTCGGAAATCCTTGCAATCCCTAAGAGGAACTTCCGTTGAGCAGGAATATATCGAGATTGAATGGGCAGAGATGGTGCGAGGAATGGAGGAAGAGAAGGCCAGCAAACATGGAGCAAAGTGGAAGGACATGTATATAGGCAGGTTTCCCTCTTCCTTCATTAGACGGGCGAAACTGTATCTAATGCTGCCGCCTAGGCGTCAACCTCCGACGAACTATTCTATGTTACGCTTCCATGGCATCTCACGCCGCCTCGGGCACATGGTTCGCCATCTCCTACGGCACATACTTCCTCCAAATAGCAGGCGTAGACGAACCTTTTAAATTTGCGATCATCACTGTCATGATGGGGATCATCGGTACAATTGCAGGAATGTTTGCCATCCGCGATTGGCTGGGCCGCCGATTCATATTCATCTGGTCCTCTGTTGCAGGTGCCCTTGCCATGGCCATCATTGGAATTGCAGGCATCCTACAAACAAAAGATAACTCCCACAAAGTCGGGAAAGCATTGATCGCCTCTGGGTGCATCTTCTGCTTTTTCTATAACTGCGGTATTGGTCTTGTTAGCTATCCAGTTGGTACTGAGATCGTTAGTTCCCGTCTTCGTGCGTGGACTCTTGGTTCTGCTATTTCGCTGGGGTATTTCCTCGCGTGGCTAGTCGGATTCTGCTCTCCGTATTTCATCAATCCTAGTAAACTGAACTGGGTGAGTTAAATCCTTCCAAGTTTCCTCGCAACATTGCTAATGCTTCTATCTCCAGGGAGTGAAATATGGCTGGGTCTGGACCGTCTCAAACCTCATCTGTGCCCTCTTCTTCTACCTTTTCTTACCAGAAACTAAGGGGCGCTCCCTCGAAGAAATAGATGAGTTGTTCGAGAATCGGGTCTCGGTGAAAGACTTTCCCAAGTATCATACGAAGATCCAAGAGGAGGCTGCGCGTGACGTACAGAGTATGCGGAGGAACGGCTCTAGCAAGGAGCCGGTTGTCACGCATGTTGAGAAGACGGAGAAGGGAGATGACATGGCATAGGAATTTGGTTGAGCGTTAAGTGGCGTTTGGGCGTTGGTGGAAATCGGATTTCGGATTTTATGAAATATGGCTTCTGACGCTGGCAGATTTCCTTTTCCCCTAGTTAGCCGGACTGTAGCTAGGTTTGATGGACCATGGCCGATGAGATATGGCCATAAATCCCAGATTTATCTCATACAGAAACATATGGTGTATCGCACTACACCACATGGCTTGGACTGCTCCCTAGCTACGATACACATGTAGTAGAACTTGGTCGACAAACGTCATCGTACTACAAACCGTTAGTATAATTCTTAAAAACCTCCATATCATACTAGAGAATGAGTCTCGTGAGGCGTTTTAGTCGTCCAATCGCGACTCAGCCTCCACATCTGCCTCCCTCCGCCTCAGCCACCTTGCACACTTCCTAAAACTCACCATCTCCCATTAAAATCCCCAATCATCTTTCGCTCCTCGCACCCAATCACTCCCCTTTATCTGACGTTCCTGTAATGGATTTCGACAGCGAATTCGACTTCCGCTGGGACGGCCCATCATCAATCTGCGACTGGGCCTGTAAAGCCTTCCTCATAGTTATCTATAGCTGCGCAACCTGCTTCGAGATAATTTTCTGTGGGAGATGGAGGGACTTTTGGCCGTTTGATCGATCTCCGGAAGTCAAAGTGGACGTGAGTGAGATAGGGAAAGAGACGAAAGATGGTTCGAGCGAGGTAAAGGAGAGCATATGAGGGGAGCAGTGTCGGGATTTTATTGCGAATGTATGTATACATATCGGATCCTTCCTCTGAGACCTAACAGCTTGTTTGATTCAAACTAACCCCCCCCATTCGGTAATTAAAGGGGTCGCTGACACCTATTTTAGGTATGTAGTGTACGGCTCTCGCTGTACGGCTCTTGCGGAATTTTGAGAGCGCGCATTTGGTTGACTTTAACCGGAGATTATATAAAGCTAAAGCCACTGGGAAATGGACAATGGTCGTTCGCCTGGAGATTTAAATCTCACCGCAAGATCTAGCCAAGAGGCGCCTACCTAATTATTGTGGGGATGATATTAGAAAGGGGAGATTGTGAGGTTGAAGGAGGCGACGTGGTGGGATCAGCCCTCAGGCTTTCTTTATCTCCGCCTTGAGTGTGTCATTCCCAGGAGATGATAACAAGCCCCAAAACGGATAAAAAGCAGGGAAAGACTTTAGCTTTCAAGGATTTATTTTGAGAACAAAAAAGTAGCCCAAACGGAGGCTGCAGAAATACACACGTGATTGCGCGTTGGGTTCGCGCGTCGGTCCAGTCCATGCTGCTGCCTCCTGCCTAACTTTTAAATACAAAACATCAAAATTACACCGTGGTCTGCCTTGTTGGATCCTGACGTCAAAGCTGGTTAAGGATAAAGTGCGGCCTGGTATAAAGGTCGAGGAGCTGCCAGAGTCACTTCCACCGCTCTTGCTGTAGCGGTCATCTTCCTCTCGTCCTCCACTAATCAACCGCAACTTACCTTTCAAAATAATCGCCGGCTACCAAATCGCATTGAATTAATCATGCCGCCCAAAGCCAAGACACCCAAGGCTGCGACAGCGACCGCATCTCCAGTCTACATCGTCATCAAGGCTAATGCGATCGACTCTGTCCATGCCTCCCCTGGCCTAGCCAGCACACGCGTCGCCAGCCTAGGCGAGGGATGGAAGGTGGAGACACTTGAGCTGCAGGGAGGAAGCATCCAGGTCGACGAGGAGGAACCAGCCCCAAAAGCCAATATAGCTGTGAAGAAGACCAAGCCACCCGCCGAGCAGCGCGCTGCAAACGCCGCGAAACCCGGAAAGCCGACAGACTCCGACCTTCCTAACAATGTCAATGATCTCCTCGCTGGTTCCGGCGACGTTCTTTCGGGAAAGACGATCGTTGTCACGGGCGTTCCACCGACAATTGGCAGAAAGAATGCGGAAGCACTAGTGACCGCATATGGTGGTAAACTTACGAAGTCGCTGAGCAAGAAGACCGACTTTGTTGTTGTGGGAAATGATGCGGGCCCGAAAAAACTGGAGCAAATCGAGGGTCTGAACATTGAGATTTTGGATGAAGGCCAATTCATCAAATTGCTGGAGGGAGCTGGTTCTGGTGGCAAGAGAGCTGCGGAAGATGATGCCGATGAGGATGATGAGGACGACGAGGATGAAGACGAGGAAGAGGCGAAGCCAGTCAAGGCGAAGAAACCTGCGAAGCAGCCTGCAAAGAAACCGAAGAAGTAGTTAGATCTGCAAGGCTGTCCGCAAACGACATCGGTTTACGCCGTCTTATGATTGCTATGCTGGCGAAATGATACCTCTCTGCGTTTTATCTGGGTTGTTACTCCGGAGGACTATACAAATGGATCAAGCTGGATTTAGATGGAGAGGGTAATCAAGGATATCCCATAGGTACCGTTCTCCAAATATTACTGCATCTGATCAGACTTGATCTTGCCCCAGCTTCTCATTTGCTTGTCGATTGAACAGGGGACAAGTAGAGAAGTCCGCGGCTGTGTAGGTGCATTTATGGTTAACCTGACCACTCATTGGGCCTACTTAAAATACAGAAGTAGCTCAATCGGCCAGCTCCATTACCTACCGAATACAAAGTATGGTGTACCTAGTGCCTTATGATGGCCATGGTATACGAATATTGTAACCCGGAGCTAATCCCATTGGTAAATGAACGACTGGCTAAGGCGTGGTGGCTACACGGTCAATGTCAAATATACGAGGTAAAATACAAACTGAAAATATATTTAACACGTCGTGACTTTCATATCGCTCACTTCGTCTCACAAATCGCTATGTAGGGCGCCATAACCCCTCCCAGGAAGAATCTCCCGGTCTGAGAATCATGCACTGCAACTGTGGCTCCTGGCAGGACACTTCCGTCATCTTCGAAGACCTTCTCGACCACAAAGTCCCCATCGAGAGATGCCTCAGCGGCAACCTTCCTACTCTTCCCTGTATACCCCTTCCCAGCCCTGTTGATCTTCAAGACTGCGGATGGTGGGTGGACGCCAAATGGATCTTTGGTGCCCTGGGTCCATATATATCCTTTGGGGAAAGAAGCCGCATAGATATCTCCTTTGCCATCGACAGCCAGATTGTCGGTTGGTAAAATCCCTTTGATGGTGTGGACTTTCTGCAGAAGATGGTCTTGAGAAAGGGAGAAGACTTGGATGTCTCGGCCAACGGTACTGGGTACGTATATCAGGCCATCGCGGCCTCGCACGAGGCCATTGGCGAAGTTGAAGCCCGATGAATAGGCGATGTTACAGCGGTTTCGATCGCAATAGCCAACATTTCCGCCACCAGTAAACATTTCCAGTCCTCGTAGCTGACAGTGTTAGTTACTGATTAACATGAATATGGGAGAGAATATATACCGTGCCGACTTTAGCGTTGTGGTCGTTGGTGAAGACAAAAGCGTGATCATTTACCCACGCCACTCGGTTTGGTGTTTGGATGACGTCGTTGAAGTATGTACGAATGTGTCGCATTGTCGAGCTGCCAGCTTTCGACTGAAATTCCTCGATTGTTGAGTTTGCCCCAACTTTCGTGGCATCGAGAAGCTCGCCAGTAACAGGATCAATTGGGGGGCGATGGTTAACCAGAAGGATCCGTAGCATGTCAGTGTGCTTGTCTGCTCGAACGTCCAAGCCGTGGAGGTTTAAGGTTCCATCGCCGTTAACACCAGAGAAATTCTCAGTCGACAGCCATTGAATGCGAGATGCCAGCCGGCCTTCGCCGCGAGTGTCGAGAACTGCAATGCGGTCGGTGGTGCCACGACCTGAGGCGTTGAGATGGTCAATCCTACTACCATTAGCTACTTTGATCGGGGCATATAAGAAGCGAAGACTAACGCAGGAAGCCATTCCAAACGGGATCGAGTGTCCGAGCAAGCCATATAGAGGAAGCCTGTCTTCTCATGCAACCACATATCCTCGCATCCTTCCAGGCCAAGCTCAGTTACCTGCTCACACTGGAGATGAGGATAGTCCTTGATGGAAGTAACTGTGCGGCCATAACCAAGAACATCGAATAAAAGAGTCTTGAAGACGAATTGATATAAAACCGCAACAAAAACTGCGCCAACTATGGCGACTTTCGAGGCAATATTGGCCATTATGAAGTCGTTGAAGAGTAGAGACGGACAATCGCTCTTCTTCCCTCCAGATATCGAAAGGTACTTGAGTCTCGGTTCACACAGCTTTGCTTTTTCTATGTCTCAGAACGCTTGGAACGCACTGGTCACAGACATTTGGATGAGGAGTGAAGAGGGGGATTAAGAATTAACCTCGGCCTCCATCCAAAATCCTTCGTCCCATTATCACCGAAGGCGCCGTGTAACTGCAAGGCTATTGGCAGCCCGGCAGTCGGGCGTGGAGGCGTGAACTTCCCCGCATCTCCACTGCTTCTTAGTCCTACGTACCTGAAGTGGAGGTGTTTACTTAACAACATCTACCCAGGCTCGCAAACGACGCTTTTGAAACCAACTAGAATACCCTCTATGGATTCTGGCCACTACGATATGTATGGGACACAACATGCTTAATTATATAGCTGTGCTCGGTGATTTCATCTGACATGCATTCCCACGACCCGCCGCCTAGCAGGGAAGCTTTGCCGAGTCTCGGGGGACATTGTCCCGCGAACGAAACGCGCAGTTGAAGAGTTCCATTACTTCCGCTCCCGCTTCTACAATGCTACATATTCCATAGATGTATTTATTTATATAACTAAGCTAACTCAATATGACTTCTTTTAAAGCAATCTCGCGCTCGTTCTCTTTTGTCTGCTCTGGTGCTTCAACTGATATTGGGAGGGAAATAGCTAAAACGTAGCACCAGAACAATCATGGCACCACTCATTTCAGCTCAGGAAGTTTCCAAGCACAACATCTCCGAAGATCTGTGGATAGTCGTAGACGATGCCGTCTACGATCTCACGGAATTCGCTCCGGAGCACCCTGGGGGAGCTGCCAGTATGTTTTCTCTCCCTTCAACCCATCGGCCTCATCACCATCACTAACTCTCAAGAGTCATACACCGCTATGCTGGCCGCGACGCAACGATAGCCTATTCCGAAATCCATGCCCCATCCCTCATTAAGACCTCACTTCCCTCCTCGAAAGCCTTGGGGACTCTCGACCCGGCGAGCATAACAGATGAATGGGCGAAACATGCACCGTCGATTTCGTCCTCTTTCTCATGGGATGCCAAACCACCCCTCGATTCGCTGATCAGCACCTACGATTTCGTATCTGCCGCCCGGCAGACTCTCACGCCGAAAACCTGGGCATTCTACTCAGCTGCAGCGACTGATCTACATACCAAAGCGCGCAACAACTCTGCATATACAGATATTGGATTACGCCCACAGATATTAACGAATGTGAAGGATGTGGATACTCGGACATCTATGTTAGGGCAGAAGATGAGTGTGCCCATATTTTGCGCACCTGCTTCAATGGCGAAGTTAGTACATACCGAGGGCGAAAAGGAGATTGCAAGAGGGTGCCGGAAGGCAGGAGTCCCGCAATGCATTTCCACAGCCGCATCATTCCCTGTTGGTGAGATTTTTGAGAGTGTCGCTGGAGAGGTGACATATGGGGCTCTTGAAGGGGAAACGGAGTTGCCACTTTTCTTCCAATTGTACGTCGACAAGCAGAGGCACAAGACCGAAGCGTTGTTGAAACATGTGGAGGAGCTCGGGGCCAAGGGCATTTTCGTTACTGTTGATGCACCTGTTCCTGGCAAAAGGGAAGCCGATGAAAGGGTTAAGGCAGACGAGAACACCAGTACTCCTATGAGCGGGGTGAAGGCGAAAAATGACGCCAAGGGAGGAGCGTTAGGTAGGATCATGGGGGGCTTTATCGATTCGAGCCTGAGCTGGGATGATTTGCCTTGGTTAAGGAGGTGCACGAAGCTCCCTATTATTTTGAAAGGTGTTCAAACCGCTATGGATGCGAAGCGAGCTATGGAAAGCGGCATCGAGGGCATTGTGTTAAGTAACCATGGAGGAAGGAGTTTGGATACCGCACCGGCCCCGATACTTGTTTTACTTGAGCTGCAGAAGTGCTGCCCGGAGGTTTTCGACAAGATGGAGGTGTTTGTCGATGGCGGGATCATGCGCGGGACGGATATCTTCAAAGCCTTATGTCTGGGCGCCAGGAGCGTGGGGATTGGGAGAGGCTTCTTGTTTGCACTCAATTATGGACAAGATGGGATAGAAAAATACGTTGATAGTAAGTTCTCCCTGTTGGAGGCCTTATTCCGTTCGGATTGACGCTAATGACGATTGCAGTTCTGAAAGATGAGCTGGAGACTACGATGCGCATGATGGGTGTCACAGATCTCTCGCAGGTTCATCCGGGCCTGCTGAACACTGGAGCTGTGGATCATTTGATCCCAGATGGCAAGGAACATCCTTACGCCAAGTGGAGACCGAGAGCAAAGATATAGGAGATATAATTAATGACCTAGAATCCTATTTGGACTTAACAATTCCTAGATGTTCCTCGATGAGTTGAATATAGACGTAACCTGTGCATTTCCTTCGTTTGCCAACTCGTCCGCTGTCTGACGACCAGCAAATGCTGTCACATGACGCGCCCTATAAATTGAAATGGCACATACTGCACATGGCAAAAACATCCGTTGGAATGGTTTAGGACTATTTAAATAAGGCAGATGGAGATATGAGATCAGATCTCCCGTGGTTCCGCCCGGCCAATGTATGTTACATAGTAAAAGTAGTGTAACGAAGCAATACATGTGTCAAGATTCATGTTTTGCAGTCTCGAAATGCGTATGAAACTATGAATTCCCGTAATTTATTCCATTTGCTTTTAGCAGATATTCGAGGAGAAAGTCGATTATATCCTTCGACCGTATTTCGAACCCCAAGTGCTTGTAAGTTCCGTACCAGGGACTCTCCAGAATTCGCGGTGTTTCCCCGAGACCCGCAGGTCGTCACCAGTTAAAGATTAGCTCCGTTCGCTAAGGAGCAGCCAGATTGCACCAGATCGCAGGAGAAGGCCAACAGCCACGCGAACGAGCGAGCATTGTAGAACTTAAACTCTCCGTCCCCTTCTCCGCTTTGTAACAACAGTTCTGCCTTCAATCCAGGACAGCAATCAATCGGCATCATGGCAATGTACAAATATGCAACCCTCGCATTGCTTGCGCTCCGCACCGTCAGCGTTTTCGCGACAGATGTTGTAAGTTGACGATGATGCAATTCTGGCCACAAGAGAACAGAGCTTCGGAAATGCTAACACCATTGCCTTGCAGGTCGAAGAAAAGCTCGAGAGCCCTCCTGTGACCGCCAATCTTGCCGTCTCGGTCTCTGCTTCCTTCCCTCAGTCCGAGGTCTTCGGCGTCAAGCTGATTAATGGCCACGCGACACAAGCCCTGGTGGATTTCTCGAACGATGAGTCCGAGCCAGTACATGTAGCTATTGTCGGAGGTGCATTGTCAACTCTACAGCCGTTGAAGGCAGACTTGCACCCAAGTGCTGCCATTGTCCGCAATATTACCGCTACTCGATACGATGTCGAGATCCCAGCCGGCGAGAAGGCCACGCTTCCTTTCAGCTTCACCACCGACTTGAACCCGCAAGATTTGCGCCTCAACCTCGTTGCTGTTCTGACCAGCAAGGCTGGCGAAGTTTATCAGGTTCAGGCCTTCAATGGGACGGTTAGTGTTGTTGAAGCTGCCACTAGCTTCTTCGATCCCCAAATGTAAGCACAAATCTAGCCATCTCATCCCCCACGTATTTCAAGTTCGCAATCTAACCCATGCATAGTCTCTTCCTGTATCTTGTACTCCTCGGCGCTGCTGGTGGAACTATGTACTTTGTCTACAAGACCTGGATCGAGGCTCTCTTCCCACAAACAAAGCGTGGAGGCAAAGGTGGAGAGCGCGCCAAGCGTTCATCCGGAGGCTCGAAGAAGGCTGTCGCTCCCAAGGACCAAGTTTCCGTCATTGGCGCAGATGGACCCGCTGTCACCACCGGCGCATTGGCTCAAAAGGCATATGATGAGAGCTGGATCCCCGAGCACCATATCAATCGCCCAACCGCCAAGCGTGTCAAGAGCGGCGCAACCTCGAAATCCAAAGCTCGTGCAGCTAGCCCTTAATCCTCCAAAGATGCTAGGATAGCTCTTCTGGAAGTCTAATTAGACACATAGTGGGAATCAAAGTCATTATCGTGTTAGGTGTGATAAATATATCAGGTGAAGGCATCGGGCGGCGCTCATGACTGGGAGGATGCAAAAGCAAGCGGATTATGATTGTACAATAACTCAAAATTCAATATCAAATTCAGGTTTGGAAATACTGGCTCTGCTGATTATGTGATAAAGTATTTAAAGACCATATGTTGACGTATTTTGAACAGGATCAAAAGGGAGAAGGCAAAAGCAACAGCAGTAACCGTCCCCTTTTTGCGAATTACTTTCGCCTTGAGCTCGGCAGAATTCCGATTTATACCCTCAGGGTGAAGTCACACCGAGCTCCACCGGATACTTCTTCAACTGACAGTTTTAATTCTCCCTTCCTCTTCAATAAGAGACATGCCAATTTGCAGTCTCACTTCCCGTAAGACATTAGCATGGTATTCCCAGCTTGTTTCTAAGCAGGAGCTCTAGTTTTTTTGCGGTTGGAATAGAACCAGTTCGGTCTAAAAAATTGCCCTAAGCAGGACAGTAATCGAGAAATAGTGACTCAATGATTACATGATGTTAGAGTTGAGGGCGGCTGCCTGTCGTGGGTCATTCTTGCCAATTCGAGTAGTACTTTCCAGCCAGTTGAATTTAGAGGCACCCAGGTGTTCTTCTTTCTTCCTTTTATCCTTTCTTCAGTGCCACGATTAGAACCATACTCTTCTTGTGTTACTCGTGCCACTATTGTGACGCTTTTTTTGCGCCGCCTTTATTACCCACACCATTCCGAACGTATCGGTGGACCGAATACGACACTCGTCTCATCCTGCTTCCTAACAACTAGTTTGACCTCCGGCTGTTGAAAAGGGGTAATGTGACCGCCCCCCCTGCTTGTTATAGTCGGTTACCATGAGTTCATCCGTGACGACACCGCGAGAAGACTTATAGTCCGACAATATCCCTGAAACAATGCCAAATGTAAAGTGGGTTGTTCGCCCACACTTCCATACGACATATTTGTTGTTGTTATCCTCAGCGGTAGCTTGCCTATAAAGAACCTCCTGAAAGGTCAAGCTTCTCTTTAAAAATGGTGGCATGTCGCCAACTGATTTAGTCTCGCAGGCGGCACACATAGCAGCAGAAAAACAAGGCTCATTCTGTATACTGTTTAGCTGGTAAGTGGGCAGCTACAAATTTATTAGCAAAAAATACTTTGTTAAGTCACAAAGCAATGAATCTATACCTCATTTTTCAACATCTCTTGGTTGTGAATCCTCTTAGGATTCTCCAGTTCAATTAAGGCCAATCCAGCCTAAAACGACGATCCTTAGCTCCATTCCGGATTCGTATGCCGGAACTCCTCCAGCGTTTTCCGAGGGTAGACTTTTCAGGTGTCCATTCCATTAAGCTCTGTAACTCGCGCTTGACATCTGAAATTCGCTGTTGGTAACTGGCTGGGTTTCGCGTAGTACTCACCAGGGCCCGGGCTAGGTCTTTTTCCAAAATTTTAATGTGGTGCTTGAGGAGGCTAGCTTTAGTTTCAATATCTTTCCCCGCTGGCTGAAGAATGGTATACGAAACGCCCGCGGGCGCCTCATCCTGGGTAGGGAAGGCTTCAAGGCGTGACGATCCGAATGCGACATGGTGGTTAGTAAGCCCCATGACTTTACCATCTATTAAGACATAGCCGCCGAGTGTACCGCAGCCGCCGAGTACAGTAGTGTGTTTCTGGGCTATTGCAATGGAGGCCCCAACGAGAGGATAATCGATTGGATGAATCAGTGGTTCATCACTCGGGAGTCCCCCTGCGAGTTCTGCTCGGCGGCCCTCTTTAACCTCCACCTCTACGTCGGGTAAATCAGCCCTAGAAAAGTACTAGTTAGTAGCGTATACGAATAATTATAGTTGTTAGAAGGGGCTATGTAGGAAAGCCCCAGACTGCTCCTGGGGGTAGAATCTTTATAAGTAATAACGGCACCAGAATTTATCGAAATATGCTATTTCTCGTACAAGGTAGAGCAACTCACCTCCTGCACTCCGAAGATATAGCGCCAACTACCCTCTCTGCTTCTGCTCGTGGCACCTGATCCTCTTCAGCAGTAACAAGGATCACAACAGGATTGTTCTGTTCAACTTCATTGTACCCAATCCTTAGGTAATCTACCGATATCCACCTACACGGTTGCATAGTAGCTAGCACGTGTCTAATATTATCGCGTAGGCCGTTATCAAGCTTTCCGCGGAGAGGGTGGTGCGTAATAACGAAGGCGAGTTTGGCTGCTTGACCGCGAGGCCCCTCATGTCCACCTGGCGTATCAACTATGGGTATACCCTCCCATGGTATAGTGCTGCTTCGTGCCAATAATTTGGGATTTCCGGGAAGGCCAAGGTAGTAATATGTGAAGTCGGGGTTCTCTGGTTTCATCGCCATTATTACGCCGTCCAGATTGTTCGACAAGGCGTTTGACTCTTGCGTGCAATGATTATCTTGTATGCTATTAAATGTAGGTTACATGTTCTGGATCTGAATACACAACCTCTAAAGCAAGCCGTAGGGGATGTGTCAAACGTTTTGGGAGATTCTTGAATTCTGTTATGGTTTAAACTTGCATTTTGGCCCAAAGATATCCTGGTGTTACCACCTTTGCTTTAGTTTGTCCCTAAAATGGCATACAAGTTTCGAGATTCTGCCAGGGCATGGTACGCTAGAGCTGTCTAGTCCCATAACATGAGTTTTCCCACCAAAACCCTCCAGGTACCTAAATTCTAGTATCCAAGAAGGTTAGGGCTCAAAATGGCTTGCAGTTGCAATGTTTCAACCTACCAAGGTAGGTACGCTATGGTGAGCAAACTACCACTTTAGAAAGGATTGTTCGAGCAAAACCCTCTTTCCTTCCCAGTCCATTATTTCCCACCAAAACTTATTTCGTGCTCAATATTCACCTCGCGTCTTCATCATATTCGCAAATCTTTAATCTCTAATACTTATCAAAGAGTAGTCTGAAGGGCACTGCACAACCTATCAGCATGGTACTACCTTTATTTAATCGAGCCTCCAAACGGTCTAGCACTAGTATCGAGGAGCAAGGGGAAGAATTGCAAGGTATGCGGTGTGGATCATCTCATGCGCTTGATCGAGGAAGACGTATCATCGAAGATATTACCAATGGACAGCAAGTCACCCCGTTCGAGATAATATCTCCGTTAACATTTAAAGATATATATGCCCCATCTGCACCGATACCATCACCCCAGGCACCACAACAGCACACAAAATGTGGGACTGTAAAACCTGCCACAATGTCTTCCATTTCCGATGTGCAAGGGCATGGGCGGATGCCAGCCACACGATCGTACCGCGCGGTCAGGACTTAGGAGTAACATGGAACTGTCCAACCTGCTCAGCCTGTGTCGATGGTATTTCCGAGGCCATGTGTTGGTGCAGAAAGCAGCCTTTTAACTTGAGATCCACCATATATGGCTCTCAAGCACCGAATTCCTGTGGGGATACCTGCGGGAAACCAGCACCTTGCACGCATGGAATTTTGATGGGATGCAATAATGCCTGCCACCCAGGTCCTTGCAATCGTTCTTGTACATCAAGTTGCGAGGGCCGTCCTCGGGTGGAGCCAAAGAAACCGACCGCCTTTAAGAGATTCCGGGGAAGGCTCAGTAATATACCGTACAATTCCTTGAAGAAGACGATTCTGCTTTGTAGTATCCTTGTGTGTGTTTACGCTGGACTTGCCGCGCTATTGTATCTCCACATCGCATTTTGGATACGACCCGACAAACATTCAACTCATAGATCAGTCGGCGAAGGTTTAGAAATGACTGCAACAATACTTGGAAACATTGTGCTGGTTTTTCCTCTAGGTGCTCTCGTTTGCATATCGCTAGGTTCGCTGGGGGATGTTACATCCCATGTTTTGGATCTGAATACAAAAACCATTAAAGCAAGCCGTAAGGGATGTGTCAAACTTTTTGGGAAAATCTTCTTGAATGTTGTTAGGGTTGTACTCTGCGTGTCCCCTTTTATTGGGTGGGTGCCTTCAATTTTCTTTGAACTAATTCTACTAATCCCTTGCTTTTGGTATGGAATTTTAAATACAATACGGGTGCCTCGCCTCGCCTCGGTGAGATGCTCAAGTCAGGCACTGTATATCGAACCACTTACATCTAAACTTGCAGCTAGTTTCTTACTCTATCCCCTATCTTTACTGTGTCATGTTATCATAGGCTACTATGCTAACTGTCAATAGATTCCTGGGAGGACCAGATATTGCTTGGTACCATCAATTTCGTAATTCATGCAATGGATTCAACACCAGAATCACCATGGATACAGGTAAGCCGTTCAAAACACCACATATTTCCCAATTCTATCCATCCCACCCCAGCATCTTTTTTATTTGAAGTGTACATGATCAGTTGGAAACTTGGGACCATGACAATTGCATAAGCTTGCATAACACCACCATGTTACCAGAGCTAAAAGATATTGTACCTTGATATTACAGCAACTCATTTATCCTAGCTCCTCCCCAAAGAGTCTTTAACTGACCAACGACTTGGTAGATGGCAACCCTAGCTCGAGATTAGAATTCCGAAGTTTATCCCCTTGGCTGGATTTCCCACCTCCAGTAATGTACCTTGGCCCAAAGATGTCCTTAACGACGTCTACGAATGAATCATTTCAGTATTACCATCGCCTTGCTGGCAGCACGAGCACAATCGAGAATATTGCGGTGGATATCGACTTGGCAAATAACCTTTGGAGGGTCATGAAGCAAAATGATACTGATACAGCTCATATATGTACGTCATATTGGCAGCCGCCATCAAATCAAATCTCTCATAAAACATCGAACATGCAAAAGACCGAGGCTTACGTATTATCATAGGGATGTCTCATGACTCTAAACTGCCCGCACAGGATTCCGACCCTCTTCAACTCCCCTCAGTGCCCACATTTTTCCCGATTCTCGAAAATGAGATGTATTCGGGAACATTCTCAAGCCTTTCTTCCGAGCAACCACACATGTTCATTCCATACCTCTACCTAGCAATCCCCAACATGTATGCATTCTTCCACAACTGCAACATTGAGCCATTTATGCGAGTCATCGACACGTCTAATCTGGAGCAAGACGAGAACGAGATGAAACATGTATTGGAGAGTAAGTGGGATAGTAGGAGCGATGATAGGGTATTGATGCGCACTGCGTCTTTTGGCCACGGTAGACAGGATTTGAGTGCTTGTGCAAGGGAGGGAACTGTGATGAGTTCAATACAAGAGGAGAGACTTGCTGGGGAGGGAATGATGAGTGAGTTGTTGGTGAGTGGAACTATCCATCTTATTTTATTAGCCTCTCCTTTGGTGGCTTTCGCCATAGATGGTCTCTTTGAGACTCATGTTCTGATGCGATGTACTAAAAGATCTTATAGGTGCCATTCGCAATTATAGCAGTAACACGAATGAGGCTTAACGAAACGGGAGTTAGGACTACTAGGTGTTAATATCCTCTGAAAGTTGCCGTGCTACGTTCTTTTTCGAGGGGGTGCTGGTATATCTTAGTTTGTCCCTTTTTTGCATTATATTTTTGAAGATTGGCTTGGTAAGTGTCTTGAGATTTTTGGGAAAGGGGCGCATGAATAAACTCTTTATCTGCACATAGCAAAGTGACTCCTTGGGTTCAAATGCAACACCCTTTTTAAAACATGGCTTGCACCACGCATGTATATTTGTAAAATTGATGGCTATGGCCCAACTCGTTCCTTTGGCGGTTATAAAATTTAGAATTATCATCCACGCTGCATACTATAGTGAGATGTTTAGTTTTAGGGGTGAGAAAGAAGAAGGATAGATCTAGTGAAAATCTAGAGGGATGAATAGGTGCCGTATTGGGCGTTTTCGGAGATTTTAGGGATAGATGCGTGGATTTATATAGAGATAGTGTGTGTGTGGGTTTAATACAGGGGTTTGGAATATTAATATAATAGTTGGAAAGACAAGTAGTGTGCCCTGGTTGTGTATTGTTTGAGATTTTGTGAGACATTGATGTAAGTTGGTGATTTTGCTGGTGATTAAGGCAGGGCTATCAATATTGTTGCGTGTATGTGTATGTGTTTAGTGTTTAGTAAGCTAGAAGCTGCCAAAACGAGGCATATCTAGAGGTAATGGGAGATTCTCTAGCTTTCCCAGTCGGGTCAAGATAGTCCCTAACTGAATACCCTACAGTGACACGCCGCAGCGGATGCCAGACCAGGCTACAGAGCACCAAGGCTTGGAGGGAAGGCCTGAGGAGGAGGGGCTAGCTGCTATCCCGTTCTGGGTACCTATGCCGCTGAATCAGGCGGCTGCACATGTCTCTAGACTGTGGCCACAGTTCTGCTTTGTTATAGGGCGGCAAAGACCAAAATTTTGTCACTTATGCGACACCTATCGAGTACGTGTTAGAAGATATTAGACAAACCCGCAACACGAAGGAGGTCAAACTAGTTGTTGGGAAGGGCTCCGAAGGAGGATAAGACGAATGCCGTATTGGGTCCCCTAACACGAGGAAATTCTGTTTGCGCTTATCTAGTGAAATGAATGTCTTGTGTGCCATCCACTATAGGTTACATGTTAAAGTAGATAGGTTAGAAATAATTTTGAGGAAAGGGAGGGGGACTCGAGCTGGGGATCTCACATCCCATGTTCTATATCTGAATATTAGAACTACTAAAGCAAGCTATACATAATGTGCCAAGCCTTTTGAGAGATTCTTCTTGTATATTATTAGGGCTGTGCTCTATGTAGAATGTGCCAAATCTTTTGAGAGATTCTTCTTGAATACTATTAGGGCTGTACTCTACATATCCTCCAACCTTGCCGCTTTCGCTGCATCCATATCCTGCTGCCACTCCTTATTTGCCTTCAAGGCATACTATTTGCTCAGTTCCTATATCGCGTGAAGTTGGCGCATTGCAGCGATAGTATTGGCCTCGATGGAAAGCTTGACATCGAACCTGTATCCATGGGCGAATCCATAACCCCAAGGAGTATTGGCATCCAGGAAATTGATATCCAACAGGAAGTCTGCCTCCATGACATGGCCCTCTGGGGTATCGATAAGCTTAGACTCCAGTTCGGTGAGTCCCTCGCTATCTTCGTCTGCACACTCGATCTTGAATTTGGCCCCGGAGGGAAGGGCAGGAAGTGTCTCGCCTATCGGAACCGTAGCCTTGATGTGCAGGGTGAAGTGCAAGGGATTCGAATTGTCAGCTTCTATCACCAATATGTGAACAGGAGCTTCGGGTCCCATGTTGAAGAACTTCTCAAGCTGCGCACGTTTGAATGCAGTGTCCTGAAGCAATGCTACAGTATTAAAAGCTTCAAATTCCCGGGCTGACGTAAACCAGGACTACATCTTATGTGGAACGGAGGACCCGGTTCTCTCATCTCGCATCCATGGCAAATATGGTGCGTTCTCGTGTCCCATGATCACCAGCTCGGAATATGACGGGGTGACTTGTGGGTTGGCGGAATTGATGAAAGGGACATGGCGATCCAGCTTATAGCCCCAGTAAATGCCATCTTTTTGGAATCGGTGAACGACATAATCCCAGAAGCTATCCACGAAGTCAAGATGGTCGGTCGACATGCGGGCGACAGTTATGTACTGGATCGACAGAGCTCCTTCTCTTTTCTCGACCAGAGGTGACTGACTGCCAACGTATCCTGGCTCAGTACGAGGATCAGAGAGAGGCCCTATGATGGCGAGTCGAAAGAATCTTATGCCGTTCTCTTGACGAAGGTTCTTGATCGAGTCGATGACACTCGCAATTTTCTCATCATTGTCGCTGATAGGGGGCAGTCCAAGGTCAGTGACTGCCTGTTGAAACATCCCTGTAGTCGAGTTGCGGATGGCACTGAGCGTAACCTTGCCACAGATTTGCTCTGAACTGATGAACAGAGAATGTGAGCTCTTGAAAGGTTGGGGTTGTGGGACACCCAGTTTAATTTCGAGCATGGGATTCTGCGATGAAATATGGTATCTGTATTTCCCCGCTCCATCCTCCTTGCAGGCAGGAAGGAGCACGGATTCATCTTTGGTGGAAAATATCAACATGCATTTGTAGGCACTAGTTCCTTTAATCGTATTCTTCGTCTTCCTAGGAGTATCACTACCCAATGGACTACTAGTCTTCCCTTCATACGCGTCCAGGAAGTGTTGATAGGCTGTCCTTGTGGCGCTGAGCCTCTTCTGGGTACCATGATCTTGTGAGGCGGGAGCAGGCTGTTTCGATGGGCCTCTCAGGTCTTCATCATCGTTAGCCTTTCGCTTCTTACTTTCTTTCGGAACTTCAACGGTAGGCTGAAGAGGCAGACAAGACATATTGAACGAACTAAGAAATTAGGTTAGCTTTGCAAGGACTTTGTGAATTAGAAGTACATAGGTCCTACCAAGCTCCGCCATGTGCTGTAACTTGTGCCAGGATGAAGATTTGTACCTTTTGGGTATTCAGTTGAAGGGTAAGCTGAGACTACGAGCTTATCAGCAATTCCCACGGACAAGAATCATCAAGCATACCGATTAAATGACCCATAAAATGCCCTAAAGCAGCCTTCTCGGGAGTAGTAGATCAGATTCTAGGTATGCTTCGATAAGATCAATGCACAACCGCGATTTGCAAGATGTGTACCAATTCAGAGGACTATGAGGCTCCTTCAAGATCGATAGACCGATGCTACAAACCCGATCAGCAAAAAGGACGAGGTCGTCGACGCGACGTGGGGATGGAAGGCAGTGGTTGCAAACTTGCGATATCCTACCTTTGGGAAGCAGAGTATGGGTGATGGTACAACAACCTTAATGTTTGTCGATGGTTTGAAATAGTCTGAGGATACTGGTAGTGAGTAACTATGCTAGCGGAGATCAAATACTTAGCTGGGAAAACATTCGACAATACTTGTCAAAACTTCCGAGGAAACTCGCTGGAAACTTGGGACTGAGCGCAACTAGGTTCAGTAAGAGTATTATAAAGGGTGTCGCAAAAGCTTCGCATGAGTGATACAACAACAAGAGTATGGCATAGGCTGACAAGCAGCTGCAATAGTTCTGATCGTTGGTGTCACTGGCGAAGGAAGAAAAGGAAGGAAGGCTCGCTCGCGTGCGAATACCTTCAAAACCAATGCGTAGCGAGAGCCAAAGGCATTAGCGCCATTTGTCACGTACGATACCATGGAGATAAGCGAACAGGTTCCCACCATAGCCTGGTCATAGTTGGCAGAAAACAAGGACTAGACTGAGAATACACATAACGCATCTTCCAAGTCTCCTAGGCCAACAACTCTCTAAGCATTCGGCCGCGTTGGATTCCGCGTGATGACTATGGCCCAAGTAGCATTCCTTTCGCGCTTGTAAAACTTAGGAAAGGTATATCGGGTTCAATCTATGGCGTTCTGCTTGGGGGAGTAGGCATATCCAACCAACCTTCTCCCTCGTCATTGCAGTTTTCCAGGCTTAGGGACCTCCATCTAAACCTCGTTATTAGCAACACAGGGAGCATTATGATTCCTTCAATAACAATGGGTAGGAGTTATAGAAGAATTGGATGGGGTTACTATACAAAGTGACACGGATGTTCCCCCTTCAATTGGCCCCAATCGGCTTCGAACAACTTTGTCCCACATGCTATTTGGTGTACATATAAAATGGCCAGTATACTGGCTAGGGGGCTAATGAAGGAGGGTAATGGCTCAAGACATCTGGGACATTGTGGCAATGCATATTGGTTTCGTAGTATTTGTACTATTGAAGCAAAGGTAGTGACTCGGAGTGGAACAAAGTAATAGTGCTTGAGGAATAGACATGTGTATATACCTAGGTACTCTCGGAAAATAATCAGAAGTCCTCCGCCCACGATGATGGTTAGGCTAATCACTGAGATGGCTTCCCAAGTTAGATACTTCCACTATTCCTCCAGGTAAATGAAAAGCGCTCAAAGTGAAAAGATTCCAATCCGAACTACTCTTGGCTGGTAACGCTGAGTTACTGTTGGTCTAGAGCAACTTGCCCCATATTTACAGAGCATGACTGCTGAAAACCGAAAATCGCATAACATTCATGAATAGTCTTCAGTGATTATCCATCAATCTTCGCTGAGCATAAAGTTATTCGCTCTCCTAGCATTTGCAACTCAATTGGTGGTTCCTGGGAATCATCCGCAGCGCCTGATTCGCCAGTCGGCAAGGAGGCAAGTGCCTTCACTTGAGCAGTTCTTAAATGTCTCAGGAAAATCTCCTCCACAATAATCATCATACTCGATGGCACTATAGGGACATATTGTTCCCCTGTTATGAAGATTATGAAATTAACAACGGCCATATAAAATGGGAATGCTTGCATAAGCTCCTCAGTCAGTTCCTGGTCAGTGGCAGTGCTGAGTGCTGATGTGTCTGGAAATAAATATAGTTGTACAGCAGCTAGGGCAACCGTCGAAGTAAACACATTCTCCGATTTTCGCTCGAAACCTGTAATTATTTCATCCTTTAACCACGATACGGCCGACCCTTTCAGGGTCTCGTACGGACAATGTTCGAGGGTGTCAGAAATAAACGTCAGCCGAACACGGTCGACAGGATGCGAATGAAGGATATCCGACGTGAGGACATGAGCAGCATATCGCAAAGTTGGCGATGGTGTATTTGCTGATAATAGAGATAGAGATTGCAGATGTCGTAGGAAATCATCGTCTTCTAGCGGCCCCGACACAAATTCATTGTTATGCTCCAACCACAACCCAATGGCTAGAATAGCATCTATGATACTTTGGTCTTCATTACCAATATTTGTTGGTCCCTCGATTCCAATAAAACTCTTGACAAGCTTTGCATGGTCAGGAAATATTGACAGTTTTGGCTGAGGAGCTTTGGATTCGAAGAGGATCGAAGCGAAGGTGAAGCAAACTATTAAAAATAAGGACCCTAGTTGGGATAGTGGGATATCTCCAGGCGTAGAAGGATAGTTTTCTTCGGACTCATCTTCGGCAGGTGAAGTGTCGGCTTTGTAGATGGCATCGAATAGGTCCGAGTAGTTCGTCAAGTCGAGATCGCGTGATAGAGCCTGGATTACTGTTAAAATCAACCGTTGAAGGGAAACAATTTAATAATTACGGGACTGCAGGCCACCGCTTTCTGGAGATAGAATGCCCCAGGCTGGCACTCCCCCGAAACGCGATGGCCTGCGGCCCCGTAATTATTGTACTTACCACCAGTTGCCCTACAATAATGTCTCTTGATTGAAGCGTAGGATCATCTCGGAATGCCTCCCCTAAACTCCTCCTTCCAGCGACCACCTTTTCTGGTGCAAATAATTCCAGCAGCCGGGCCGACCATTCCAGTGGATTGGCCTTTACATAATCCTCCAAAATATGTGTAACGAATGATTGTAAAAGTTTCGTTTGTATGCCAGCCTCCCTTGGGTCCTCGTCTTGTGCTTCAGGGTCAGGGGCAGATGGGTCTGACTCTGATGATCCATTTTGGATAACTGGGATATTGATGCTGGATTTGCGACCTGGAAGTGATGGTCGTTTCTTGCCAGAGATTGTATGCACGAAAGAAATGACTGCAAGGGTTGCTTGATGAGATGGTCGGAAAGCAGCAAGAGCCGCCATGAGGGACGTTGAAAGGAACCGCGAGGGATATTTCGTTTTGATTCTTGGATGGAGGATTGAGAGTAGGTTGAGCAGCTCGCAGAACTTATCGATACTAGTAGGCTCTGTTCCTACAGATTTCTCCTTAGCCTCCTCATTGTTGGCATCGACACTTCCGCTGTCACTCTCAGAGGCATCTAAGTCTAATAATTGCAATGCCTCTGTAACCTTGAGCACAACCTCCCGCGGATTTCCCAGTCTCGCAATGGTGGCCAGGCATTTCTCGGCACCAGGTAGCGGAAGGAGAAGATGAATCAAGTCCCACCCGATATTTTGCGTCAGCCCCGCATCCTGAAGAATATCGTTTAACGATGGGAGTATATCTGGAGATAGATGGGATTCGAGGATGGTCAAATAGGTGAGGTAATCTGTCGCAGGTGGAAGGCTTTTCGTGATGGCGATGATGGCATCGGAGCTAGGTGCAGCTGGAGCTGGAGCTGGAGATGCGGCTGCGTCTGTTGGTTCGGGTACTGGTGCGGATGTTGAGGACATTGTTATGAGTCCCCTAACGGGAGAGGGTGGAAAGTAGTGGGGGACAGAGGGAAAAAGTATTGGTCCACGGAGAGGATATGTGTGGTGATGATGTTGTTGTCTGGAGAGTGGCAGGATGAACCTCACTGCCCCGCCAAAGCCGCCAAGTCCCACAAGGCTGGCAGCCAAGCGAGCTCACGATAGACGGTGAGACCTTTATCCGGCAGATCCTCGGGACAGCCCTTCTCGCACGTCTGGGACCGACGTAACCTGGAAGGTTAACCATATTGTGGTTTTGCAACCACAGGAATATAGCGTTCTGCCAATTTGAAGAGAGATAAAGGCACAAGCTCGACAAGCACAGGTAGAGCTACATGCAGTTATCTGCACACAAGCCTTCCTCTTTCTTCTGCCACTGACGTTGGTCTTGCGTTTCTGTTTCCATTGGGGCATACCCGCGCTCACCTCATCCCTTTCATGGCGCCAACAGATCTGCCCAACCTTGGAAACACTTAGTACTTTGTATGAGGGATTGAAGCACACAATAACTAAGTATGCATAGTGCAAGACTGGCTCGGGCAAATGCTGTGGATCTCGGCCGTAGCTATAGGGGTGTTCAATGCTGTTGCTTTTCAACGGGTTGGAAGTCGCCAACTTTAGGTGAACATGAACATGCTCTATTCTTTGATGCGCACCTCAGCAGGGGGGGCAATGAGATATTATACAACTGCTTGTAACCGGATTTCCCGTGGGATATGTTACTCAAGGCGATTACCAAGCTGTGTTCACCAATAACATGAGACGCTTGCTGACACGACATTCCACAGATCGGCGAGCTACATCTAAGCTCCACGCTCCCAATCCAAACCGTCAAACTATCACGAAACAATTCCCAAACTCACTGCAAATCTGTTCATTATCTACAATGGCTACATTTCAAGGTCCAACAACGGAGGAAGCAATCTCTTTGTTCCAAGAAATCGAAAAGAAATTCCCATCACAGTCATTGGGGGAGGACAAGTGGTACCTAGTTGCTGTGCGTTAGAATTTTTTTTTGATATCGGTTGTACGCTTGCTCATCTGCCAGCTTTCGGCATTAGTTGGAGTCGAACCGGATCACGTCGGGACGCTCTATTCCTATCTGATCAGCAAGCCCGCATATGCAACTTCCGAGTCTCGACAAGCTCTGATACGCCGCATACGCGAAGGTCTGGTTGAGAACATATCAATCCAGGGGGTCTGCAAACCTATTGAGGCTCTCTTTTCAATTGTGAAAGTCGAGCGGCCTGAGGACAGGGATTATTCTTGCTCCAGGTACGAATGATCGTGGAATCCTGGAAGACCGGACACTGATCTGGTCGTTTTAGGGAGAATTGGCAAGCCGGGCCCGAGAATCGCGCAAGAGGGGAAGCATGGCTGAATACCATATATCAAGGCAATCTTTCTGACGCAACCGACAAGTTTGCTGCTCATAAGGACTTTGACTTCATCTCCCGCGAGATCACTTACGGATTCTACCTATCTGATCACAGCATCCTCGGCCCGGTTGAGACAGAGCTGATCGTGCTATCTGGAATTATGATCCAAAATCTGCCTCTTGAGACTGCGTGGCATTTACGGGGAATTCGGAGAGTTGGCGTGAGCAAGCACGATGTGGAATTAATCCAGCAATGCGTAAGTTTTGAGCCCGCACTGCTCTAAGCCAACTAACACGATATTAGATTGAGTTAGTTGCCAAGTTTGGAGGTGCCAGACTTCATAAAGTACCTAGAGTTGCGGATGTTGAGCATGAGATATAGGTCGTTGCTCTTAGACAGTCACATTATGACAAAATTACAAGCCTAAAAAGTCTGAAATAGTATCTTACCATTATGTACTCCAGTATCATATTTATCAAGAGTTGATGGCGCCATAGTGGGGTTTAAGATGTAGGTCTACCACAAAATAAAGTATCTAATACTAGAACCCCTTTTCCTGAAAGTAAGCGGCATATCCTTCGACTGCCCAGCTACTAGTCAGCCTCCTCCTAACCCCAACCGAAAAATCGATAGTTCGATAGCTATATCAAGTGCTAGCCCCCAAATTGCGTTAGGAATTTTAATATCCTCTGTCAGCTTACTTAGTCTATGTCCCATCTATACTCTTTTACCCGTTCCTTGGTTGTATATTAAACTGCGCGCCATGAAACCGATCGTCGCTAGGACAAATTGAGTTTCCCGACCCCAAACTTGAAGGATCACCATGATTTACAAAATGGCCCCCACCCCCTTTATCTAGTTCTAGATTTCTATGAGGCTTGATAAGCCCTCCATCTACCCCTAGCTACAGACTGCAGAAGGGTAGCACAGCTTAGAGTAGGCTATATTAACAACCTCAGCACGTACCCGACTTCTACAAGTTTACGCATAGTCGAACTTCATAAAGCATACCACCCTCACGTCAAAACTCAACCCAAGCAGGGAAGCCTCGAAACCCCAATATCTTGGGAGGTACTTAATCCACGGCATGTACGTAGTATCGCTACCACAGATACAGTAGATAAATCAAACACACTTACCAAATTCCCACCAATACTCAGCTGCTCAATCTGTCACACCTCGGACATCCGGATCAAATCTGGGGTGACGACAACCCTGTATGTGCAGAAATCTGCAAAGTGGAATGGGAAACGATCGCGGGCCAAAACCTCGTTGCGAGGACCAGCCATGTGGATGCGGGGTTTCCCGTGCACGTAACTTGTATAAATAGCAAGTACGCCACAGGAGGAGCTTTTTCTCTTTGCCGGTGAACTCAAATCCAAGCCGTTCTTGAATCTGATACCTTTTTCTTCGGTTATTGGTTCGGGTCTGTGATGTGGCTTATCGCGCAATTGCTGCTGCATTATCCGGGAAACAGGGCGCTGGGCCTGTCGACGATCCTGATTGATGGCCCTCCTTGAAACGTGCGAACTGTTTCCCGCATTTGTTAGGTGACTGTGAACGGAGAAGGTGGCACTTGGTTGTGCATTGGTAATCTATTGGATTTTTCATTTGAGAGCACACCACCACCACGCATGCCTCGGGGGAATTTACTCAATCGGTCATTTATGGGATTCTTGATATGGTACTTTAATCAATATTTGAATAGCAGTTTAGAACCAAGTATGACCGATGTATATCTTATATCGGGCTTTAATCGCTATCTTGTGGCTTAGGTAGCTGAATATAGGATATTAGATCGAAGAACTAGTGGGGTTTGGAGCGTTAATCAGGCGATCTATAGTAGACAAGGCAGTGCTGATTCCTCGTGGGTTTGGATACATGGCTCAAAATCAAGTACGGATTCGAGAAATGTACTATTTCAAGATTTATTCCAGTTACCCGAGTTTCTCATGGCTAGATTTTGATTGAGGTAATTGCTGGCTGCGCGAAGCGTTGTCCAACTTGTGGTCACAGTTCGTGGTGTGTGCTGTAACTATCGATCTTTCTGATTCCAAAAACACCAGCTGATAGAAAACCGGGTTAAAAATATTCTGTTTAACAGATCCTTTAATAGACTTGATACCGTGTTAAGTTCAAGTTAGAATATACAGAGTGTCAAAAAAGCCGCCGATTAATCCAGATTCCTGCGCCATGCTCCCTTGTAGTACTCGTATATCTTCCACACGAGAGCCTGCCTCACACAAGCGATAGACCCAAAGCCTGGTATTCAAATTTTTTTCATCATATGTACATGCTGACCCCCAACCATCTAAAACCGAGACCCATATATTCATTAAGTATAAATCCTTAACATATGCATATGCTACCGCCTCACGGGCTCTGTACTTATCGTAAATGCCTTTTGCACTACAATCCCGGTGCTAAAATCAATCGGATTTAAGTTATGTTCCGAGTGCGTCGGCGTTTTGTTGTGGTCTAACCTCTCATCGTCCTCCGTCACGGATTCTCGAAAACACGTCGTTAATGGCGCATCGTTATTGCTCCCGTTGTTCGTGAAATTCTTCGGCCAGGCTTTATCTAGCCTCGTAAACCCTGAGCGAGGGCTGTTCGACGAGGCGAGAATCTTCCCCTGCCTATCCCCAATGCTAACACCCGAAAGTCGGATGTTTTTAAAATTGCCGTTGAAATTTCCGTTGAAGTTCCCATCTTCCACCTTGTTGTTGCGGAAGCGTCCGCGAATGCCGCGGAAGTCAAATTCTCCAAGGTCCCTGAAGAAGGGGTTGAGGAGTGGTCGGAGCGAAGGCAAACAGGCGGCGATGAGATACACGCCGGGCTCTATCGTGGTCCACATTACTACGTCGAGACCGGTCCAGCTGAGATCCAACTCGGGATCGGCAAGCTTCAAGAAGACCGCAAAACGTATAATAGATGTAATGATACCACTAAATGAGAAAGTCTAATTAATAACGATGCACTACTTGGCCCAATGCCTTCATGGGGTGAACTTGATAACTTACACGCTACCGGTCAAAAACGTCAGGGTGAGCCCGATCTTCTGATTTGTCGTCGTTTGCAGGCGCCAGATGAGTGGAAGAGGAAGAATAATAATTGCCACGTCCGTGACTATATGCGGTATTCCAAACCAAATGAAGATTTGGAATTCGTTCAAGCACTTTCCGGGTAGCGACTTATCCCATAGCTTCTCGAACGGAGAGCACATGGCCATTTGCAAGATGAAGGATACAATCCAAGCTACAATCAGCATGGCCCCAATAAAGAAAGCGCCATAGCGGTATATCTTTGTCGAAAACACTCGAAGATACAAGCACAATATGGCTAGCTTTGGCAACGTGATGGCGGGCGGATTTAACAACGCAAGCGTAAGTTCCAGTTTAAGGAAATATTTTAATCGCTCGGGTGATAATGATACTGTGTGCTTTCCCAGACCACCTTTTTTAACAAAGACTAGATGATTATTAGCGATTGTTGGTAAGTACCGAAGTATAAATCAGATAGCGTGGAATCCCCGTAGATCGACCAACGTCGAGCAATCCCGACTTACCAATGCATAGAGCTAAATGCGCATAACTCGCAATAAATGCGGGCACCATCAGATAAACATCGAAGCCTTTGAGCGTCCCGAACTTATATCGCGAAAAGAGGAATAGCGAAACAAATAACACCTCTAAAATAGCGAAGATGATCACCACATGTATCAGCCTCTCACTCTGGTCTTCAGCTAGGAATTCGGGCGAGAACAGCTTCGCGGCCTTCGCTGGGTCCATAGCGTCGAGATGTGGAGCGTCCGTAAAACCACCATCGAGGACGCAGAACTCGGGCGCAAATTCGAAGGGATAGCCAGCGACAAATACCAAGCAAGAGGATGGGAGATAGAACGTAAGATAGACAATCAGGAACCAGGGCCGAGCGAGATTTCAGGGAGGCCTTTGGGAAGTCGGGATGCAGAGTAGTCGACCCCCCCGCGCGCGCAGACAGAATCGCAGTCGCAGGTGACGCCGGCGGGACGTGGAGGGAGGGTTATGAATTAGGGGAGAGCCAGGGCAAGAGGCACAGGCATAGGAGGGAGAAAGCGCAATAGGTACTCCCGAATGCGTATATTAGTATTAGTATAGCACTTCAGGTGCCTGTCTCCTCGTCTCCCAGCGTGGGCGAAGGCCGCAAGGTACTGTGCTTGCTAAGTTTCTCCCGGTCCAGTCAGGCACTTAGGCGACTCTGGGAATTGGGCATTGCCTTGGTACAGCACTGTACTCGCTGGATCCTTGGGGTACTGAATTGCCCGGGCAGGCCGTATTCCGGGCACTCCACGAGGGGGGTTGGTGAGAAAGGAGCACAGGAACTTGCCAGCAGCTCTCTCTCTGTTTTTCTCTCCCGCCGAGTGTCTCATCTCTCTCTCGGGCTCTCTGGCGCTCCTCTCTCGCTGCTTCTGGATGCGCCGTCGGGTGTCCAGCTTGAGCCCCTGCGAGCATGAGACTGCACGGTGGCTGACGAGACCTGGTCAGCACAGCACAGCGCAGCAATCAATCGTGTTCTCGCATGGGGAGGGAGCAGAGGATCCGGATCCCATTTTGGAGCAGCGGATTGTGGGCAAATCACGGCTGGGCTTGGGCAAACGGCCTTCCTGATCGTGGCGGGCCATGGCGCAAGACTGCGCCGTCGCCCTACAGCAGAGACAGGCCACAGGAGCTGCCACATCGCGACGAGCAGTGACGGATGGTGGAGGTGATTATTGAGAGCCGTGTTGAATTGTGTGGACTGTGTGGAGGAGTTCGTGAGAACTTACTACTCGAGCACCTCCGTAGGGCGCGACGCAAGGGCCAATTCCCGTTGAATTCTCCGGCCCCCAAACACCCCACGATTCCCGTCATCGTCGCCCGTCATCTATCATCTACCAGTATGGTCCATGATCGATCATCCATCAGCCACCATCCACCATTCCCGCGATGGCCAGAGAGCGTGCGTAGTGCGCATAGTACAGAGCATACGGAGCTCGTAGTACCTAGAAGCTACTCCTCGCTACCTACTCTGTACAGCATACGACGGGTTCCCGTTTAGCCGCCGAGGAAACGTGTATTGTGTATGGAAGTAAGCACTGAACTGAATCGTCCCACGTAAAGTGGTCGCACTCGCGTGCAATATATTATTATTTGGTTATTTTCCATGCCTTCCACGCGGCCAACCTTGTTCTTTCGCCCCATTCTTTCTTCTCATTGCCTATTGTCGTGGACTCCTTGAATCTCCACCTTGAATCTACAGGTGCTGGAGTCTGGAGAGTTGGCACACTCGCGGGCACCGTAACCCTCCATTTCAAGGATTCCATTCCACCCTCTCGGACCCGCTACTTCGTAAGGGGCAACGAATTCCCATGAACATCAAGGTGCTGCTCAAAACGTGCTGGATCGTCCCCGAAAGGGCCAGATCTCCGACGTGGAGTGGTGTCATCAACAATGATCAAAGGCTTCTTTTAGCCTTCAGCTTCCTTTTCCCCTGTCATGCTATCTATGCAAGAAGTCCTTAAATGCCCCCGAGGGACTGGCGTGGTCACTGTGGTCAGCCCAGGTAAGCTCGGTGATTTGCCCACGTGAGGCGGCGCCATGGACGGAATTCCACTCCTCGCGGTCTTCCCCGTAAATGCTGACAAGATCGTCGTTTCTAGCATGCTTGGTACCATGGATTGCGATCCGGATGACTCGATAGGGCCGGTATAAAGCTGGTACGAAGTATGGGCAATGAGGAGATATTTCCTCACTTGAAACCTCGAACCAGGAAGAAGCAGTGCTGAGGAGACAACTCCACCAGATCCTAGGTGATGTTACCCGGCATATAGGACATATACTCGTGCCCTTTTTTCTTCTTCATGAACGAAGTACGGAGTATGGAGTAGATTATTGCGGATCTTTCCTTCACTGAGAAAGCTGGCGCAGCGCCCAGGAACAGACCTCCACACGTGACATGCGCCGGCCAACAAGCCATCCGCCACCACGTCGGGGACATTTCCTCCAAGAAGTCCACCAGGGCCACCAAAGAGGCCATCAAGTCCGCCGCCTCCTGAGCTAAAGTAAACAGGCGCACGGGGACCGGGAACTAGTCGCTCTAGTTGCTCTAGTCGCAACCTTTTTCTGACTTCATGAGTTCCTCAGTCTCGGGTCGTTCTTCATTGTCCCTTTTCGTTAGGCTGCACGAAATAAATTCTTCGAACTGTACGTCGCCGGTCAGCTGATGGACAGCCTCGCTTTGTCGCGACAATTCGACAATTCGGACGCAGGCATCCGCCGGGCCAGTCTGGCCGATAGCGAATTAACCATGGACTATCCCTCGCCGCCGGCTTAATCCTTCAAAGCGAGCGGCGCGAGAGCGACTGCATATCCCCCCAACAGTCGAGGCTGTGCCGTCGATATACATAGATACAACGTCGTATCAAGGACCCATTTACCCGCTTATGCGGAAAGTCCCTCGGGCTTATCCTTGTCTCCACTCGCCAGCCGTGGGGAATTGGTGTAACGACTGGAACGAGATAGCTCTCCGCACAGAGCACTCCGCACACGGTAACAAATCTTCCTTATTATTATTATTCATACGGAGGTACATACGCCTGCCCCCTACGAAGTACAGACGAACCACTAGGGACCGCTTGGGACCGCTTCGCCCCGAGACCGTTGTGGGGCCGTGCCCCTATTACGACGTCCAAAAGGCGGCAGATCTCACTAAGATCGTTCCCGGCCCCAGAGCCGCAACATTGGCATCGTGAATAATCGTCGATTCGCAGCTGCACAGACAGAGCGGTTGGTGGCACAGTCTCGACAATAAACTCGGGATTGATGCTGTCCATAAACATTCTTGAATCCGGGGCGTTGTGCTTCAACTTGCCCGGATTTAGCTGACGTTGGGTGCGATAACTCGTGTCCGCCATGCAGAGACCAGGAACCACGAAACACGTGTGATCGCTCCCTACGGTTAACGATTCTCAGGTGGTTGGAGAGCCTATCGAGTTAGTGGGAAACCAGAGGGCCAGCCATTATCATTCTCTGAGAATCCGCTCTCCTTCCTAGTTGCACTGCGGGGACGAGTGAGGTTAATCAATCACCTTATTTGCAACTTCAAAGCCCATGCATACAAGCTCATTTGACCCTTGTACTGCGCCACCCAACGCCAACCTTGCGGAGCGAAGATCCTTCCGCATCAAACTCTTACTACACCACTAGCCTTGGCGAGTTGTCTAAGTGCCAGGGCTTACAGTTCCAGCCAATTGTAGTGGAGAATCGAAGTACCATGCCGGCAGTTCGACGGATCTCGAACACTTGCAGTAGGGAAGTTTCGCAAGGCTCCTGTTCAGCACAGTAAGAGCTTGCTGTAGGCCTAATAATATCAATGATCCCCCACTTGTTTCACTCTTTACGTGAGCAGTAGACTTTTCGATGATCCGCAAGCAGGCAGCTAGCTCCTGGCGTTTGTCTCCGTCTTTCAGCAACTCAGCCACCAGTCACAATCACGGCGATCTACTCGATTTAGAAGGACGCTAAAGTAATGCCTAAGGCTTATCGTTGACACGTTCTTGGCCTTTGCTTCGATCCTGTGGTTTCTTATAGACTTGGCAACGGTTTCTTGGAACTTTGGCAATTCCTGTTTGCGGCCCAGCTTCGACAGCCTCGTTCATCGATTCAGCGGCGACAGCTCCGGTTAGCAGCTCTGCTTCGATTATTATTCTTCTTCTTGCAATGGCACCCTCGAGGTCGGGTAGTAAGGACATCATACTGGGGGATCTGTCAAGCGGATCCGTGAAGAGTTCCCGCGACGAGGCGTCGATCACGCAGAAAGCTGAGGCCACCAGTGTGGAGGAGGAGATATCGGAAACCGTATTCATAACTGGATGGTCCCTCGGTCTGATTACCTTCGCGTAGGTGTTGCTCGAACGCTGGATATGGTGGATTACTGATGGTTATCGCCCACGTAGACAATGTCTCGCCTTATTCGTTGCTCAGATGGAGTCGTCCATCGTCAGCACATCCATTCTTGCCATAACAAACGAGTTGGGAGGTTTTAACAAGAGCTCCTGGGTATTCACAGCATTTTTGCTCACCTATAGTGGTATGGCTGTGTTCTTCAAACCCGTGAGAATATGGCATTAACAGGGCTTTTCTAAAGGACTTGTTATTATCTGGGCCAAAATGAGCGATATCTTCGGACGGAAGCGTTTACTTCTGGTAGCGCTCATTCTCTTCATCGTATTCTCGGGCGCATGCGGTGCAGCTCAAACTCTGATTCAACTGTCAGTGAATCCTAGACTATCTGCCGGCTTCCTGTATTAACAAAATTCTAGAATCATGTTCCGCTGTATCCAAGGTATTGGAGGGTCTGGTATCTTCTCCCTGGCGATCATCATCTGGTTTGAAATAGTACCACCGAGGGATTTCCCAAAGTATACAGCTCTGGTAACAGTCGTTTTTACATTCTCCGTCACATTTGGCCCCTTGATTGGAGGTTCCTTGACGGATCATACGACTTGGAGATGGATATTCTTATTGAAGTGAGTGGCAGCACAGTTGCTATTGTTGACCTATAACTAACCAGATTTATTGCAGTGTCCCTCTTGGATTTATATCACTAGTTATTTTATTTTTCCTGCTGCCGACAACTTTACCTGCGCAAAAACACTCAGCTACCCCGCTCGTGGGGAATATTTGGTCCCTAAAAAACCTCCAAAGGATTGATTTCATCGGCGCAACTCTGTTGCTTGGAGGCTGTGTCCTGTTGGTTACTGCCTTGCAGCAAGCGGCGGATGGCATCTCATTTGCAGCAGCAGTCGTGCTGAGTTTGTTGATATTGTCTGGAGTGTTTTGGGTTGCATTCGTCATATGGCAATGGTTCATAACGACTAAACGAGAACTTCCGGAACCAGTATTCCCATGGAGGTTTTTCAGCAGTCGGGTTTTTATGGGAATGATTCTGTACGGTTATTCTAGAGGAGATTTTATGCTATTTGCTAACGATGATGTAGCAACACGTTTTTCGCAGGTACTATCCTGACGGTTCTAACCATACAGCTTCCACAACGATTTCAAACCGTCAATGGAAACTCTGCTCTGATCGCCGGAGTACGGCTGATCTCGTTCGGTCTTTTGGCTCCAGCATCATCTGCTATATCTGCAACGATCATTGGTAAAACAACTATCCCTCCAATCTGGCATATCCTCCTTGGAAGTTTTTTGGAGATCGTTGGAACTGTTGGGCTATCGAAGACACCGACGACTTACGCCATTGCGCCTCAACAATATGTTTTCCAAGTTATTACGGGCGTGGGGGTTGGCTTTTGCAATGCGGCGTTGATGTTATTGGTTCCCAATGTTGTCGAGAAACGGGATCTAGGTGAATATCCTAACGCTGACGAGTCAAGGAAACATTTTACTGACCTTGGAATAGCGGTTGGAACGGCAGCAATTACACAGTTCAGGGTGTTAGGAGGAATCATGGGCCTTGCCATCGTGATTAGCGTCATGAACAGGGCGATACAGTCGGATCTATTGGATATCCTTCCCGTTCAAACAGTTGACACGCTCCTTCAAACGACGGAAATTATTCACCGTTTACCGCCCAGCGTACAAGAATCAGTACGGCTCATTTTCGCAAGAGGTTATAATTTGCAAATGACGATTATGATCGGATTTGCGGCAGCTCAGGTACCCTCTACAATGTTGATGTGGACCAGGAAGCCAATTATGGTCGAAAAGTGATATATAGTCTGATATTAGAATATCCTATTTTTGCGCCTTCAAAATTGCTCTCCTGATAGCCTTCACGGCGCCTGTGACATCACCCTTTGCCCCTAATCCCGGCACCTCGTGGCCCCCACCATGAACAAAAATAGTAGCCAGCTGTGCATTACAAAGTTCCTTCAACAACTCACTATCCTTCTTGCTGTCTTCCTGTTGGCCCCAAATATGAACCGTTGGAATCTGAATCGGCTGTCCATCGGTCGCTGGTTCCAGCAACCGGACCTCCCCGCGATTCTCAAAAGCGACCGCATCGTAGGCAGGGATACTCGATAAGAAAATAGCACAGTTAAAAGGGGGTTGTGCTTGGCCGCCGCGGGAATCCTGCTGCCTCTTCCGGATCAAGTGCATCGCGGCGAGGCAGGCCCCCTGGGAGAAGGCAAGCACGCCGTCGAACGGGCCCTCCGCCATTACATACTCGTCCAACTGATGCAGTGCATCAAGCGCGCTCTTCGGCGAGTTTGGATCAAAGTAGGAGTAGTAAGAACCGTCCGTGTCGAATAATGAGGATATTCCTGGGCAGGTAGATGGTCAGAGTTTGTTTATCCGAGATGGTTTGCGGAGATGTGGAATCTTGGAACTACCAGGGGCCATCGGCCAGGGAATGGTTCCCTCCACAAACTCAAAGGTGTGCTGGTCGCCCAGCTCATATCGGAGCCCCGCTGGTGGTAACATATCGTTAGCAACTCTTATTAATCTTCAGCAACTGGCACGCGGGTCATGCATCAGACGCCACAGCCATGCGTTTGAACCGGGGCGAGCCTTACCGGTCTGAACCTCGAAGACCTAACGAAGTCAGCGCTGGGTATGAAGTACAGAAACAGACGCTCCGGGGTAGGCGGAGACAGAGACCAAGTTCAGTACCTACCTGACTATTTGTCCCTAGGCCGTGGAGGCAGAGGAAATGCATCGCTGGAGTTTGTTGCGACCTTCAGGTCACTCGCGCGCCGCCACTCGGAGCGGGGAGGCCGGGTATTAAGGAGACGACCTGACACGAAGGATTTGGGCTTGGTACTCGAGTGCTGGAGCAAATAGACGACGTCGAGGGGCAGCGAGGTCAGAGTACAAAGTACTTCTCGTAAACAGCGGAAATGCAGGTCTGGGCAAACTGGGCCACTCGGACAGTCGCCCGCTGATTTATATTCAGAACACCCCTGGTTCCACGTTGATACATCTTTGGAAATTCCAAGACAACGGGTTCCCACGCCGTCCAGAGCCTGTCATCTTGCCATTACCACGAGTCTTGACCTTGCAAGATTGCACGGGATGTCATGTTAACCCCCGCCTGGAGGCCAGATAATGCTCTATTAGTGGTGACTATCGCCATCAAGCCACCAGGGACCCCTTAACGGCCGCGTCTGTTTGCCTCGGTGGTGGCCAGAACAACCCAAGAACATTCTCTGGACTGCAAGGGAGTAAAGTAGTTAGTAGTCCTTGCATGTGCCAACCAACAGCGTTCACCCGGCTTCTCCTCAATCTCGAACACGCCTGTTTTCCTGAATGTTGTAAGATCTCGAAGAAACCCAGCTTATCCAACGTGGGCTTTGTTTCACGTCGTCGTTGTTCACTTCATGACAGTGGTTTGTAGCAATGGTCACCATCGCTGCACACAATCCCGCCGACGGTCCAGCAGACGAGAGTGGCCCCAGTTGTATCAATGCCGGGACGCCGAGTTCTTCGGAGTCGAGCGAGGAGAAGATTGCAGCCGACGAAGATACCCTCGAGCCGATCGCTATCGTCGGGTTCTCATTGCGGTTTCCAGATGATGCTGTATCCGAAGATGGCTTCTGGGAGATGCTCATGGAGAAGCGCTGCGCGTCGAGGGAGTTCCCCAAGGACCGGCTGAACATCGATGCCTTTCACAGCACCGACCCAGATCGCATGAATACTGTACGCTTCCTAGCCGCTTGAATTGTTTAGTTTTAGCTCATGATTCGGATAGATATCAACGAAAAAGGCTCACTTCCTTAAGGAAGACGTGCGAGCCTTCGATGCGCCATTCTTCTCCATCCCCCCACTAGAGGCGGCGAGTTTAGACCCTCAACAGCGGGGTTTGCTGGAAACGACATATCGCGCGCTAGAAAATGGTGGGTGTTCCTGACCTTCTAAATGAAAAGAGAGTTGAATGGGTCTTACTAATGAAATAGCTGGAATCCCTATGGAGAAGGCCAAGGGGACGAATACGTCTGTTCATGTGGGCTGCTTCACCAACGACTTCAACACCATGAACTGGAGGGATTCACAGCAAATCCCCCGATACAGCGCTACTGGAACGGCGGCTGCTATTCTCTCAAATCGATTGAGTTGGTTCTTTGACCTTGCAGGACCGAGCATGACTGTTGATACTGCATGTTCGAGTGGTTTGGTTGCACTCGACCTCGCCTGCAATGGGTTATGGTCAGGAGAGTCTAACATGGTAAAAATCACTTTGACTTTCCTTCTATTCCATTCCAGCTTATATATCTGACTAATTTTAGGGAATTGTTGCTTCTTCAAACTTAATTTGCTCGCCCGAAATGAACATCGCGTTATCAAACATGAACTTTCAATCCCCCGATGGGCGATGTTATAGTTTTGACGACCGAGCCAATGGATACAGCCGAGGCGAGGGATTCGGTGTGCTCGTTTTGAAGCGTCTTTCGCATGCAATCAGAGATGGAGACACTATTCGAGCACTTGTTCGATCCACTGGTACTAATCAAGATGGCCACACTGCTGGAGGTGTTACACAGCCCAGCAAAGACTCCCAAGCGAAGTTGATTGCGGAAACTTATCGCAAGGCAGGATTAGATTTGAAGCAAACACGATTCTTCGAGGCTCATGGTACTGGTACTTCCATTGGTGATCCTATCGAAGCCCGAGCGATTGGAGAGAGCTTCCAGGGGGAGCACCGCCAGAACGAACCGTTGTATATGTCGGTCATCCAACCCCTATGCATGCCGTACAAGCTAATAATATCACAGAGGAGCTGTAAAAACAAATATCGGGCATTTAGAAGGTACCAGTGGAATAGCTGGTCTAATTAAAACCATCCTGGTGCTGGAGCGGGCGACGATTCCGCCCAACACCAATTTCGAACGTCTTAACCCTCAAATAGATTCCGAATTTTTCAACCTTAAGGTACCTTCAAGCCCATGCTATTTGTTTATTTTACTTATATGCTTTTAGTTTCCATCACAAAGTCTGCCATGGCCTAGCGAAGGCTTACGAAGGGCGTCCGTCAACTCATTCGGGATTGGAGGTGCAAATGCCCACGCTGTTTTAGATGACGCATATCATTATCTCCATTCAAGAAACCTTCCCGGAAACCACCGGACTTTGCCATCGCCTGCCAAAGTATCATCGCCGATCCAGGTCAACGGTTTCGATAACGAGCATTTTGCTCCCAAGCTATTAATTTTGTCCGCCGCAGATCAAGATGGCATGCAACGCCTTGCCGTGGAGTATAGCCGCTACTTCGATAGCCTTGACAGAGGTGCTGTAAATGCGGCGTTCCTGGACAACTTGGTTTATACACTTAATACTCGCCGCAGTTCACTGCCCTGGAAATCATACATAGTGGCTAATTCGATTTTGGCATTGCGAAGAATACAGGAAACAATATCAAAACCCATCCAGCCCCTTGCACCAACACCTCGGCTTACGTTTATCTTTACCGGCCAAGGCGCACAATGGCATGCCATGGCCAGAGAACTTCTGAATTATCCTACGTTCCAAGGTAGCTTGCTAATGTCGCAGGCCTGCTTGAAGAAGATGGGTTGCAAGTGGTCACTGTTAGGTGGGATTGTGTCTTCTTCCTTCCTGATATGCTTAGTCTAACCATTATCATTAGATGAACTTTCAAAAACTCGGGAAACATCGAGAGTAAACGATCCGGAATTTAGCCAAACGCTTTGCACAGCCATACAGGTAGCTCTTGTGGATATCCTTAGGGAAATTGGCGTTGTGCCTTCAACTGTCGTTGGCCACTCATCAGGAGAGATATCCGCAGCGTGAGTATAGCGTGATTCAGGTTACCCACCAAACTTTATCTGACCCGCCTTTAGGTACTGTACCGGATCAATAAACCGAGAATCCGCTATAAAGTTAGCATATCATCGGGGTGTACTTGCGTCCAAACTAGCTAGATCCTCACAGTCAAGCCACTGCATGGCCTCTATTGGACTTCCCGCAGGGGAAGTTGACATCTACCTCGAAGCATTGGCTTTGCAACAAAACTTCGACCCTAGCCAAATCACTATCAGTTGCATCAATAGCCCCAAGAATGTGACTATTTCGGGGCCAAAGACCGACGTTGAAGCCGTTGTCGCATACATGGATGAGGAACAAGTCTTCGCTCGGAAACTCTTGGTCAACGTGGCGTACCACTCTCCTCAAATGCTTACCATAGCAAATGAGTATCTGGATCTGATAGGGGGTTTAGAAAGGGATGTGCTTCTGATGAAATCAGTGATGGTATCCTCAGTGACAAGCGACATTGTCTCTTCGGATGTTCTGTGTGCAGGTCAATACTGGGTACGAAATATGGTCTCGCCAGTTAACTTCTTTGGGGCTATGAAAAAGACCTGCTCTCGATCGGATGCCAATGGAAGAATAAAAAAGCTGGATCGAAGCCATCTAAAAGATATTGTCACCAACGCACTTCTAGAAATTGGCCCCCACTCCGCCCTCCAGGGACCGATCCGTGATTCCCTCACTTCCCTGAATAGCAATAACCAGGTGGTTTACAACTCGGCGTTGGTCCGGAACCGTTCCGCTGTCGAAACGTTCCTTACAGCTGCGGGACGTTTGCACACCCAAGGTTTCCGCGTCGACATGGACCAACTAATACAACTTAGCTCAGCTTCTCCGAAACCCCTTCAAGTGTTAACCGATCTCCCACAATATCCCTTCAACCACTCTGTGTTATATTGGCAAGAATCCCGCCTCAACAAAGGTGTTCGATTCCGCCAACATGCACCCCACGACCTTCTTGGCTGTCGAGCCACGGACTGGAATCCCTTAGAGGCGAGGTGGCGGTTAATTATTAGACTGGATGAGATGCCTTGGGTGGAGGACCATAAAGTAAACGGCTCGATCTTATACCCTGCAGCAGGCATGCTTGCGATGGCAATTGAAGCAATGAAACAGATGGTGGATGATCCGTCTGTGGTTGGATATGAAATCAAGGAGGCTGTGTTCCATACACCCCTCGTGGTATCCACATCGAAGGAAGGTGTTGAGGCAGAGATCTACCTTCGCCCATTAGCAGACACTGGAAATGCAAAGTCTGCATGGCACGATTTCCGGCTTTACGTTCACAAGTTCGACGAAGAATGGGAAGAGATTTGCCGTGGGACTGTCCGTGCTGATTATGGTAGATCAAAGGCGGAGGTTGATAATGGAAAAGAAGAAGACTGCCGTATAATTCAGTTAAGAAAGATGCACATCACAGCGGCACAGTCATGCAGCAAGGGAGTACCTAGCACCAATATGTATCGGCGATTCAAAGAGATGGGACTCGATTATGGTGCAGCTTTCCAACCAATGCAGAGCATTCAATTCGATACCAGCGGGCAAGCTACTGCCAAAATCGGACTTCGGACGTGGTCCAAGGGTGAATCGAAAGCTTTTGGTCCGGGCCAAAATCATGTCATTCATCCATCAACACTAGATGGCATGTTCCAATTAGTATTCGTCGCCTTGAGCCAAGGAGGTGCAGTAGCCATGCCAACCATGGTCGCTAGTCGTATTGACCGGCTATGGGTATCTAGCTCTGGGGTTGGAACCCCTTTTACAGGCTCCGTTCAAACCTATACTGAAGCCCGTCACTTCAGCCAGCGTAGCGCGCGGTGCCTGATTTCGGTATTAGGTGATGATCAGCTTCCAAAGGTTCACATGGACGGCTTTGAAGTTACCGCGGTCTCCAGCATACAGGCAGATTCCGAAGTTCAAACGGAACCTAAACATATGTGCTATCATATGGATTGGAAGGTCGACCCCGATACGCTGGATTCACAACAACTCGAAAAGTATTGCGGAAAAGCTTACAAGCCTGATGCTGAACCTATTTCCTGGTTTAGAGACATCGAGTTCCTTGCCCTTGCATTTAGCTCGACGGCATTGAGAGAGCTAGCTATATGTAATCGATTACCGCCAGCCTCGCTAGCGAAGTACACCTCGTGGATCCAGGACCAAGTAGACCGCGATCTCATTAAAACCCCAAGCAAGGATCGCATCCGCCGAATAGAGCAGATTCAAGATCTGACGTACTTGAGTTCAGTATGTGAACGCGTGATGTCGAGCAGTCGCGGCAAGCTGTACATCAGGGTTGGAAGCAATCTCCCAAAGGTACTTCTTGGTGAAATGGACCCATTGCAGCTAATTTTCGAAGACCAGCAACTGCTAGAAGACTTCTATAGTGAAGTTAATGGAACAGCGCAGTGCTTCAATGCTTTTGCTCACTACCTCGAGGCCATGGTTCATAAGGATCCAGGGATGAACATCTTGGAAATTGGGGCTGGAACGGGTGCAGCTACGGAAATCCTGCACAGGACTCTAGCTCCCAAGTCCAGCGATACACCTCGCTATGGACAATACGCCTTCACAGACGCCAGCCTTGCACTTGTTGACCAGGCCAGGAATAAATTCAAGGAGCATAGACGAATGGGCTTCGAGGTTTTTGATGTCCAACAAAGTCCCTCAGCGCAAGGATTTAAAGAAGAGTCTTACGACTTGGTCATTGCCTCCAGTGTGTTCCATTTGACGGAGTCGTTGAGCGAAACAATGCAGAATGCGCGAAAGCTCCTGAAACCTGGAGGAAAGCTCGTCATCGTGGAGGAAACCGCATCCAACATTGCCCGCAATGGGTTTGCTTTCGGGTTGCTATCTGACTGGTGGCTCGGTTCCGAAGAATATCGCCAACAAACCCCTCTTGTATCTGAGGAGAGATGGCATGAAGTCTTCCAGCAAAACGGGTTCTCTGGGACCGATGTAGTTCTTCGGGACTTCATAAGCGAAGAATGCCATGAGCGGAGCTTGATGATTTCCACAGCCTTGCCTGCAGTTGCAACCCCGGCAGGAAAGCTTCAGCCCATTGCCATAGTTGAAAAGAGTTCATCACTCCAACTTGAACTCGTGCAAGAAGTGGACGATGCACTCAAGAACCTGGGCGGCTCAATCTCCGGAGTCCTCACTCTCGAAGAAGCTGTTTTACTAGATGGCCAACACAATCGCCATTATATCATGCTAACTGAATACGAACATCCTGTTCTTCGAAGCCTTGAGTCTAAATCATTTTCCTCGCTCCAGCACCTGCTATCTTCTGCTAGAAGCGTGTTGTGGGTTACAAAGGGAGGAATGTCCGTATCCACACCAGCCTACGGGATGGTGCAAGGCTTATTTAGAGTCATCCGCCAGGAGCACGCCAATGTGGCATTGGTCACATTGGCGTTCGAGGCTGAAGCAAATTCCTCCATCAAGCAACATGCCAATAGCATAGGTAAAGTAATGAGTATGACGATTTCAGGCTTAGATAGCGGCAGCTTCGAGCCCGAGTATGTTGAAACAAGCGGACTCCTTCAGATCAACCGTGTTGCCGAGACGCCGAAACTTAATCACCACATTTTTGAGAGCACGACATATACAAATGGAATCCAGGAATATGGACAAGGTCCGCCCCTCAAGTTAAATGTTAGAACACCTGGGTTGCTTGACTCTTTGGAATTTTTGGAAGATGATACCCCACGCGAGCCACTAGGATCCGATGATATCGAAATGGAAGTCAGGGCAATTGGCGTCAATTTCAAGGATTGTCTAATTGTTCTGGGCCGTGTAAATACCGACAAACTCGGGTGCGAATGTGCAGGAGTAATAAGCCGAGTTGGAAACAACTGTGGCCAATTCCAACCTGGAGATCGTGTAACAATGTTTGCGAACCAGACATACCGGACGTATGCGAGGGCTAATTCTGGTTGTGCTGTGAAAATCCCAGACAATATGACATTTGCAGAGGCAGCAGCTATGCCCACAGCTTTCTGCACAGCCTATTATAGTCTTTGCAATGTGGCCCATTTACAGAAGGGCGAGTCAATTCTGATTCATGCGGCATCAGGTGGGACAGGTCAAGCGGCAGTGCAAATTGCTCGACACATAGGCGCTGAAATATTTGCAACTGTGGGTTCTGCGTCGAAGAAACAGCTGCTTATGGATAAATACAACATCCCGGAAGACCACATACTGTATAGTCGAGACACCTCATTTGCCGATGGCATCCGACGGATGACGAATAATCAAGGTGTTGATGTAGTCTTGAACTCATTATCTGGGGAAGGCTTGGTTGCTTCTTGGGAATGCATTGCCCCTTACGGACGGTTCCTTGAAATAGGGAGAAAAGACATTGACTCTCATGGAAGCCTGCCGATGTTTCCTTTCATCAAGAACGCATCGTTTACCGGTGTTGATCTTGCTGCCATTGCCGAGCAACGACCACAGTTAATGCAGACGCTACTCCAGGAGATGATGGCATTAGTTGCAATCAACAAGTTCCTTCCCTCATACCCGCTAAGTTTATTCTCTATCTCCGAGATCGAACAGGCATTCCGTCTTCTTCAGAGTGGTAAAAGTTCCGGCAAAATTGTTCTTGAAATTACCAAGGATGCTATGGTTCCAGTAAGTTCTTCTCCTAAATTTGTGCAGTTGGAAACTTACTCAAGGGATAGACTTCTTTGAAAAAGCATTCTTCGTACTCATTTGATTCGAATGCAAGCTATGTCATCGCGGGCGGTCTTGGCGGTATCGGACGGAGTATCTCTCGTAGGTTAGTAGATCGAGGGGCAAGGAATTTAATTCTACTTTCTCGGTCCGGGCCCGAAGGAAATGAGAAATCACAGGCTCTTTTGGAGGAGCTAAGAGGGAAGGGAGTTCAAGTAGCGACTCCAATCTGTGATATTACGAGTATGAAGTCATTACAGAACGCGTTGAGAGAATGCCCAGGAAATATGCCGCCGGTCAAAGGATGCATCCAGGCATCAATGGTCCTCAGGGTATGTTGGCCCGGTAAATTAAACTATATCATCCACTGACGCTTTTACAGGATTCTACGTTTGCAAACATGTCATTCCAGGAGTGGGAGGAGAGCGTAATGCCAAAAGTCGAGGGGTCTTGGAACCTGCACGTCAGCCTCCCGAAAGGGATGGACTTCTTCATCCTCCTTTCCTCGGTATGTGGTGTTTTCGGAAACCCCGGACAGAGCAACTACGCAGCGGGAAATACCTACCAGGATGCGTTAGCACACCATAGAGTTGCATGCGGCGAAAAGGCTACAGCTCTCGACCTCGGTGTCATTCTTGCAGAAGGCGTTGTTGCAGAGAATACCCAGCTCATGGACCATTTAATGCGCCAGGGGATCATGCTCCCAGTCTCCCAACCGGAGCTTTTTGCCCTTCTGGATTACCACTGCGACCCTTCACTCACGCCATCTGAAGCTACCCAAGCCCAAGTCATCACAGGCTTAGATCTTCCCGCCAGAGTTCTCGCGAGGGGAAAAGAAATCCCCTATCCTATACGCCAACCCCTTTTCCGCAATATGCATCAAATCGACGCTTCAGGCCAGCCTTCATCAAACACATCCAGTCAAGCACTAGATTACAAAACATTATTTGCAGGCGCAACGTCCTTAGTGGAGGCAGGACTTCTCGTCTCTGAGGGCTTGAGGAAGAAATTATCACGGGTCCTTGGTATTCCTCAAGATAACATCGAGCTCAACAACCGGGTCGAATCATATGGTGTGGATTCACTGGTAGCCGTCGAACTGCGAAATTGGCTAGCGAAGGAGATGAGCGCTGATGTCGCGGTATTTGAGATTCTGGGCGGAAACACGTTAGTGGCAGTTGGGCTCACCGTTGCATCGAAGAGCTCGTATCGACAGGTAGCATGGACTGAGTAAATAGGAGATTTTGGGGGTTGTTGATATATTGTGCGGGGTTTTTTTATGTTGGGATTTTTGGCTACAGGCATGTAGAATCATCTAGATAGACAGTGTTTATTTCACTACCTAATTTCCTCATGGTTTATTTGACCATGAATGTTTATAAGCTAGCAAAATTATATATGATTTCGCAATGTAGTCACCTAACTCATCTCCCTGTTCAACCGTATTTCTTTAATTAGCAACCTGAAAATTCCATATAGGCTTAGAACTAGTTGATATCTTTTAAGTAGTATCCAAGCCATTGCGTATATCTTGTCTAGAAATTTATAATTTATTGTTGTATCAGGGGATTTGCTAATCTGAATGTCTCAACTGCTTTACTCGGGATTCGCTTAGCCCCTTGACTTAAGGTGCTGCTTTTATTCAAGTGAACATATACAGCACTAATCTGGAAATATCCGACTTCTGTAAATAGGAGTTAAACTTTCGTGAGCGTGCTGTAGTGCTAGATATTTATATGAATAGAAAACTTGGAGTACTAATAGGAGGATAGTTTTAACTGGAAGTTAACTCAGTTTTACAGGGCGAATGAGATATCACTTAAAGTTTGCTTATCAGGAAATATATTGTACTTTGAAGCCAGGCATAGCCCATGTATTTATTATCTTGTTAAGAGAAGCAACGATATAAAATCAGGATAAACATTTCCGTCAGCAGTCGTATAAAACACCTGCAGCACCTTCTAAAACTCGTAACATGAATCATATTCCATAATGACCATGAGGGTAAAGTGGCCTACCCCTAGCCAACAAATTTGCCCTAAGAGCCGCAATCTCAGTGTACATCTTTTGAAAGTCCTCAGGATACTTGGGACCTTGCCACTCTCGGCCGTGTCGTAAGGGTATACGACGGGATCCTCGTCGTGGGAACCCCGGGACGTAAAGGCCCCCACGGCCGTCAGCTAACAGTTCATCAGTGACTCGATGACTTCCACCTTGGCATATATAACCGCCATCAATTCGATCCCATAAAAACCCAACCGGGCATACATGCGAATGTAAGTTGAGTTTACTCTGCACCCACTCATCTTGCTCTTTGCGCTCATGCGGAGGTAGGGACTCGATTCTGGTTTGTCGTGATGCCATTTCGATGTCGTGGGGATTGGTATAGCCAGGGCCTGCCGGGGGAGCGGAGGGAGTATGAGAGTTTGCGTGATCGCGATGCAAGTTGGTCGCATTGCGAGCTGGGCTCCTTGAGTCGCGGGCTAGATTCGTAGCACTTCGATGGTTTAACGATGATGATGACGATGACCGGGCATCAAGGTGAGACGGCAGATGGGTAGGATGTTGGTGTCTTGAAGATGAGGACGAATGGGGGACATCAAGATGGGGGGGTAAGTGGGTCGGGTTTGGACGGCTTGAGGATGATGATACATAAGGAGCATCGAGCTTTGGAGGCATGTGGGTCACTGGCCTGGTGGCAGTTTTGGCATGGCCGCCTGCCTTACTTCCTGAGGGAGCCTGAGAGCTTCCTGTGGATTTGTGGTGCATTGAGGAGCTGCGGGAAAACATGATGCCTCGTAGTGTTTCCTTTTAAAATTGGATTGGAGTGAGTTTGTGTGGAGACGTTTCAAAGAAGAGAAGTGGCTCAGTGGGAGAAATTGAAACTTTATATACTTATAAACGAATGGGAATCATACTGGGGGAGCATAGCCTGTGTTATTCCTGGAGATCAAAGTAAATAAGAGGGAAGCGGAAGTTATGGCGAGTGAAACGGCCTTGTGCGTGAATGAATAAGATTAAAACGAGAGAATAGACAGGGAATAATTAGAGTGAGGAGGATAAAAATAAAATGTAGCTGAGGACGAGAAGGAACTGACCGAGTATTAACCTCGTAAATTATGAGGCGATCACTATTCAATTGTGGCTGTAGCTTAGCTAGTATGATACACGTAAGTAACTATAACTAATGTTCCTAAATGAAAGTCGCCATATGTGAGCAATTTTGATAGAAGGCGTATACGGAAACACCGCTTTACAACGAAATATACCCATCCCCGCTTCCGAAAAGTTCCTAGAGCGAATGTCAGTGCAAGCATCGATGATAACCGGGCTCGAACAACTAACCTTGACCTTCATCCTAAAGTGATAATTAATGTTATACGCCACGACCAAGCCCATGATAATGACAAACAGCCCACCCAGCCCAATACTCAACCCCAAAATCAACCCCAAATTACTCGACGACGGCGCCTTCTTCGGTGCATTCGGCTTCTGCATGTCCACCCCCTCAAGCCCATCACACCAGAATGTCATACTGTTAATCTCGTCCGTCGGCACACAAAATCCAGCCATAAAATTAGACCACTTCGTGAATGGGTCGCGCAGCGGCTTCGACGTAGGATCACAACCTTTCCCCTTAAACCCCGCAATTAGAGCGTTGGTGCCATTCGCACACACCGCTGGGCGTGTGAATGATAACCCGAAGCCCTCAGTAATGTCCACGCATGTGTCTGGGAGGTGATATTCAGGCTCGGGCTTATCACGCTTGTTGCATCTCGGCTTGGGATATTTGAGCATTCCCCCCTCCTTCGTCATATCCTTCCTCGACGTATTCACCTCATCAGACTCCGGTTCTGGCAAGGTCTCGGCATCATCACTGCACCAGAAAGAAAAATTCCCAACATCCTTCAAATCCACACAGGAATATGCGTCGGAGATACTTAGCAAATCAAGCGTGTCGTCAACGTTGGGATCGCAGCCGTGGGACTCAGGACCAAAAGTCGCCAACTCAGCAGTCGACCCGTCTGCGCATATTGGCCAAGTGAGGAATTCGAGAGCCTTAAACTCAGTGCCTTTGATTTGGACGCATTGCTCGGGCTGCGGTAAACTCCGCGTCGAGCTATGGGATAGGCGGTTACATGCCGCTGTGTTGAGCATGATTTTCGCGGGAGTTGATGGCGGGCTGGCGCTTGCTACAGCGAGGCCCAGGAAAAGGGACCACGCCACGCCGTTGAGCGGCGACATGGCAAGAGACATAGCTATCCAACAATACGTTGTACGACAGCTTGTTGATGTCGCGTGAGAAAGTTGGAAGTGTCAAGACTCAAGAAGTACGCGCGCATCAGCGTGTTTTAAGTTGCTTGGCTGAATAGCGACTCGCCCAGGCTGCCGAGGTCTGTGCCGCAGTGTCGCATTGCCTCACAAGACGCTAATACGCACCAGTATTACGAAGTTTAGGGTAGTATTGGATACAAAAGCCCGGCGCAGCCGAAACCCTTATACTAGCCAGAAGCTGGAAAGTAGTATAAATAAGAGCCGGAGCAATTATATTGGGAATAAATGATTGGACATAAACCTACGCGTTGTGAAAATTTTAATCAGAATGCGCCATAGCTGCGAGTCGAAAAATCCGAGAGAACCATATTCACTTCGATTTATAAAGACTTCGCACAAATACCAATAGAAGGAGGATAATTAATCATGTCAATTCGAAGGGGCAACAAGCAAACTAAACTACGTTATCAATAGAAAGCCATAGTAGGGAGCAAAGTTGCCAGTGGAATGATGTGATCCTGGAGGGGTGATGTGCTGGATTCAGTGTGCTTTCAAAGAACAAAATGTTGCAGAACCAAATGTAGCAACAAAGGCATTGCGAGGGTATGGAAGCCTAGTACTCGAGTCTGCAGTGTATGAAGCCGCCGGCAATGAGCATGGCAGAACCCAGCAGCAACGTAAAGTCTGCTTCGAGCTTACCATTCAGGCCGCTGCTTCTCCCAATACTCCGCAGTGTCTTCATCGCTGGCTTGAAGGGCGGCTTTGTGAGCAGCAACAATATTGGCAGCGCCTGAAGCATCTGGTCGGAGGTTGTTAACAGCATAGCGAATGGTATTGTCTTCGTGTCGTCCAACTGGAGCTGCGGTGCCGGCGGTAAACTCATCCACACGGGCATTAAAATCATTGCGCTCGCGGATGTTGCATCTGACTGCCTGGGACTCGGAGTGCTGGGTGAGAGCAGTTGCGGATGCAAACCACCTCAGACAATGTCGGCACTGGAGATTTTCCTTGGGGTTGGCATGAGTGCTGACGTGTTGGGTGAACTGTCCCTTCTTGACAAAACTCTTCCTGATGCACGAATCAACACAGATATCAATAGAACGGGTGGGTGTGGCACTTACGGGCAGCCCTTATGGGGACACTTGAATTTATTAATCGATCTAATCCAGAACTTATCGACATTGAACTCGGGATTTGAAGGGTTATAGGACCAAGTCCGGTCATCGTTGGAAGGGTCAGAGGACATATCAGCATTGACAATCCACGGTGTGTTTTCCTTAGCATCTGCTATAGAAGCCGGCATGGGCTGAGGGGCGTTGGAATGGGACTCCTTAATACCACGGACATTGCCACCCTGAGAGGTAGCAGCGGTTTCGACGATAGTAGTTTCGTAACCCCCCAACGGAGGAAAGTGAATGTTGAAGTCGGATGTTGCCTGCTTGGCACTTGGAGGGCCACTATTCTCAAACAAAATGCCTGGTGGATTTTCGGGGTCTGATGAGTCCCATGGCGCATTGAGGATTCGAGATGCATCATCAAAGCTCATGAGATCATCATTGGCGCTGAGAGGAACGTCAGCTTTGAGCGAGGTCTCCAGCGAGAGCAGCTCGAAAGAAGCTTGAGATGAGCCAGCCTGAGCCACTGGATGAAATAACGTTAGCTTGGTTACAATGCCGGTGGAAGGAGATCGGAGCCAACTCACCGTATTTCTCATTACCACCTTTGCTTTCCTCAATAGCAAAAGGACGCTGCTTTGAGAAGATTGGTAGAGCAGTATGATCACCCAGATTGCCGGTAGTTATGCTTGTGCCCAGGTGGGTTCGGACCTCGGCATGGTTGTCGTAGAATACTTTTCTCTCCTCAAGGCGTTCTTTGAAATCAGGAACCACGAGCGAAGAGCATTGTTTACTCTCAATGTGACTGATGAGGCCACCGAGGCGGGTGAAGACGGTTTGACATCCAGGGCATGATAGCTGCTGTTTCGCGGGGTGCGACTATGTCATATCAGTCCACTGTACATGAGATATAATAGATTGGTAAAGAACAATGAACTGACCAAGCCATAATGGCGTTCGCATGCCTTCTCTGACGCAAAGTCCCTAGAACAGATGGCGCACGTGAAATCGCGGTGGTCTGGGTGGGAGATCTTGTGAGCGTGGTAGGCCATCCACGTCTTGAACTTCAGGTTGCACTTATCACAGAATGTCGGCTCTTCATCAGGCTCCCCCAGTGTATTCGAAAGACGCGGTGGCATCTTGACTGGTGGCCTGTAGCTGATGATGGATGAAGTGTTGGAAAAAACTTGCGTAGAATAGAAGGAGGAACGACTCGTCAGGACTGGTGAGAAAGAAGGCGAGACAAAGGATTGGGCTACTGCGACGTGCCGAGACAACAGTAAACACAATATGGCCAGTACACGGGAATTGGTGCTCCCAACATGCAAGTGAAGGCGCGGTATTTCAAGCGGAAGCGTCAAAAGGAGAGGCGAAAACCGGGCAGCTCCATCTGCTTCGGGATACTTAGTAGGATAATAGGGGGCAGGAGCTCGTCTTTTCTCACTGTTGGCGAATAGAGCTGGAGGCTGGCCAGGTCGACGACACGGCGCAACATAAAAGATAATAGGAAATACGAACAAGCTAGCAAGTAGCACGAAATAATCGGCTTGGATAGTAGGAGGCATTGGCTTGTAGGTTAAGCTAAGTTTAGGGAAGGAGCAGGCAGCTCCAAAATAACAGATTGATAAGCGATACCGGAGAGGATTTTTAGACGCCTTTGCAAAAATAAGGAGACGCAGCGCCCATGTGTATATTCGCTTTTACTAACTACCTAGGTGGGTAGAATAATAGAATTCCAAATATGATGATCCGTATGGTGGCAGATCTAGCTGGGGCTAGCCAATAGTAGCACCTATGGCTAGCAGAAGAAGAATGGACGGAGGGAAGAATGATAAGTTGAAAACGTAGGTTTAAAAATGGAGGAAGGTAGGAAATTGCTTCTACCCTAGAAGTGTATTGCATATTCTTGGGCTGCAAACCCGTTTTCGCTAGTATTATAAGGCCCTTATACCTGCCTAGAGACCTAGCTCCGCTGACTTAGTAGTCTAAATACTTAAAGCGGGATAGCAGCCAGCCCCTCTTATCAGGCCTTCTCTCCAGGCCTCTATATCTGACCGAAATTGAGATATTCAAGTAGTATAAAAATCTAACCAAAATTGAAGTATTCAAGTCGCGCGAATATCTCACCAAAACTGAGATATTCAAGTAGTGTAAATATCTCAATTTCAGTCAGATATTCGTGGTCGTTTGGCCTTATAATATGGCGAAAAGAGTTTTGCACCAAATTTGCCCAAGAATGCGCCATGGATGTGTACCTCAAGCGCCGGAAATTTGGATATTGATGCCTCAGATGTATCATTGGTGACTGCTAAATTCGTTCGAGCGCCTTGCCCCGTACAACAGTCCAGTAGCCATTATCATGAGGCTCGTCTCTATAGATTTGGGCATGAAAATATTCCGCAAGGTACTCAAAAGGAGGCGGAGTACGTGGTATGTGGTCGTGCCATTTGGTGGCTCTCCAGTGGCGCCTCTAACCCCCTTTTGTACAGCCTAGAGTCCAGCTGGTCTCCCGTAGGAAGTAGTTGGAAAGTGATGCTGTTAGTGAGGATATTAGCAAGCGCAGAAACATCTGGTGTATTAAGCTTGTTAGATCTTACTTTGTATAAAAATACTTTTATGTACGTTGTAGCAACCCACATGGCGGAGCTGCAAGGCAATCTTGGCGCATTGCATTGCTCAGCACTCGGGAAACCTCGACTCGGCGTTCCCAATCTCACCGACTACAACCACGCAACACGGATCCTGCAAGTGACGAAGCCTCCTTAGTATTACACGCTCGCCATTATAGCCTCTATATTTATGCTCCTGATTGCCTAGCTACTGTCCCGGATGCGCGGTTTGCCCTTATGATATTGTCGCATCAGCCTCGCTGTTGATGAGTGATGGCGGCGCTCGCCTCTCCACAACAAAGTCCATCTCGATCACCAGTTGCCATGTCTCGCCGCTGGGCTAGAAAATGTGAACGCTACTGTTGCTTGGGAGCGACTTATTTCCCTCTTGTCTTTGTGTATTCTCTTACGACGTGGGCTGTGTGGGTAGAAGCGACAATTGGGTTCTTGCCTGCGCAGAGCGCATGGATAGGTATGTCGTTCTGTTGTAGGGAGTTACGACTATAGGCAGATTGCTGATGGCGGCGTAGGAAGAGGAACCTCTTTACTCGGAATTACGTTTTATATCCTTCTCAACTGGTCCTACACAACGGCGGTATTTACGAGTCCGGGTACGACAACTGGAAATAATGGCTACAGCGCCCTCCCCACGCATACACCCAACGCTACAAACTTCACCGTCAAATCGAATGGAGAGCTGCGTTACTGCAAGAAATGCCAGACCCGGAAACCCGATCGCGCACATCACTGCTCGACCTGCAAAACATGTGTTCTGAAAATGGATCATCACTGCCCATGGTTGGCAACGTGTGTCGGATTACGGAATTACAAAGCCTTCCTCCTCTTCCTTGGCTACACGACACTCTTCTGCTTCCTGTCTTTTGCGGTCTCAGCAACTTGGGTCTGGAGGGAGATATTGAACGATGGGGAATATACAGAATCGTTGATGCCCATCAACTATGTCATGCTGGCTGTCGTATCTGGGATTATTGGCCTTGTCCTAGCAGGATTTACGGGGTGGCATATTCTGTTGGCCTCGCGAGGGCAGACGACGATTGAATGTTTGGAGAAAACTCGATATCTATCGCCGCTCCGGAAATCTTTGCAGCACCAACATATTCCTCAGAACCATGGGAGCAATGGCTCGGAATATGGCCAGCCGATGACCGATTTACATCCAGATGGAAGCTCAAGAATGGGAACAACTGAAGGTGGAGATGTATACCAAGGCGAGCCTAGGCATCAAACATACGATGCATATGAACGCCAGCGAGCACGTGAACGGTACGAGGAATATCTAGATGAGCAAGATGCTGAGAAGCTACCGAGTGCATTTGATCTTGGATGGAGGAAGAATTTACTCCATTTGTTTGGAACGAGGAAGGCGCTGTGGCTATTTCCGATTCGCACTACCATTGGGGATGGATGGAGTTGGGAGCCGAGCCCGAAATGGTTAGAAGCTAGAAATCGAATCGCTCGAGAGCGAGAAGCTCAACGTCGAATCGAGCATGCTGCAGGTTGGGGTGAACCCCTATCGCCAGAGCCGCCCACGAGTCGGGCGCCTGATGGAGCTGGAAGACACTATGTGTCTTCATATCCTGCCAGAGTACAATCCAAAGCAGACAGAGTACTGGGGCGGACGCCAGATCAGTACCACGATGCGGGTGGAGTGGAATTGACAGGGTCAAATAACGTTTCCTTGCAAACTCTACAACCACGTCGAAACCGAGACGATCACTATGAAGATATCAGCAGCGATGAAGATGAGGGTGAACAGCTTTCTTTGGACCGTAAACTTCCTGTTGGATGGCCCCAGAAGATTCAAAAGGTTGGCCTCGTTACGAACGCTCTACTGGGTAATACAGGGCCCAGGCAGAAGGACGATACAAGAGAATGGGACGGCTATGATGATGGGGTGGATTGACGAGAATTTGTGGAATTTGGGACGGCGTTTTGGTGTGTTGGGTTGTATATGTATCATGTGTATCATACCCCACCCAGTATATGAATCAATTAGATATGTTTGATGATAGGGGCATTTGGAGCTATTTTTATACGAGCCTTACCCAGAGAATAGATATCGTAAATATCTTAATTTCGGTTAGATATTTACACGACTTGAATATCTCAAATTCTAGTAAGATATTCATACAGCTTGAATACCTCAATTCTAGTGAGATATTCGCGTGACTTGAATACCTCAATTCTAATTCTAGTAAGATATTTATACGATATCAGATTTATATCTAGGTAATAGCCGTTCGGCCTTATAATACTGGCGAAAAGAGATTTACACCAAAGTCGCCCAAGAATGCGATATACACACAGCCTCTAGCGTCACCTGACCCGTGTTTTAAGGGCACAACTTTGGCAGAACTAGGCGACGTTTTTCAGTATCATATATCATACATACATACATATTAGAAGGTAGCTGAATCCACCCCATTATTAACTAGTCACGTGATATGACACCACGTGGTCAAATTGCCTTATCGCACGTGTGCCGCGACTTATCGCAATCATCACTTACCTCAGACATAGACTACATACCGGTAAACCAACCAACATCACAACTATCCATATCTATTTCAACTCCAATACAGAATAAGGAGTGTCCTTTTCAATTTATCACCCGCGGGGCCTCTTCTTTTCGATTTTATTTGAAAGGAACGCGAACCCGTCGATTATGGCGACTCCAAGGTTTAACTCCAAATCCCCTACCATTAAACGAATACGTAAGCTCCCTCGGCCAGCTCGTCCCATATTTGCATCTATCTTCTAGAGCTTTCAGCTAACTTTCTTATTCTAATTGCCATTTAGTCCGTGAAGCAGCAGAGATATCACAATCCCCCTCCGCAGACTACCACGCCTCCCCCGCCACCGACTCCGATCTCTTCGAATGGCACTTCACACTCCGCGGTCCACCCTCCTCCGCTTTCGCAAACGGTATCTACCACGGCCGGATAGTCCTACCTCCAACATACCCACTACGACCTCCTTCCTTCCGTTTCCTCACGCCATCCGGTCGCTTTGAAGCCAACCGCGAGATATGCCTCAGTATCAGTGGGCACCATGAAGAGACCTGGCAACCTGCGTGGGGAATCCGCACTGCGCTCGTGGCATTGAGGAGCTTCATGGAAACGGATGCAAGAGGGCAATTGGGTGGGCTGGAATGTAGTAAGGTAGAGAGGGAGAGAATTGCAGAGGTGAGCGGGGCGTGGAAATGCAGTATGTGCGAGAAGAGTAATCGCGAGATACTGGCCGAATGCGAGGAGGCCGTCAAGGAGAAGGAGAGAGCAGGGGAGAAAGTGGAGGAGAAAGTGGAGGTACCTAGTGAGCTGAAAATGGGTTGGAAGGATGAGATGGGGAATAATAAGAAGGCCGAGGGGGATGGGGAGACTGAGGCTGAACTTGCGGAGGGGTTTGTGAGGACTACAACGGATGGGCTTCCTGCTACGTCAAATGGTCAGCAGGCCAGTTCATATCCACCAGCGAGGCCTGCACAAAGCGTACCTCAACCGACGGGCTCCCAACCTCTTCAGACACAACCTCGAGTACCGCAACCACCGAGTAGCACATATCAAGCGCAACAAGCACAACTAGCTCAAAGGCGCTCAGATAATGAGTTACCAATTTGGATCGACAGAGCCATTGCTGGCGTAGTGATCGTTCTCGTGGCGATGGTACTAAAAGTCTTACTTGGCGCATAAGAACGCGACAATATGGAAATGGGTTATGACAGGCATCGGCGGATCGTGATGAATTTGAAGTTTGGGGTTTGGAGTTTGGCGCTTCTGAGATACTACCGGTCTCTTACATTACCTTATCAAGAAAGAACACGTTCTAGAGCCGCATCAATTTCGTATTGGATACTATATAAGTGAATTGGGGCAGTAGATATCAATATAAAGTATGGTCATGGACATCCTTAATACCGTTACGATGCTTTATATGTTTAAAGTACATTCCACTTCATCTATCACATATATTGACTCGAAGTCTATAGTCGGGGAAATCGTCTTTTGGGGTAGAGTAGGGTAGAGTAGTGATAGGAGAATTGATAGTAGTTGGAGGTGCGCCATATCACATGATCAGCCCCCCTTTTCCAAGGCTTGGCCCCTTAAGATGTTGTTTAACGGCAGCTATCTACACGTATCATACCGGATTCTAAACTGAAATAGTGCATATTAATTTTTGTATATTTATCTATCGTATAAACAGCCCAGGTCGGCCAACAGCCGCTGCATAACTAGGTAGCTAGGCTATCTAGAATAATCTGCCTATGCTGCTAATCTATGAGGCATAGGCTCACCGCTGTATGCACCCAGGCTCGAAAAAGCCGCAATATTTTGACCGCCAACTCCAGTGACGTGTCAAATGCAGCAAAATAGCGCCATACACCCAAACCAATGCAAATGCTTCTCTCCCATGATGCTTCGCGCTCTGAACTCCAAACCCCAAAACCCCACCGTCGTTACTAATAATACAATAAATCTCTCATCTCTCACAGAGCTTCGCCACCGCCAACCACCACCACTCCGAAACCGTCCATCCGTCAATTCTCTCGTGAAGCCTCTCGAAGATCCCCAATTCGACACCCCACTCCATAAAGCGCTTCAGCTCCCACTCCTCTAGTGTTGGTGCGAATACATTTTTCAAGGCATCGAGAGGAATACCGGCACGGAGAGTAACAACTTGGGAAATAGAAGCCACAACTCTTTTCCATAGATCCTCTATTAGGGCTCCGGTGATGCCGATCCAGGCAGGGAGTTCGCCCTGGCTGCCTGCTCCGAGCGGCTCAACTTGTTCGGCTTTGCGCAGCAGCTCGATGTCTTGGTTGTACACATATGAAGAAGTAGGGTTCATATCGATCGTAAACCTCAACTTCTCCCTTGGGATCTTTTTCGTCTCGTAACCGCCACCCGTGAGACCGAATTTGTTCATCGGGACATCGACGCCGTGGAGTTCGATGCGGCCATGGGCCTGTAAGCTTGTAATGCACATCAAGGTTCCTTCATTTGCCATATAATCCACAGTAACAGTACGATCTTTTCCTTGGAAGAACTCATCATCAAGAAATTTCTTGAAGTTCAAAGCGTCGATGAACTGCTGGTTGTTGATATGCTTCCTTAGAGGTGCGGCGAATGCATCAGAACCTTCGTAACTCCGCCCGGGCGTAACGCGGCCTTTGGAACGGTGGACAAGTACCTTCGCACCTAGAAGTGCTTGGAGTGCTTTTTCAACCAGAGGGAGACCTAACTCGCTGAGCTTCGCCGCTGCTACTCGCTGATCCCAGAGTTCTTCGGGGGTGACGGCAGCAGCTCGCACCCAAGATTTGGCGAGGGTGAAATCGTCAAGTTTTATATCGTCAAGTTTCCCAGATCCCTGTTGACGCCGTATAGAAATTGTGGATGGAATTGCAGCAGCCATATCGATACGTTTGTATATAGCTGTCGTAAGACCAAAGAAAGAGTCCCTCCAATTGTTCACGTCACCAACACTTTCAGTGACATGGTATTGCTGCTTAAGTTCCCTACGGTCTGCGGGAAGAGTAACCGACTGTGCGTCAAGGGTAGGATTAATAGTTCGCGTTACCCAGTCAATCACCGAATTCCAATCATAATCTATAAGATTGTCGTAATTAATTGGCGGAACTTCACCTCTTCGGTAGGCTTCAGGAAAAGCATCTCGAAAGTCCTCAGTGATATGCTCGACAATATCAGGCATCTTGGTCCGTAGCTGGCCCCAGGTTTTCGTAAGGAAGGTGATAGAAAACTCGGTGAAGATGTTCGCAATCAGGACCCAGTCAATATTCCCTTCAAGACCACCAGTCAAAACTTGAACAGTGATGACAGCGGCAACGAACCGTCGTTCAAGGTCTGGAGTCATATTACCGCCCATCTTCCGTGATTCTGCTCGGTGAAACCCAACAAGTTGTTTTGCCACCTGTACATCGAACACTGATGCCGCTTGTGTGGGATCTTCCAGCACGCCCTCAAAATCCTCAGGGAGAGCTGTTTGTGGCCGACTCTTCGAGTACTTTTCCCCTCCAGCATCCTTGCGGTTGAGCGAAACAAAGCTAGATTCAACTCGTCGTTTCTTCTGATATCGGGATCTAGGCTGGCTGGGAACTTCAACTTCTTCGGTTTCAGTCTCGAGCTCATCATATGGAAGGTTCTCCACTGTGAATGCAGCACTATCTCGCCATTTAAGTTGAATGGTTTGCGAAGTAGTTGACCCTCCATCGCAGGTCCAGGAACCCTCGCCGAGATCGCAAGATTGGGAAATGACGTTGGGGTCGACGAATTGGAGATTTTGATGGCTTTGGAAGCATTCAGCGCTCTGCTGCTCGTCCGCTTGGACAATGGAACGACCAAGGCCAAAATAACTGGGCAACGTCATTAGCCCAGGGTTTATAGGTGCGCCAATACTAGGTTCCTTCGGCTTAAATGAACCTAGCAGCTCGATTTCATCCAGAGCCTCTGCAGCTTTTAACGATGTCCTGGTCCTACGGTTGGGCTGAGCCACCCTGGGGAAATCGACTGGTTCCAGGTCAAAGTCATCGCCAACTAAATTAGACCTACGTCGCGTTGATGCTTGTCTGGGTGCTCTTGAAGCATAAGCACGAGCGGGTCGACCGGCAGCTTTTGGCATTCGGATTGTGGCCCGTAGACTATCTGAATATTCATCTTCTGCCAAAGATTGTGACACCGCACCTCGTTTCTTAAGTCCAAGTTCGGTTTGGTCAAGTTCCATAGCTCCTTCAAGGTCCAAGGAAAAGGCTTCAGACTGAGATATACCTGTGTCGGAAGCTAGGGAGCTCCTGGATGGCACAACCGTCAAGTGCTGCCTGTCTTGCCCGCGGTACAGAATGGGTCGAAAACCGTTGTCGATTTTGCGCCGATAGTGGTTAGCAGAAGGAGAAAACCCTTCTTTTCCGCGTGGACGTCGCGAGAATATGGGGCTCACACCATGGCCAAATGCTCTGTTAGCCCATGCTCCGTTAGATCTCTGGATATAAGTAATCGGCTCTGGAAGTCGTGGTCTCTTGGTTGGTGGCGCGCGCTGCTTGACGTAAATTGGACTTTGGTCCCATGCTCCAGTCTCTGGATTAGGGAGAACTGCTGTGCCCAGTATCCAACCGTGTAACCCAACAGGAGTATTACGCGCGGTTTGAGATTTATGTACCTGTGCCATCGCTACACGCCTCCAGCTTGGTGCTATAGGGGCCGCATTTTTGGCGAGTGAAGATAAACCGGATGCCCTAGCAGCTGCCCAGCGCTTTCGCATGGCCTGAGCTGGGCGATGTTCGCGTTTTAGACGTCTTTTACCCCTTCCTACCTCGGGCTGAAACTCATCCTCATCACTGATTCCGTCATCTTCTTCGAAGCTATCTTCCTGTTCTAACGAAAAATCCTCGGTAATGAATTCGTCATCAGATGGTGACGATACTTGCTGATGCGCCGGGTCGTTGGGATCCATTACTCCCATTTCATCACCGACCTCGTTAGGCGTTCCGATTTGCCGACGAGCAATAGCTTGTAACCTGGACAGAACAGTATCGGGAGGGGAATTCTCAGCTGGGATATAGAATTCGGGATGCGCTTCCTGTATGGCCGTCTTCATTAATTCAAATTGTGTTGATTGCAGGTCAAATCCTGGTACTGTCGTGATTTTGCGAGTAATAACTCTGCTGGCCTTGTCCCGGAATGAAAATGACGAGACTTCCAGCTTCCCAGCATCTATGAGATCTTCAAAGGCCTTGCGGCAGAATTTTGACTCTGGAATATTGTTGCTAGATTTGTCACTTCTCTTGAGCCAGGCACCTACCAAAGCGAACCAAAGTCCCTTGTCTCCAGAAAACAATCCCCCATTGCCATGTACCAAGTTGAGTATTATCTGCTGGAAATACTGATTGTTCGCCACATCCAGGTGAGAGCGTTCAACTATACTTGTATCTGGAAAAATATCCTGCGCAATCTCTTGCCACATGGATGCTTCTCCTGCTAGCGAGCGAAGCGGCACTTTAGGCTTTTTGGACTTTGACAGGCCCTGCGTAGATGCAGGTATGGATGGTTGCCTATACACTGCTTTCGTCCCTGTAGTTGCATGTTGCTCGGCCCATTCTAGGATAGAGTCATCACTATCAGAAGATGCTCTATCAGACCGTTTGGTCGCCTTGCGAAACTCATGTTGGCCTTGTAGAATCTTATGCTGCATGAATTGTGACTGCCCATTTTCGGACATAGAGTCTGTAGCCATCTGTTCTCGTTTCTTGATTTGTCGTCCGCGTCGTTTGACTATAGAGGAGGGGTCATGGCTGGGGTTGCATGTTGTTTGAGACCGCGTCACGTGATATTCCAAACCCCCTTTGTTTTTGAATGTATTGCCACATTTGTCGCACTTATAGGGCCTTGTAATATCCTCCTTAGCCTCTGCAGACATTTGATATAACTCGCCAGTGCGGAACTGGAATGCGATTTTGGCTGTGACCAGCTTGGCTCTCATGTTGCTCGCGGCCTCGTAAGCCTCCGGCGTGGATGCAAATTGGAAGCAGTGAGTAGTAGTAATGCCATCTTCATTTGCTGTGATCCGAATTTCCATTGGATATGAACCACTCACAGATGTGATTGGATTCGAATGCATCTTAGAGATTGGGAGAAGGATCTTTGGGACTTGGGGTGGGAACTGATCTAGGCCGAAGAATTCTACCGTAGATTTATCTGCGGAGAGCAATAAGTTTCCAACGGCGGCTTTGTATACAGCAGCAAGTCGGACAACATCGCTTGGTATGGGCGTTGATGCAGCAAGGAGTAGTGCAGCTTCTATTCCATTTCTTTGGGCATCCTTTTCCGCGTTCGAAGAACCTTTCGAGACGTCGGCCGGTTTGGCGGTGTGTTTCGATAAGTTCTCGACCTGTGGGTTGGGGTTGGGAGACGAGGCTCGCTGGCTTAATTGACCCGGAGAGACATGCCGTGGACTAAAGAATTGAGCCTGCTCCTCTCTGCTTATGAAGTTGGTACTCGAGAAGGACCCTCTGCGAGGGCCTGATTCATCCACCATCGGCTTCGAAGCTGCTTCGTCCATAGGCTGCGAGGCAGTGGTTTCATGATGAGGCTGAGATGACATAGTAACATTCTGGTGCTTAGTGAAGTCTACTTGCGGGTGTGCCACAGATGCAGGAGCTGAGATGGGAATTTGCGGCGTAGTAGGTCCTAAAGGAGAAACGGAGTTGGCCAACGCTGGACGAGCATCATGCATTGCAGACGGCCATAGTTCGCTGGTTGAGCGTACAGGAGATTGCCTAAAGTTTGCGACTTCCGGGGTAGGCGCTCCATATGGTGATCGATATGCCCGGATATTTTGATTTGTTGCTTGTGCCTGAATATCCCAGGAGACAGGCTGTGTCACGGACGAAAGATACGGGTTGTAATATGCACCATTAGGGACAAAGCTAGGTCTGAGATGTGGGCCATATTCGGGCGGTTGTTGACCTTGGTGTATGGAGGTATATGGGCGGAGTGCAGAGTTTCCTTGTACAGGTTGAAATTGTAAACGTCGTTCGACGTCAGCTCCAGTATGGGACGATATGTAACGAGAGTCACCTCCTTCAGGACCCTGGCTGGAAAGTGTGGGCGGTTGCGAAGTCGAGGCCTCAGACTCGTTATTCGCCGGATTGTACTCTTGTACTATGGTAGTATCCGGCGTGATACCAGATAACTTTGCGGTTTGTTCTGGGCCGGAATCAACTCCTGCAATCAAAGATATACTTCGTCGTGCCCTCTTATTCGATGGCGTATCTTCGGTCCGAGTGGGCGACTGGTCAATGCTACCAGCCCTCTTCCGCTTGCTTGCAGGTTGTCCTTCATTGATTCCAAAAGGCTCGATCGTCGTTGACACATCACCTGCCGGTTCGGCAGATTTGCGCTGGCATTTTCGCTTTGGTTTCGGCTCAGCCATCGGCTCATCCGATTTGACGTTGTCGTCCACTTTTTTCCTCTTGCTTGAAGGCGTTTGCGCTGTATCCTCCTGCTGAATGACAGATTCAGCCATTCTAGTCGCGAGAGGCTCTACCCAACTGCCCATATGCGTCCCTAGCCATTGGGGGTCTCTCAATTTGCCCGACTTGAATACCAGAACGGTTGACTTCGACCCGCAGAATATGCTTTTGAGTCGTCGCTTGCGAGCGGCTTCATGATCATTATACACCCCTGCAACTCCTTCATGGCGCTGCATATCCTCCCAAGAAGTAAAATGAGCAGATTTCTGAGGGGTTGCACGTATTGGTCTCAGTCGAGTCTCTCTGGGGGTTTGCGGAGTCAATGCAGAATCTGCAACATCTGCAGAACTATCCAGGGTGCCTGAGACTGCGGTTGGGCTATTGCTATCGCGAGCGCTGAAGCTACTCGAATACTCCTCGGCAGTGGCCTCAGTGAGCTCATTTGGAGCAGGATAGTTTGACGTTCCATGGTATCCCTCGACATTGGCTACTGACAATGCTCCTGGCGTACTCAAATTCTGTCTGGATTTGGGTGGTCGGCCTCTACGCCTTGGTGCCTCGTTAATCGGTGGTGCTACAGGTGTAGTTGCTAGTAATTTCGTTTTGATCTTTGGCGGCCGGCCACGACGCTTTTTAGGGGGTTGGATAGCCGTAGGTGCAGATGTGAATTCGAAGATTTGACCACTGCTATTCTTAGGTGATAGCCCAGGTTCTTGGGCTGGCGTAGATGTGGTGTTGGAGGGCCATTGATCGGGAAGAGGGGGGGTAATAACCGCCGTCGTGGGTGTTGCATGATCGCCGTTCATTTGTCCTTGCGGAGGTCTTTCATCCCGGGGGAAGGGCTGAATCTTAATAGTGCTGCGTCCGAGCCCCAAGATTAAGACATCATCCAGAGTCAATTTCCTTAATGCCAGGCCCGCCTTGCCATCTCCCAACACAACATCCTTGTGATCCACAAGGCTTTGCCAGACAAAAGGTTTGACTTCAGGGTGGCCAGTAAAACGGTTCTCGAGATTTTCGAACATGCGGCTGATCGAGATGCCTAGTGGCCGCCATTATCATTAGTTCCCTGCTAGACTCATCCGAATGGAACAAAATAACTCAGATAGGGGGTATGGAAGACATAGATAGGAGGGGAAGGCACGTGATATAACGCTGGTATTAGCAAGCGATACCAGTCCAGGCGGCGCGACAAAACGATAGCAATGACTCGACCACTGCACCAAATGCCCCAAGACGCATCGGCAGGAATTCCTGCTTCGCCGTCGTATATAAACAGTCTCCAACCTCGATTTACAACCAATCCTCTTCTCGCCTAAGGAGAGCGCCCGCGCTCGCCAAAATGCTCGAAACAGAGCTGAGGAAGATTTGTGGCAATCAGAAAAACTGACCTTCGTCATTCGTGCTTCTGATCTCGCCCAGCACCCACCCCATCATTGCATCTCGCAGTTCCGCCATAGCGAAAATCTATGTTAGACCATTATTAATGGCGGGGCTGGTGAGGAGCCATTTGTCTGTTGAAATGCTCGATTTCAAGTCGTGGCTCAGTGTGATAGCGTAGCAAGTTGGACAGCAAAGTCGTGATTTTTGGTACGGATTGAGGGTGATGACTTTGGCGGGGTTGTGAAGCTAAGCGACGTTCTAAAGGCGGCTTAGTGCGGGAAACTCGGGTAAATTTCGGGAAACCTGACCTATGCACTTCACTTTGCATCGCAGGGCGAGGGAAGACTTATTTAGGCTGGTAGTTGTAGCAAAGGAGAATGCTTCTGTATATTCGCATTGCCTACCAGGTGGCTACCTCTCTAGGCACACCAACATCTAACGATCTAATACTTCATTTCCATGCAATCGAAATATAATACCTTGAAAAGATATACGCCATAACTACGCCATAAGCGCCATGCAAACCATCCGAAGCCACCCTAACCAAGCCCTGTATAAATTCCCGACGTTCCAAGGCGCCTTCTCGCCCGCTGTAAATTCAAAGATCAAAACCCCATTCACCTTCGCCCTGATTTCATGCAGTTAAATCCTCTAGGTCTGCTCACCAAACATGCCTGGCCGCCGCTCTCAGATCGTCTACGTTCAAGATGTCCACTCCTTCCTCCACCAACACACCCCAAATATAATTCCTCAGTCCAATTGGCCAGCTGGGGAGGTCCCAATATCTAGCTTTCAATCCTCTCCTATGGGCACCCCTTACCTGGCCTCGGATAGTCTTCATCTGGTTCGGACTCAATTTCCAGCCCCACACTGTCCCGATAGCCTTGCCAAAGGACACCGATGCATAATATGAATTCAGAGCATGGAACTCTGAATCTTCGGTTGTGCCGGCGAGCCCTTGACCCTTTCTCTGGATGGGCGTTGTCTCTGGGGCGTTTTCCTCGTCTTCCCACATGGTTTCTAAAGGCGCATCGAAGAAGGCATCACGATAGGTGGAGTTGGCGATAAGGACATCGAATGGAGTTTCGCCAGTTCCGACGACCGTTACAGGTCGGATATGAACAGTGGAATTTTCGACGAACGATAACCACCCCCTCTCTCTAAGTGGCTCCAACTGTTTCAGAACCCAAAGCCATGTTTCCGGACCAGAGGTCTTGACATCAACCAATAAAGTCAGTGTCTTTTCTGTGTCGGTGTCAAACACTCCATGACTAGTCCCGTTGTAAAATTCCGTGTCCGGGTTCTGGCGATGCAAGATGTCGACGAGAGGATTAACGTAGAGTGATTGGAAAGTTCGATTTTGAGTCAACGAAGCGGTGTTGTGGCCGACATATAGGTCGTCGCCGAAGTGCCATACATCTGCTTCCACACTGGTACATCCAGCGCGAAGGGCCGAGAAGAGGGGCACCCTCCGCCAATAGTCGTTGTGCGAGTGGCACGGTATAGGTGTGATATCGCGTGTGAAGTCAGTAGGATAAAAAGCCAAACCCTCCGTTCCCGACCCAGGCCTCCCCCAGTTATCTAGCGTTGTATCAATGTTTGAATGTTGGAGGACGGTCGTTGCACCAAGTACAAGATTTATGAGGAGCAGAACCGCCCTGTAAAAACAGCTGTTAGTTTGAATCACCAGGTTGAAGGAGGAAGAGGTCACATACAAGATACCCGTCCCGGTAACACCGCCATAGATGCAACAATCATACCATGCCATCGGCCGTTTCCTTTTCCTCGGAGGTTGGGGGCTCTCCGGCACAAGTAGTGGGACGTCATCATCCTTCAACTTCTCTGCGTCTATCTGCCCATCGCCCGCAGAGTATATTCTCGGTCGCCTGCCCCGCATCAACCACCGACTCCACCAATGGCGCCTCCGGCCAAAGCTACTCGTATCCTTAAAGTCGACGTCGAACCGATCGTCGTAGTTATCATGGACTGATTCAGTGCTGTCTGAAGAAGAACAACCGGCGATAGCAACCTCTAACTCGTAGTCCTTGGTCGGAGGTTGTTTGGCGGACGTATCAACACGGCTATCCATCTCCGGTGTGGACCCGTCGGGCGATCAAATCTTGGGGATCTTGGCACTGGCTACTCGAAACTCAAATACAGTCCGAGGTTTGGACAACTGCCACAGAACTATCAACAATGCGAATTTCGGGGTTGTTGGGATGGTTGATCTTGTAAACAGTTACGAGAGTTGCGGAAGGAGGTGTCAGAATCCCTAAGGTCAATGGTCATGAGTATTTGCCCCGGTGGGATTGGCTCACGGTGCACGTGGGGTGCCATCCCATTCTGAACGGTCCGTAGTGCTAGTCAAAGCGACAGCAAAAAATCGTGGATAGACAGAAAGGAGACAAGAAACGACCCAAAAGAGATAGCCTATAAGTATAGGCAAAGTATATGGTTTTTGTTATAGTCTGGAACGAGTTCCATGCCTAGTACCCTATTCGGGGATATTATGCAGTCATAAGGTACAGCCAAGGTACAGACGACCTCGTCCAAAGGAGCAAATGGCGAGTGACAGAGGTGCCAAGGCCGGGAGCTAGGCTAATGCTCCCCGCGATCTTATCGCGATAATCCTGAAAAATAGCAAACTTTCCGTGCAGCAAGACCAGCAACCAGCAACCAGCACCAACCCCAACACAACACAACGCGATCAACAAGTATGCCGCACAAGCATACCCGCAAGGGCGAGGTAGATAAGTCTAAGTAAGTCTGGGTCTCACCTTCCGACTGGCAATAATACTGCCACTGCTCTACCATAACCCTAAATTCTAACCAGTTTTACAGACTTGACCTCCCACCCACCGTCGTCGCAAAACCTCTTCCTGTTTCAAAGTCCGCCAATGAAAATGGGATATTCACCTCTGATCTTACAGCCACCCGGAGGACGAACAAGAAACGGAAGCGCAATACGGACGCCGCAGATGATACCCCGAAAGCTTTCGCCCGGTTGATGGCATTCACACAGGGCAGGAAATTACCCAAGGGTCTAGACGATGGTGTAAAAATCTCTACTAAGAAGGCAAAGAAGGGTGGGGCTGTTACTACTTCCCAAGGAGAAGAGAGCGGGAATGGCGGCGGCAATGCGAAAGAAGCGAACCCAGAAGTCCTTGCAATCAAGCCTGGAGAACGCATGTCCGAGTTCTCGGCCCGTGTCAATGCCGCCTTACCTGTCAGCGGCCTAATCAACAAGACGGGCGGTGCAGGCAAAGATCCCTTGGGCTTGAAAGTTGGCCGGACAAAGACGGAGAAGAAGATGCATAGAATGTATGCTGACTGGCGAGAAGAAGAGCGGCGGATTCAAGAAAAGCGGGATGAGGCACGGGAGTTGGAAGAAATGGAGGAAGAGGGGTCAGACGGCCAGGTGGTATGGAAGGAAGAGGGGTCGGAAGCCACTAAAAAGAAGAAGGGGAAGAAAGGCAAGAAGCGGAAGTTGCTTGTCGGGGAAATCGGAGATGCTGAGGAGGATCCCTGGGCGAAGATAAAGCGGGACAGAGGAGAGGAGAAGATTGGCTTAAATGATGTTGTGAAAGCTCCGCCAGTTTTTACCAAGCCCCCAAAGGAGAAGTTCAAGGTTAGGGGGGCGATGGTGGAGGTTGACAATGTCCCCAAAGCTAGCGGGAGTCTAAGGAGGAGGGAGGAATTGTGTGCCGTAAGGCAAAGTGTAGTGGAGGGGTATAGGCAGATGATGAGGGACAATAAGGCGAGGATGCGAAATAAAGAGGATAAGTGAGAGGTTCCTGTCGGAGGCTATATTTTCTCTAACTTGGACTGCTTCTTTCCTCCAATGTTGAATCCACAAAATGGATAGAATCCACCTAGCAAGCGCTCTACAGTTTATTTGCCCAAATACCATACACCCTACTTGTATCTGTTCAATCAACTGTTTTATATCTCCTTGCCTCCAGCTCTGCCTTGCTTCCCAGCTTCACCATTCAAACAACTATATCTGCAATAATATATGTTTTTATTTCTTTAGGGTATAGCACCCGAAGATCTTATGAGTGTTGCATAGGAGGATCAGCTTAGTAACAAAGCTATGAATCAGGTTGGGACAGATATCTCGGAAACATTCAAAGGGAACGGATGCACCTATTGTACTAGTTAATCACGGTGCTCTAGAGGTTTCGTGAATGGGCGATTCTGCACAGAAGATGTATAAATTTATATTGCACTTATCTCTTGGTTGTTTATTTACATCCCTATTCCTCACAGCTATACCACAAATCCAAAGCTCTACACCCCATACCACAGCTCGGCGACCCCTCGCTCTCAAAGCAAGTTCAACCCTCACTCTGCCAAACATGGGGAACAGTTCTTCCAAGGGAGCCTCGGGGTCTAGTGGCAAATGCAAAGGCCACGCCATCAAGAAGAATCCATGCCCTGAACATTTGAATCTCTGCCCAAACCGAGCTGGGTGTCAGTTCGATTGCCGGAATTGCAAGTCGCTGCGGAAATCGAGACAGGCACATCGAGCACGGCTCCAGGACAGCATCGAGCGAGCGAATACCTTGCGTTCGATGAAGGCGAATATGACCGGTCGGTGGGCTGATCCAGGTGCTTGAGAATTAATCTGAGTGTGGGGGGTCGGAATGGGCAAGTCGGATGGTTGAGTTTCGAAATTGATTGGGAATACCAGGCTGCAGGGAGCCATGCTTTGGAGTTGCGCAGTGTAGGACACGACAAAAGCGCTGGGTTAGTACTCTCAATATCAAAAGTGCAGCATTTCCCGTTGAGTTATTACTACCCAAAACACACGAGCCTTCAAAATCCATGATTCTGTCCTACGAGGTAAAGTATAAACTTCCGAAATATAGTCGTGACACAAGGAAAACTGTAAATGTTCGCGATTGGATTATGAAAGGACTAATATATGCCTTAATTAAACAGTCATCATGATGTATCCTACTATACATCGCATTTTTATTTACTCCAAGGTAGGTATTCGAGATTCTCGGCCCCTATATTAAAAATGGAGACGGGGTAGAAACTCGCTGGGTAAACAAATAACGCTATCTAAAGACTTGTTTACACTCGGTTGGCTTATTTTTGGTCTATTAATACCTGCGAGATCTTATTTCTCAAGCCGGAGGTATTGTCGTCTCAATTTGGAGGCCTGACCACTAGCGAATAACTGTTGTTGTATATTTTTGACTATTCTGTTCGCCCAGCTTTTAGTATCTTATTAACTTTTGGCGTTACTGCCCTCACTTAATTATTATTATTTATTAGAATAGAGATTTATCTACGCTTTTGTACAACCAGACAACATTATTCATGAAGAGGGGTATCACCAATCAACTCCTACCAACGCCTTTTACCGTCTAAGCAAACTCCTAATTCCATCCGCGAACAGCAACTTCGCATACCAATAATGAAGCCAGGGAATATACTCCGCCCACGAGTCAACATTTTTGACCGGATTACACCGGAAGTGCTCAAGCCTAATTTCAACACCACTATCTGCCTCACTTGGACCATCCTTCGTCTCCTCGGGATTCCGAATAACACAAAAACGGTGACAACCCGCGAACGAAGCTGAGTCCGAGCCAAACCCAAAATCAACATAGCTAGGTGATGGATCAGAAGTTGATTTTATCTTTGCATCGATAACCTTGAAGGAGCCAAAGAGGACATCTTCGATGGGAACCAGGGTCGTTTTGGGGATATCTGAAACCCTCCAAATGATATTTTTGGGCTGTTTACTGTTGAATGCTACTTTCAATTAGCTTCAATCCATATATAATTTGTGTATAGCATACTAGAATAATGTGCGGGCAACCATTTCCAAACCCCCATACGCAGGATAGCCCTCTCCGGGGCAAAAATTACACCTCCGAAAAACCCCGTCGTAAATAGAGCGAGGATAGCTTCATCATTTAACCCCTCCACAGAGGAGGCAGGCAACGTTGTTGACACCTGATCTGTCGCAACACGATGGTCCCGAGGATTAACTATCTGCGCCGAAGTAGATGTTAAGAATTCCCGTGATACAGGGTAAGTAAATGTTTGGCTGCGGAGGATGTTGAGGAATGAGTCCTGTTGGTGGAGGCCGAGAAGCCATGTCATTGGCCGAGAGATTAGTGCTGGGAATGATTTTATCGACATTGTAAATTAATTTTCAATTGCTGAGTAGAACAAAGTACCAGACGGTGTGCCTCATATAAATATCTCATACATCGTATTGGGTTTGTAATACGTGCGGCGGAGTCCGCCCCAAGATGACTCCGGATGGGAGTCATGTTAGAAGTCTAGGGGTACGCTATCGGGTAATTTAGGGATCAGCTTTGCGTGAAATCGGAACGTTTCGCTTTGAATTTCTAGGTGATTTCGCATTTAATCAACCATCGAAGGGAATAGTAGTGGTCAATGGGTCATGTGGTGGGCGGAGGAGATAGGATTGAATTACTAGCTAAGGGCTGAAGGCTGAAGTAGTCATCATAGAAGCCATTTGTGACTTGTGCCAATGGAGCCTAAAGAGATAGCACGCGACCGCGTGCCTATAAGGAGAGGTAGGAAGGCTGACCACATACGACAGAATCAAAGAAAATTACGACTGTCTACTCCTCTGGCAAATACACTGATATTTCCAACCCCCCATTGAAAGGCAGCGTAAGAGTTCTAAACCCGTTCTCTGGATTATGGAGATACTCAAAAAGGTCCTTATATAGTAGGCGTGATGAGGTAGTGTTGTCTGCGATAATGACGGCGCCTCGTTTGAGTCTTGGATGAACAATCTTGAGCGTTGGAAGCGCCATGGGGGTCCATACTGTGCAACGTTAGCGGTCATCCTTCCACAGCGACTGGAAAGATAGGAGGGATTAATCGAAAGGCGTAACTGCGTACTGTCTAGTAGTAGCATGTCAATTTCCTCGGGCATGCCCTCCTCAACCTTCAGAGTTTCGAGCAAATTTCCTTCCCGGAGCTCAATCCAAGGCTCGACTTCATCACCAGCCTCCCTCCAATGTTCCCGCGCCTTTGCGGCCTTGGAAGGCTCGTTTTCGGTCGCGATCACCTTTCCTGTTACAGAGGAGGTAGACCCAAGGGACCTCGTTCGATCCGCGATATTCTGCCCCACAGCAAGCGCTAAGTATATCGTCGAAACGCCAAAGCTTGTACCAGCTTCGACGATGTTGCAAGCGCCTAAGCTTCGCGCCAATAGATAGACGAATTGGCATTTGTCTGGCTCTAAAGCCACGAACTTATCCCTCATGTGGTCGTCACTGGCGGCGGACCAGCGCTGTCCGCTAAACATCCAGTAGTAGAAAAGTCGGGAGACATAGAAGAATCGCTGAGAGATGGAGTTTTCTTGGGCTTCTGATAAAGCGTGTAGCTTCTGTAGGAGCTGGTGGACCTTGGGACTAGCCGCGACGGTTGAGGGTGGAGAGGCCATTGTGGTGGAGGATGGAGCAGCTAATCTCCGCTGAGCCAAGATTGGAGGAGGGGAAGAGTGATATACGAAGTACTATGAAGGTGAGTCAACAATGAAGGAGGATAATCTACACTATATTGGGCAAGGTATGAGTTAACTCTCGTTGTCGCCGGTATGCGGTACCGGACTCATTACTCCGCATTACTTTTTCCCTCGAAGGGGAGGGGGAGGAGGTTTGGAACAAAGCTGTTTGCGCCAGAATTTCCAGGTTGGCATGGACTTTGCTCGGTGTCCAGTTATGATCCCGATACCGCCTTTGCATATCAATGAATAAGCCAAAGTGTGAAACGGAACCAAAAATTTAAAAAAGTATAATTGTGGGATCATCAGTCACCACCTTTTAGGAGTTTTTAAATATTAACAACATAAGGAGACTGATAGCGCGGGATACCAATCATGCCCTGGTATATTGGTTTTCGTTTGTTTTTTGATATAAAAATATATCGAAGGTGCAAGATAAATCTGTGAATAGCGTCACTTTTGCGACTAAGTGCCTGAACACTACAGTGGGATGTGTGTGGTCTGTGGTGCTGCATAATCCCAACAACAGAGAGAAGAGAGCCGACTAGTCGAAAACATATAAGTTCCTATCAGGCTATTAGCCAGCCTTCTACTTTTCTTCTAGGATGTGGCTTTCGTCAAATTTAGAGAAGCGAAAGCTCGAACTCCAACTTCCATAAAATGAAAGTTTGGAACCAGGATAATAAGTATATTTCAAACACATACCTATAATCTCTTGCTCAAGAACGGGGTTGTAAGAAAGTATCCATATCGGGTGGACGGAGAAAGTTCGGCGATTCCCAATAGAAATGACGTTAGGGGTAGTACCAAGCCTGGGTATTACGTGGGGCATGTGTACCCCGCCTCCCTTCATATCGGCTCGCAATAAAACGATGAAGTGATAAATAGACCACCATCTTTGAACGGAAAACTCAATTCACAATTGATTCAAAAGGGGTTTTGCAAAAAGAATTCAGGCCGCAGAAGAAATAGCAAATATGGCGGAAACCAAGAATATCGCTGTGCTCGATGTATGTCATTCCCCTCCAGTATTCCGCACTCCGAGTACCAAGTGGCACAATTGCTTCCTCTGCGACACGAACTCCCACAACAATTGCTATGCATTCTACATAGCAAGACTTGGGCTTTAATAGCCGCAACTCTTCTTCAATCGCAACAAGAGCTAACAAACACTCTTTTCTAGTCCTCAATCGTCGACCGCCTCCCAATATCATCCAAGACGCTCTTCGAAGCCAAAGCCGCACAAGGCCTAACCTTCGAAGCCATCGCGGAAGCGTTAGGACGCTCCGAAGTAGCAGTTGCAGCGCTCTTCTACGGCCAAGCGCAAGCCTCGCCCGAAGACATCATCGCGCTATCCAAAATCCTTAAGCTCCAAGAACGTGTGCTCACCGAGCAGCTTGCTGGATTTCCCGATCGAGGCCGAGCTGGGCCGATGCCACCGATTGAGCCACTCATTTATAGACTTTATGAGATTGTGCAGAATTATGGATACGCGTATAAGGCGGTGTTGAATGAGAAGTTTGGCGATGGTATTATGAGCGCCATTAGCTTTAGCACGAAGGTTGAGAAAGAGACGGATGACAAGGGTGATTGGGCTGTGATTACATTGCGGGGGAAGTGGTAAGTCTGCTATTCTCTTAACTTCAATTCTGATAGCTCCCATCGTCGGTTATTTACGCATTCATTTAAAATGTCGGCATCTGTGGGGCGAGAGGAGAACCTATGATCCAGATTTAAAGGGCGAAGCTAACTTACCTTTTAGGCTGCCTTTCAGCCGATTCTAGGCGGAACTTTTCTCTTCTGAAGGCTGGGAGGGTGCTGTCAGGTAGCACTCCATTTTCTTATGGATGCTTTAGTGAAGTTTAGTCTTCGTACTTCATAATGACCAATGAATCAAACCTAATTTGTTCCTCGCACGCCCTTCGTATTTATTCAAGGGCATTTACCAATTGCAACCCCGTAGCTGCTCCGCATGTACCACTGCCAATGCCTTCAGCACATTTGTGTTCTTTTCAGCACCAACAGAACCATCGTACCTCCCTAGGTGGGTATCTATCCACATGAACGCAACCAGAAGAATATCCCACAAATCCAGAGCACTCCGCGCCTCCCAGCATTTTTGGAAATAGATCTAGATTCCGGATGCACTCGACTAAATGACCCCAACCAAAAACGCGTTTATCACCGCTTCTTTATCGCAATTCGAGTCCCAGGCCAGACGCGCGCCACAACGCCAAAGGGGGCTAAGCGAGGGAGCCCCTTAATATTGTTGTCGCTTGAGCTTAGTATTGTTCTCGAGTTCAAAGAATGCACCACAACGGATGGGGAAAATGTGAGGCGGAATGAGGAGAACAATATGAGAGGATGACAAGGGATTTTAGATATGGGGCGAGAATACTTTGTTTGTTGGGTGCTCAATTGCTGGGTTTGGTTATGTGGAGTTGGTTGGGGCTTGAAGCCCAAAGGGAAACAGTAACGGAAAGGGAAATGGCGGGTAAGGAGATGCGAATACGTGGATGAATATCGTACAGAGTTCTATGACCTGGTACAGGATTCAATGTGAGAGATTTATTTTTAGATTAGTTTAACATAGGATTAGAACTTGACATAGTTAATGATGATCTCGCAGATATAAATCCATTGACTCCTTCCAACAAACATCCAGGAGAAGAGACCTCGAGAATTGCTTCCCTCGATAGTAGACAGGAACTGAGGAGATCTAAGACTCCTAAGCCCATGTACAGCCGCTCGCCGCAACCTAACACCAACACGCCCAATCTCCACAAGGTGCAACCCCCTTTCATTCCCTCCATACCCAGACCAACAAGCCGTAAACATCATATAACCCTCATCCCCTGAATAACTTTTGCCTCGAACAGAAATTCAATAAAGCCAGAGGCAAAAGCAGACCATATCACAATCCTATCAGCTACAGATCCGGATACCCCTCATATTGTTCCTGAAAATGCCGTATTCCAGAGCTTTTCCCAGTTCTAGAGCCTCCGCGGCTCAAAGAACCACATCCCGAGATCTTAGTATTGTTCCCCTCAGCCACTTGGTCCTAAGCCAACCAGTACCCCTATCCAGGCACCCTCACTTGAGGTCTCCTTTGAGCATCCTAACCTCCAAAGCAGAATTGCCAGAAAGCCTCTCATTCCTACTTCCAACATCTCTCACCAGTCACTTCCGCCTCCTCATAATTCAATAGAAATAGCTGGCCCACGCCCCTTTAACAGAGCCTGACGAAAGTCTATAAATATCCGGCCTCGACCCTCCCAAAATATATTTTTCTCTCCACCATCAAACACACGTTCAAACACACAATTACCAAACACAACCCACAAACCCCCCAATCAATCAACATGACTCCCACTCAAACCAACGCCGTTGCCGCCAAGGGCACCGGATACTGCACCGTCATGTAAGCGTCGTTTAGGCCCGGGGTCAAACCCACCTAACGATGGCTATGCGGTAAAAAGAGGAGGAAAAATTCAACGACTTCGCATTATTCACTTCAGTCATTACACCCCCATTTGACCGGGCCCGTCTGTACATCTGTACACACACACACACACACACATCACCAAAAAGATGCGATAGGCAGCCTTTCTGTCGACAAGCCAGGACGCTGGTTTGTTCAAAAGTGCCGCGGTTTTCCACGCTACCGCTCATTCTCGACCACTCAGACGGGTTCGTTTTTACCCCAGGCAGACTTCTTCCCCCGATATATTCGTCCTTCAGCATTTTCAGATTCCGTCCTTTTCACAAACTCTCTCGCCGCTAATGAGGATTATCCTGGCTTGATATCCGTTGGTGGGAGCGTTTCCAAAGACAACGTGGGGAAAAGGGATGGAAAAGGGGTGGGATTGTTGAGGGAAGGGCCTGTTCTTTGTCATAAGACACATTAATTTCTTCAATACACCACTTTTGCGCGCGCGCAATTTTTAAGAAGATAGAATCTTTGCATACAGTATGTGAAACAATGATTGCATGTGATGATAACATTTAATATTCATGTTGGATGTCAAGAAAGGGAGGCGAGGGCGGGGATAAAAAGCCCCAGTAGCTGGTCTTGACTAGAAGGTGCCATGACTAATAGTTGAACCTGTAGCTCTACAGGTGGAAGGTGGATAGGGATATAGCAGTACTTTCCCCATGCATGAATGAAACAAATAGCTTGCTAGGCTATCAGTCGGTCACCAGTATAAATCAACAGCAAGATACTAATCTCGCATACTTAGTCGCTGCCATGCCCTATACATCAACAGAAGGTACGAGGCCACGGACGGCACCAAAATCACTAGTATATAAATCACAAGTGTGCTTTGTAAATAGATGATAGCTTAATAGAGTAAATGTCTCAGACATAGATATAACCTAGAGGTATTTCCCGCTTTGGCGTTTCAACGCCCGTTTCTGTTCCATTAAGTATCCTGTCAAATACATCGCTGATGAATTCAACACCAATGCCAGCGCACAGCGCTGCTACTAAGACATGCGCGTATCCAAGCGTTTAAATGTCAAATAAATGTCAAAATATCTCAACTCAAATCCCCCTAGGCGCCTTGTTGCCGTCAGTGGAGGTTTTTTTAGCTGTTCTGTCGCTAAGTTCGTATGTACAGTAATATCGTACAGCAAATTCATCGTCGTGTGGAAATGATCGAGGCGTAGTGAATTCTTGAGCTTATCCAGATCGACTCGGGAGCGTGGGTCTCCGGGCCTGCGATGAAATGACTAGTTGGCCTATTTCATCCCATGTATCGCCTGGTATTATAGTCGAGCTATGGAATAACCATAGGTGGTGGGCAACCATCCGCACAACCTCACCAAAATATATGCGTCTCTCTCGCCTTTGGATCCGGATCTCTATCCCACGAACCTCTCGTGCCACATCTTAGCGTTGCTTCTCGTCTCTGCATATCAAATAGAATCTCTTTCACCATCACTCTCTTCTCCCTCTCCACGAAAGCGCCATCCATAGTCCCCATACCATATCCGAGATACTCCCCTAATCCCTCCTCTTCAATCTCCATAATCCACTGGCCTACCCTTCCGGACAGTATGCTATCCCACATACCTTCTCTCCTCGGGCTACTCATCAGCAGCTTGATTGCATCTCGCCTCACCCTTCTATCCCGACACTTTGTCGCGACTACGAAAAGCGGGGGGATGATTCCGAGATCCAAGGCAAAAGAAGCTTTGATGTGGGCGAAACCATCCTCATCTTCATATATCCCAGGCGGATGCAGGGCCATGCCGGACAAAGTAAGTAATTTATTTTGACGCTGTCGGTGGCTACAGTTCGCACGGTTGCCACATCTCGCCTGGGCCAGGGTCAATTCTTCGTCAACGACCACCTCTTTCGCTAGCTCCACGATCTCTCTGAAATGCGGCATAAAGCTGTCGAAATCCATTTCAGATGTGCTGAACCCCATCAGAAAGAGCACGGCGGTCATAAGATGTGTCATTTTGAGAACGTTAATACCTGCACGCTCGGTGTTAGATATGCCGGGTTTCCGTCGAGTCTGCAGAAGTGGCTCGAAGGCCGATGCCCATTGAGCCAGCTGGATACGAAATCCAGCGCCTGACGATTTCACCGAGACAGGTAAAATATCGTTGGGTCCCTGGTAGTAGGAAGACAGGGCTTCTTTGAAACGCATTATGCGTTCGCAGAGGGAGTCTAATGCCGACCGCGCTTCCTGGGATGTTGCGAAGACATCTGGTAGAGGGGGTTCCACGGACGCGGTAGAGGCGGCATCGGAAGGGGATGAGGGTGATTGCGGTGAGGTTGGATTGCGCGTCGGCGTAAGGCGAATTACGTAGGGGTGAGGGAAGTGGAAGGCCATATCGTATGACTTGGCCTGGATCGCAAGGCGCGTAAACATCTGGACAAGCTCGTCCTCAACATCCTCGCCTCGATTGGTAAATTGTTGCTTGGCCTCTTGCCGTCGCTCCTCAAGCAGGCCAAGCCCATGCTGAATCTGTGAGATTGCTGCTTTGTGGTCACCGGTGAACGATTGAAAACAGGTAAAGAGGACGACTGATATTAGTATAGTTCGCTGTGATCGTGTTTCATGATTCTGCAATGCTTCTCGGAGTCTCGTGAGTGCTTTGCCGTATTGCTGCAGAGCAAAATTGTAATGGTTTGGTGCCGTATCGAATGTATTATTGTCTGGCGAACCAGGAGGTGACTCTGACGCCTTCTCCAAGGTCTTGTACAGGGCTCCTAATCCCACCACCGCATGCCGTATCGAGGCTTCTGAGTGGCTCTCCTGTAGCACACTCCGCGTCCAGAACTCCGAATCAAAGAAACCGGATAATTCATTCGCCGTATGCGTTCGAAAGACCTGGAAGTACTGGCCTTCCTGGACATCAAATGCTAAAGCTCCGGGCGCATATATTGTGGGCGAGAGATGCCCGGCCGTAGCGGAAGGAGCTGGGGGAGGAGGACGCGGTCGTTGGACGGCACGCCTTGGTTTCCGGGGGACAATCGACAAGGCAGCGGGAGGGGAGGTTGAGGATGATGAGACGGACGAGGGAGGAGACGTTGAGAAGGGCGCAATGCTGCCCGGACGCGGCGCAATTGGAACCGCAGCCTCAAGAGTCCTTTTGTGGGCTGGGAATCCTCCACAAGTCCTCCCTGATCGCACGCAATTTAAACATTGTGGCCGCGTCTCGTCGCACTTGACTCTTCGAGTTCTGTGATGATGGGCATCAGCAAAGGCGCGCAGAGGGGTCGCAGATGGGAGGGACAGGAACGGAGCGCTCAATGCTTGCTTACTTGCAAATATGACAGCCGGTCTTGACCTTGGGCCGGCTCGCCCTTCTCGACTTCATCACCTTTACTTTGTCGTCCGATTCGGTCATCTCGAAATACGGGCTCTATCACCTGGCATCGCTCGGAGGGGCTTGCGCGGCTGTATTTAACGCGAAGGCGGGCGAATGTGGGATCCTGCTATTTAGAGTATAAGTTCTGTGCTCGCAGGACGGTGAGGTCAGGGTGGCGGATAACGATCTGCGGCGATTGATCAACAGAATCGAAATGGAGGGAGGGGTTAGGGGCGACAGAAACAGTTGGGAGATGGGAGACTGGGAGACTGGGAGATGGCCTTGAGGCACAGATCGGAAGCACAAGCCGGGGGGCACATATCTAATCGTCACACAACGCGGTGCATGTGGACCCGGAGATGCCAGAGGATCCGTAAGGTTTTGGACGAGGGGACCAAAGAGGCCGAGGAGCCACTGGCTCAAGATGCCGCCCGCAGAAAGATCGAAGAGCGCGTACTCGCAGCACCCTGAAGAAGGAAATAGGTAGTAGAGCTGCACTTACTTACCTAGGTGCTTTGGGGTTCCTTTGTCTTTGGCTTCGGCTTTGACTTGGCTTGTCCTGTCCTGTCTTGTCTTGTCTTGACTCGTCCTCTCTTCACTCCCACCCCGCTAGCCGCCCATCTCCAGCCTCCAGCAGAGCAAGGGCAAAAACAAAAACAAGACCGGGACCGAGGCCGAGACACACACACACACACACACACACAGGTCCGAGTACAGACTCAGGTCCGTAGTAGAAGGCGGAAATGATAGACGACGAAGATGCTGGATATAACGGCGAACAAAATTTGCGCCCTCCTGTTGCGCAACGATAAGGTATGTAGCTAACGCAAGGACTTCCAGGGACCACGCACGGGCAAAGAAGAAGAAGAACCTTTTGGGCAGGGGGGGAATTGAAGCGCCCAGCGTTGTCAATTTTGGCAATAACCGCCGATACGGGATGCTCGGAGCCACGACACAGACGCAACGGGCAGGAGCGGACTCTGTGTTATATAGGTAGGCAAGTAAGGTAAGAGTGGATAGGAAGCTGTTGATGATTGATATTATATATATATTATATTATATGTTTTCTTATGTCGGCGGTCTCTCGCCCTGGCTCCCGGGTACACAGCCCGGCTGCAGGCCTCCTCTGCACTACGAGCGCGGTGGAGTGTGTACCAAGTAGTACCGCTGCAGCCCGTGAAAGGCCGACGACCCAAGGGCGGGCACCCTATGCAACGCTGTACGAGCGACCAAGTAGGACTGATTGTTTCGCGCGTCATCAGTACGTACTTGCAGCGGTACTTGGTACTACGGTAGGTGGTGGCTCGCAGAAAGTGGCAGAGCAGAGCAGAGCTTAATATTTCCCAATGGCTTGACGGCTTGCGCAATAATGCCAACATCGACATCGACATCGGCAAGTTCAGCAATGGTGGAATAAATGCATCCCACTCTGACAGGGCTGCAGGGGGGCGGGATCCAAGTCCCCCGGACCGCCGGCGGCGACCACTGAACATCCAGAAGGGCCACGTAGGGCTGATGCCGGCCCGTTCAGTCCCCGTGCGAGCCCGTCTCGTCCCCCTAAATCATAATCATCGTGGCTTTGGGGCTTTGGGCTTTGGGGCTTTTGGCAGCTGGAAGCGGAGGGCACTGGAATAAAAACTTGGCACGTTGGCAAACCCCCGAGAGGCCCAGAACGCTGGAACTCCTTGACCCCCCCCGTCCAGCGAGGCAGACGGTATGCATCTCGAGTATCCCGATGTGATATGCGCGCTCTCCATTGCAAATGATTCCAGCTCCGCACTCGTCGCCGAATCCCGACAGATCCCACATTCCACGGGCAGATGACCCAATTCCAGCGATGCCCCTTCACCGACTCGACGAGTAGAGTACTACGTAAGGCACTTGGCGTCATGTCATCCATCTCACCATCCGGGGGGGGAGGGAGAGGGTTCACTCAGGTTCACTCAGTGGTGGTTGTGGCTGAGCACGGCCACCACTGACACTGCCCGGAGTTCCCTTTCAGCCAAAATCAAATGGGATTCGTTGGTTGATCCACCGATTACTGCCGGTGTAATAATGCTCTACAATTCCCCATTAATTGTGCCCTCAAGTACGAAGTACGGGAATTGATGTCATCGATGTGCTGCGCAATTCCCCATCTTTCGGAACATGTCTGTCCTCTCGTACACCGGACAATCAAAGCAATTGCTTGCGATGCATCAAATGCGTCATTATTGGTCCAGGCCGCTATGGCAGGCAGTCCGGTCTCAAGGTTGAAAGCTATCTTAATCTGTCGTATTTCGCCCGTTACAACACCTGCGATGCTTCTTCTCGGTCGGAGCAACCGTCAAGGAAAAGAGGAAACCCCGCGCTAAATGTCGAGGCCTGGGAGCGACCCCTCATATGGGTTGATGTGTCTTCGTCCACTCTTCGAACTTCGTCGTCGAAGGTCGCGTGCCATCGGACGGAGAGAGAGCATCGTCGTTGGCGCCATCCTTGGGGTTATGGCTGAGAGCCTCTGCAACCACAACCCGAGTTCCTGTCGTCGGGTCTCCAAGGTTTGGGTCGCAAGTAAATGAGTCCTTTGCGAGTGCTTCATTTATATTGCTATTACCCGCTTCCTGCTCTCCTCTCCAGCACCTTCCGAGTTCCTTCCGAGTTCCTGCTTGTTTCCTAACGTCAATTTCTACATAGTCGTAGCCATACCTGCTCGTTTCTTTTTGTTGCATTGATTAGTCTCCAAAATGACCGGGACCATTTTCAAGTCATCTGAAGTTCCGGTATCGCTCTCGGTGGTAAGCATTCTTCCACAGTTACTAGTAGTCTAGTCGCGTTGCTGGTGAGCTTTTCAACAGCTTTCGTCGAGCGGCATATCTGCTAGGCTCTGGCGAACCATTTGCACCAGAGCAATTGGAGAAGCACCGCAGCGATAAAACTAGGGTTAATTGCCTGGCGTTGTGTAGGTAAGATAGCCGCTAATCGGAAAGCCTTTTTGCGAAGCTTTATTGTTAAGGTAGTACAAAACCGCATACTTGGTTAACACAAGAAAATTGTGTCAGAACGGCCAGATGTGAGTCTAATCTCTCGGTGTCGCTAGAATGAAAGGGGCGAGGTGGGAAGGAATACTTCAATTCGTGTACCATTGTGCGGCATATCAATTCCTCCTCGTTCTTCGTGCCGGTCCCTTCCTGCCACGGTCAAATCTATGCGTTTATGAATGCGAGATAGGTTGTCCTTCGTCTTTGATTTTTCGTAAGTCATAGCATTCTCCTGGCTCGTCACCCTTTGCGTTCCAGGTTTGCTTATTTCCTCCGAGACACTGCCTGTTTGTTGTTGAGTCGAGAGCCACATCTGCTTTTTATTATCGGAGGCGTTCGGGATTTAACTCTTGGTGGTCGGCGTCTTGAATCAGGAACCCCGAATCTTGGTAAAGGGGTAAAGGAGGGGGGGCTTTAGTCACGGCTAGTGGCATCCGCCCCGATCTTTGATCCTTACTCCCGTCGGATACGATAAGAACGAACATTTGGTGATATGCCCAGCGAGCGCCATAATAATGTTAGCCTCGCAAGTCTGGTCTCTATCGTCCTAGTAGTAGTCCTACCACGGCTACGCCAGCATCCACCCGAACCCACAGCTCTGGTAATGCCTTTAGCGGCTCCCAAATTCGAGGATTAAGTAGCCACTGCACGTCGATCAACACAACCTCATACCGGTAGACTGCTACCGGTGCAGCTAATCTATGGGTTCTGATCCCCGGGTAATCAGCCTGCTTCGATCCGAATCTTCATTCTGGTAGATGGTGCAGGTCCCGGGTTCAGGTGAGTAATTGCGAGCAGGATACAGTAGGACACTGGGGCAATCGCATCTATTCTCCATGTCTCCAGGCCAGCCCCAAGATTGACGGTCACTAGCAGCTTGATTGGCCCATGGGGGACGTCCCACTGACCCAAAATTGTATTGGGGACCGGTGGAATCTTAGGAGTTAAAAGTCCACGCATGGGCCACTACGACGGGTTTTGCCGTGCTGTGCGGATCGAACCTCGAAGCCTCAAGCTCAACCCAGGGTGGCCCTAGGGGAATGGAATTGATCGAGTCTCCCGAGATACCGAATTTCACGCCTTGACGGCGGCCAGCTTTAATAACATGTTGCACTGCTCATCCGACCATCTGGTGTGGTTTATGCGTTTTATCAGTCTCGGTCGGTCCCGACTGGCAGGCTGACTGTCCCAGCGGGCTTCTTGCCATGCCCTCCACAGGGTCATGCGCCATTTGATTTGCATAGCGCCACGTGTTAGACGGGCCCTATTATAGCGCCTGGAGAATGGGGAGAGGAGGGGGGTTCATCCAAAGTGACGGCCTCATTTGCACGGTTAGGGGGAGAGGCAATGTAAGGTAGGTAAGGAAAGGTTGCGGTGTGCTCACTGCTCACTGCTGCTATTCCCTGAGCAGTTCGTCGGCATGGTGGGTTCGCCTTGCAATGCAAGCGGCAGCCAATCGCATCTCGCCATTTCCAGCTACTTTCGCTACCGTTTCCTCACTTGACCGTCGACCATCAACCAGTCGCATCAGCAACATCAAAGATACGTAGTGCTTCCTCCTGCAAATCTTCTCGACGCAATGGATATAACAGTTGCCCATTCAATGCCTTTCCGACTCTTCAACCCATCCTATATGCTGCGAGGCATCTATGGTATTATTCGCAAACATCACAGGGCGCCGTGAAATATATAGGGACCTAGGTGTATTCTTCACTTCAGGACCCTGGCGTACAATTTCGGCGGGGTTGGATCTATGAGTTTTCGAAGGCCCGCGGCTGCCCATGAGCAGAGAGAACGGAGGCTCAAGATGGAGGCAGTTTTGAGCAACACTACATGCAGCAAGGGCCATACCCATCCCCCGTGGAATACCATCGGCATTTTGCGCATCGAAAAGTGTGAATCGGTATGTGGATTTTGCCAAAAAGAGACAAAGACGGCTGCGAATCTCAGAAAGGTATTCCTCCTTCTGCTTCTGATTTACTCTCGTTTGTCCGCTAATGATATATCCATATATAGCACGTTGCTATTCACATAAAAAACGAACGGCTGAGCCTTACGATTGCGGAAGGTTCGAGTGGCCGTGGTAGGCTGTGAGTAAGTTTATTACAGAGCCAAGAGTAATTGCTGATATTTCAAGTAGGGAAATGCCGCCATCGTTTGACCGGGAATCATCTTCCTCCTCGTCGCGCGTCTCGCACCTATCTGATGAGATGGATCGTAATTCAGCATCGGCGAGGAGGGAGAGTACCAGTACACGCAGCCACAGATTCTCCCAACCATTGCAAGGAGAATCGTATTCCCCTCCCACAATACAGATGTCCATGCACCATCCCAATTCTCAACCACATACTGGAAGGACGGCGTACGTTTCAAACTCAAGCTCAGATACCCCGTTCATCCCAACTACGGACCCACAATCCTTAGCCTCGACCCCCTTGCCATCGTATTCATATCACTACCCTCCTGCACTCAACGCCCCAAGCACGCCTTCGACGTCCTCCCTCACCACCATTCCGCAAACGCAACCCTACTCTGCTGCACTCAATGCCGCCTACCCTAATCCCTCATTACCCAAAGACCCCTTCCGTACCCTCCGACACCACAAAATCCACACCAAAATAGCATGGACGGCCATCCCATCGACGGAAGGGATGCGAATCCTAGATCTGTGCAAGTCTCTCTCAGTCGCCACTCCGGAGGGGTCGCCTTCGGGCTCCCAAGCTCGAACTCCATGCTATAACCGCGAGACGTTGTTCGACGAGGAATGGCAAGCCCATATGAGGGATGTGCATGGAGTATTCTTGCTCTGGCCTCACACGTGGATGAGGAGGATCGAGGTGTTGGATTTGGAGCCGTATGGTGGAGACATTGGCGAAATTAATGACCTTATAATGGATGGATGAATAGGAATTCGGAAGGGAATTGGGGTTACAATCTGGCGCTGGGGCTTAGGAAAGAATGCACGTCGGGAAGGCGAGGTAGAAGACCCTGTGCTAGTGCGAACGCGATACATTTGTCCACACTTCAATGCGACGGGGTCGTTGGATGGGCACATATTATCAACTTCCGTCTGTTTTGGTAAAGCAGTGTTTCTGGAATGCCAGTACAATATATATTACCTGGGAAGAAGGACGGCCGGGTATCTCGGGAACTATCCTCCCTTACCATAGATACCATCAGTATGATGAACACCGGTATCGAGCGAATAATAGTATAATTAAACTACAGCTTAATCGACCCCCTATCTTCTCTGCTATAAATTCCCGGGGGTTCACTTCTCGAAATCAGAAATATAGTTAAATCGGGATACAAGAATACCCTCGTGACCTAGGAATAGATTCTTATAATCGGCATTCTTAGCTAGATAGAGAGGCTCTACGGCAACGTAGAAATACCCTGCTTGAATGAAACGTATTAGTCGTGAGGTAGTCTAGACTAGGTTACGATCTTAAAAAGCAAAATCTCGAAAAGGGGTAGCTAGCTTCACGTGATCATGTACTGTATTGAAGCTGCGCACGTGGTCGCCTAACAGGGTGCCAGATCTCGACGTCTTCATCTCCAACATCTCCAACAATAACGGGAAGTGAGTCAGTTGAAAGTACAAGATATCGTATTTTAGGACTCCAAGATCCTTGAAACTATTCAACTTGTGACGTGTCCTACCAAACATTCAGAAACCGCTCTTCAAGCCCAATCACAGTCTCTCCTCGGTTGCCTATAGTCGCCTGGTTCCAGCTGCCTAGGTAGCTGTGGTACCTAGGTAGGTAGACAGCCGTCTCATTGTGAGACATCGAACTTGTATTTATCTCTTAGTAAGGGAACTTAACTTTTTCAGTTTTCGCTTCAACAGTCTAAAGTTTTGACTCTCACAAATTACCGGGTTATCCGGTACGCAACTCCCGCTTGATATCCATGTTTCCGGAAACATAACACTAAGACATATATTTAGGACACCACATCTGAAAGCTCTCTATGCCACCTGGCTCATCTCGTCTTTTCAAGAGCACTGGCGCATTGAGGAATATATTTCGTGCCAACAAAACCACTCCTCCGTCGAAGTTAGGGCGTCGAGAGGTCAATATGTCTTCAACCGTCTCAACCCGCTTCCTTGTCATTTCCGATACCCATGACTTCGAATTCGGCGACGCAGAAAGACACGAAGGAGAGTTTACCTATCCTGCACCGAAATGTGACGTCCTGCTTCACTGCGGCGATTTAACCATGTCCGGGGGTATTCCAGCATACGAGAGATGCGTCAAAATGCTCGGCAAAATCGACGCGGAACTGAAGCTGATTATTGCCGGTAACCACGACCTGGATTTAGACGATGAGTATGACCCAAAAGGAAACTCTAGCTGGGACGCACCGGACTTGTATAAAAAAGCGATCGAGGTCTGGAGAGGACCCCTGGTCAAGCAGGCGGGTATCACGTATCTTGAAGAGGGCTTGAATACGTTCACTTTGAAGAACGGCGCGAAGTTCACGATATACACGTCGCCGTACCAGCCGGAATTCTACAACTGGGCGTTCCCCTACGAGCGCAACGAAGATAGATTCAATCCCCCCGATAAAGTTAGTCCAGGAGTGACTTCCATCGTGCAGAACCCGGTTCCTGATTTCCCGGGCGTGGATATCATGATGACCCATGGACCACCAAAAGATACTCTAGATTGGACGGCACATGGGCGTGTTGGGTGTCAAGCTCTGGCTACGGCAGTGAGTCGGGCGAGACCGCTGATGTACTGCTTTGGCCACATTCATGAGGCGTATGGGATGGAGTTGGTGACGTGGAAGGAAGACAAGAATGTTATGGGCCCGGAAGCGATTCAAAAAAAAGATAAGAAAGAGGAAGTTTATCCGAATGTTATGAAGGTGGATGTGAAGCCTGGGTCGGAAACTTTGATGGTCAATGCTTCCATCATGAGTGTTCGTTATAGACCGAAGAATGCGCCTTGGCTGGTTGATCTTGAGCTTCCGAAAGCTACTGAGGTGGCTCTTGGATCAATGATGTAGTTAAGCAGGGTGTTACTTGATTTAAGGACCTAAAATGACATATCTCGACTAAGTGATTCCGAGCTGGTTGAGATGAGTGAAAAGGGACAACTCAAACCGCAAGTACCTAAATGTCCTAATTAATGCGGGTGTCTCGCACAAGTTTAGGGAAGTATCCACCTAAATCATTAAAATCGCTCGCCCAAAGTAGAAGACTGAAAAGGCTGATATATCCCAATTCATGCCCTAGCCAGGGATAGCTTCCGCGTAAAGGAGAGACTAAGTCTATTGCTTAACCTCCTTCAAATAATCAAAAGCCTGATCTCCAGAAATCCTTCCAAAAACCACACATTCCAGCAACGAAGAGCCACCAAGTCGATTCTCCCCGTGGATTCCGCCCGACACTTCTCCAGCCGCCCACAGCCCCTTAATCGGCCTATTATTAGCATCTAACACCTCACCCCGCGGGCTAATTACCACGCCTCCCATCGTGAAATGCACCGCAGGCGTGATCTTACCCACATATACCACTGACTCAGATGACACATCGGACAATTTCCATTGAGCGAAATAGTTTCGACCAAGCGGGTCGGGGACATGTCCCGCTGCCGCTTTGGCATACTCCTGGATTGTTGAGAGGGCTGTTGGCCCAAGTTCTTCAATGGTGGTTTTGTGCATCAGACCTTTCCAGACGTAGAAATCGATATGTGAAGTAGCTTTTTCGTATATACCTTCGTCGAGCACAAGTTGGATGTCCCATTGTCGCGGCGAGGAATCGGTTGCCGGAAAACGAGTTATGGCCTCAGTGACGTTCTTCCTTGTTTCCATCTCATTTATAAATCTCTTTCCATCATGGAGTAGCAGTCCCCCTTCGCCACGAAGCAGTTCTGCAGCTAAGAACTTGACGGGATTTCGTGCGTCTTTGGGGTCAACGAAACTGGTTGGATGGACCTGCACGAATTCCATGTCTCGGAGCTGCGCTCCAACATCTGTGAGAAGATTTTGAGAGCCAGGCCTGGGATCGTTGGTAGAAGGAAAGCCAGCGAGATCCGGGCGGTATTGAGCGAGCATTCCCTCTGCATCACCACCAAAACCCCCGCTTGCGAATATCACCGGTCCATGAAGGAGCTTTGTCTGACCCTCGCAGTCGTACTCGACTCCTGTGACCTCATCCCCAGATTTTAACACACTAGTGACGAGGCAGGATGTTTCGAGGTAAAATAAAGGATGTTCTTTGAGCGACTTTAGGAGCGTTGTCACAATCGAAGCTCCCGGAGGGGTTTTTCCTGCGCCTCGATGTGTTCGGGGAAAACTGTGGCCTCCTAGTTGGACAACAACACTGAGGTCTATCCACTTCTCATCAACCAGCCAGGAAATAGCATCACTTGATGAATTCGTCAGCGTTGAGATTAAATCTTCCCTCTCTTTCCTGGCGGTTGATATCACGCCCCCGACCGATTTTATTGTGTCTTCATAGAATCGTGTATCAAATAGCGGGGTGCCAGGTTGGTATTTGGTTGGCGCGCCATTGATTCCCGAGGAGGCTTTGATGGAATTGCCTCCTGGTTTGACGGATCTCTCCAAGAGATGGACAGCAACGCCGTGGGAGATGAGCTGTGATGCAGCTGAGAGCCCAGCAAGACCAGAGCCAACAACTATAGCCTGCCTATGTGCCGTAGATTGAGTTGCAAGTTTCGACATGGTAGCCAAAAAAGGCTTGATGACCATTGAAGTGAGCGCAACGAGACAGGAGATACCGAGGATTTTGAGAAATCTGGTCCAATGCATGAGATATGGAAGCGCACGCCTCCTATTCCTTCTACGAATTCAACGCAATTGGATTACTGTTATCGTGGTATGTATTTATAGGCATTCATTGCTTATAGAGAATCATTAGAAAACAGGCCATATATCAGGCGACCCACAAGCGGGGAGCCCGGAGTTCCATGGTTGCATCCCATTACATCGTCTGCATTCGAGGGTGTTAAGGGCATGCCACCAACTGATTTCGCATTATAATAGCTGAGTCAAGCTGTGCTGAGCAAACACGAATGCCTCATTACTCGAGTACCAGAGAGAGTAGGGCAGCGACGCCTATGGAGAAAGTTGTGTGTAGTAGAGAAAGTGAATTATCTGGGGAATGTCCTCCACCACGAAGCCTTCAAGGCGGTAAGAAGCGGCAGTTCTGTCTCAACTCGTCTTGTACCTAGGTACCTCCTCTCGTACACCAACCAGGTTCCTGGACCTGCGCCGCAGAGCATCACATAACCCCTCGTGGGCTTCCCCGGATTACCCCAGCCTTTGTCCTGGCATGCTCCGTGTTTCGTATGAATAACCACATTTTATCTACATAGCATGTCCGCATAGCATTCTGCGTTGAAGTTCAACATGCATTTTCTTTCTGCAGCTGTGCTTGCTCTCTTATCTCCATCTCTTATCAACGCCTTACACAAGACGAAGCACACGGGCCCCGACTATGAGTCCCTACCAAACCAAACCATCTTCCCTGGGCCGTGGGAGAGCAACATTAAAGCTCCTGTAAACAAATCCTATATTGTTCCCACCAAAATATACAATTTTGAGGGCGCAGCCTCCGGCGCTGAGTTTATGCTGGAGGATGCGGATACAACTGGAGGGATTTCGTGGGTAATTGGCCCTGGAGGTCTTATTACCTACGAGTTTGCGGAGAACATCGCCGGCCGGTATGTTATGGACCTCTCCTTTGGTGGAAGGGTTAAGCTAATCGTACGCAGAGTATGCTTCGAAGTCGAGGGTCTGAAAAATGACCCATATATTGTCCTTTCCTATTCCGAATCACCTTTCTTTGCGGACCGGGAGCCAGACGCGACCAACGATAAACAGGCCCGGGACCTGCCTCTGAAGTTCGCAGTTACACATACTGGTACAAATTGTGTGGGAAAGGGCTACATTAGAGGAGGCTTCAAATACCTTACCGTGTTTATTCCTGAAACGGATGTGCCGACAGAAGGTGGATTCTGGCACGATGGTCATACTCCACCACAAAGAGAATTGAAGAGGAAATTGACTTGGTATGAAACAATTGGCCAGAAATTATTGGGTTGGCAACATCCATCCAAGAATGACACTGCAGGCGAGCCAGCTGTTGTTATATCGAAAATTTGGGTTAATTGCACTTCCTTCCCGTCAATGCCAAATGGCAAAGCATATACAGGATACTTCGATAGCTCATCCTCAATTCTCAATCGCGTCTGGTACGCAGGGGCATGGACTCTACAGCTCTCGACCCTTGATCCGAAGGAGGGAGGATCCCTCATCGATTTCAACCGTAACTTTGATCACAATAAAGCACCACAGGGAGCTTGGTACTCCAATTATACAATTGCCAACGGTACTGCAGTTACCACGGATGGCGCCAAGCGAGATCGTATGGTCTGGCCTGGAGATATGACGATTGCTGTGCCTGGAATTGCAGTTTCCACATACGACATGCTCGCTGTTCGTAACGCCCTAGAAACCATATATGAACACCAATTTGGTGATGGTTCTCTGCCTTATGCGGGTCCTCCTATGGGTGCTTTTGGGGAGTTCAGTGATACCTATCACCTCCACACCTTGGTGGGGACGTATGTATACGTCCTCTATACCGGAGACCTGGAGTGGTTGAAAACAAGATGGGACAGGTATACTCTTGCTCTGTCGATCAGCATTGCCAAGGTCGATGAGTTCAATCTCTTGCATGTTTCTTCCACGCAGGACTGGATCCGCCCTGGCCTGACGGGCCATAATATAGAAGCTTCAGCGATACTTTACGACGTTCTAGGGAATAGTCTTAAGTTAGCCGACTGGATCGGTGACAGATCCACGGCGAGGCTAAAAGAATGGGAATACACCCGCGCGAGGCTTCGCAAAGGGATAGCAACCCTCTTTTGCCCAGATGAAAGTCTCTACGGAGACAACAAGGGCAGACGTGGCTGTAATGGTCCAGAGAAAGTTCTCCCCCAGGATGGCAACAGTTGGGTGCTCATGTCCGGGGCTGGTGACCCATCCCAGGTTCTAAATATATCAGAAAGTCTCCGGAAACGTTGGATCAAGTACGGAGCACCTGCTGCCGAATTCCCGAATGTGATATCCCCATTCGCATCCTCTTTCGAGCTTCTTGGGCATTCTGCAGCCGGAAACCACGACGCGGCTGTTGAGCTCATCGAGTTGATGTGGGGGTATATGCTCGACGGGCCAGGAATGACTAATTCTACCTTATTGGAAGGGTATCGCGTCGATGGATACGTGCACTATCCTGCCTACTGGGCTCCAGCCAGAAATTCCCATGCACACGGTTGGGCGGCTGGACCTACCACCGTTCTCATGCAAGGCATTTTGGGCATCCAGCTAATCACACCCCTCGGGGAAACGTGGAAGATCGAACCGCATCTCACGAAATGGTTGAGCTATGCTCGAGGCGGCTTTGCTACCAAGCTGGGCAAGTTCGAAGTCTCGATCTCACGTATGAGAAGCCTATCCACAGGGCGTAAAGTCGAAGGTTTAAATGTTACTATTCCGGAGGGAACCTCTGGAACACTAAACTGGGGCGGAAGAGAACAGTTCCGGGGTTCGGATATGAGTTCTGCGTTTTCATTCTTCCGATATACAGAGCCTTTGGATGCCTCGCGTCCAGAAGATATGACTCAAGTATTCAGTATTGGTGATTGGAGCGATTTTGTTCCCGATGATGAGTGGGTTAGACCTGAGATTGAGGAGAGACCTGAGGGTGTGGTCGATTGGGAGGCATTGGCGGAGAACTATAAGTTTGCGGAGCAAAGGTATAGGATATGGCCTCAGAGTCACAGTCCGCATATGGGAATCGTGGAGGAGGGCGAAAGACCGCCAACTGAGTTTGCTAAAGAGCATTACAGGAAGCATAAGCAGGAGTTGAGGAAGAGAGAGAATATGTAGAGTGGCGTTGGATATTTAGCCTAGTGTGAACTTAAGATGGATGTATTGCTATATAGAGACACTATCTAGCGTTTTTTATATATCGCTTCGCGTTCTATGGCGGATACGGTTCCTCTGGAGCCGACAGGGATAAATCCGTATCTCTCCAAAGTGGATTTGATGGTGCGGGTAGCTGCTCTAATAATTATATTTCGTGCATATATGTAGCAAGGCTTTCTATAAGAGGTAAAGCGATGTTTCCTGTAATCGCGAGCTTCCCTCTACGCTATGGAGGAGGCGGCATCTCTGAGGCGGCGTCGTTTGTGGGTCTTCCTACAACTGGCATAGAGATGGTTGTAAACGGATCCACCCCTTTTAGCCTGCTTAGAGTATTTGTTGGAAACCATAAGTTGGTCTCCCATATGACTTGGTTGTCGAGGGTGGGGGATCTTGAAGTCTCTAGCCCCTTACTTCGTATTTGTCTCTTGGGGTTTGGGTAAGTCTTCGCTAGCTCTCACTCACGTTTCCACGCCTCAAACTCCCCCTTTAAATGTTCTTTCAGCCTCGCAAATTTATTCTCAAAGCTCTTCCCACACCTCCAACACTTCAAGCCCCAATTCATGTACCCCTCCCGGCCCGGATGCCTCCTGGGATCGTTCTCATCAAGTGGGAAGTCCTCCAATGGAACAAAAAAAGGCGTCGCGAAACTATTATAATGTTTCCGATGCTTCATGTAATCTGAATACCGATCCACACTTAAAACATGAATATGTAGGTGGTTCATGCTGGGACATGCATGGATCCCTATTCGAACCTCTTTCTCCCAATCGCGGCCTGCGGGAAGTTCTTCACCTTCAGGCAGATCGACTTCCCCCGACAAGATAGCCTCACGTTTGGAATCTTGCGCTGAATAGGGCCCATAGATACGTCGGAGTTCTTTTGCTACGATGTCCTTGAGTTTATCTGCTTCCGCGCGGACTTGGGCGAGGAATTCGAGGTGTGAGAGGGCATCGAAGGGGTGTTGAAGGTTATACTCTGCAGAGCGCGGGAGAAGGAGTGTGTGCACGCTCGATTTGGGGTACAGGTCGTGGATTGCGACGAAGGATGGGTTATGGAATATTACACGGTTGGCGGTTTCAGGGTGCGCGATGTAAGTTCCTAGGTTGTTGCGAGGGTTGAAGAAGGGGCCGCCTCTCTTCTTGCTACTGGAGGATGAAGTAGGAGGCACCGATGGTCGTTTGGACTTTGGAGCCATAAGAGTGGTGACTAGAGAAGTACAATTGTTAGTTTGGTGGGAATTGGGGGAATAGCAAAGTGGTATATTGGCGTAGTGGGGGCTTTACATGCGTTGCGGGTGGACGACGGTGATGGGGATGGTGCCGTCCCTGCGATCTCTTCTCTAGTGATGGCATCTTGAGATGTGTCGGTTTCAGCAGCCATGGTGAATGTAATAGAGAGTCCAGTTCTCGTTTGCTTCAGTATGAGTTCTTTGGATGGGTGAGTCCTGGGAGGTTAGATGGCGTGCTGTGTGGATGGCCAGTTTTGCAGTTGTCAATTAACTCAAATCTTTAACCCAACGAAAAGCAGTACGAAAAAGAGGCAAAAGAGAAACAGAAATAAATCGAAAAAAAAGCATTTACCAAACGTACTCTGTCTTTACAGTGAAGTGGCTTTGATGTATGTTGTTCGCCCGGCAGCCGGATGTCAAGTGTAAGCTCAGGTAAGCGGAGTGATATTTCTCCGTTCCGGGTCTCGACCATTTCTAGACTTCCCCTTCAACTTCAAAATAGCAACCCCCATCCCAACGTTATATCTCAATGAGAGTCTTTATTAGAACCAGTAGCACAACTGTGCTATAAAATTCAGAGTGAGATCTTCATTACTATTATTTTCCGTTTGGATGCTAAACATCTAAGCTCAATGCTCGCTTTCACCGGGGATAAAGTTCCAGACTTGCGTCTTATCGCAGGATGACGCAGTCCCACTTCGATCGCACAAAAAGCTTTATTTACTCTAAGCGAAACATCAGCCTCGTGCAGACAGTTTTGCAAGGGCCTTCCCTACATGTCTCCAACAGCCGTTAGTTGCATACCTCCCGGCTCTACGTCGATTCATGATATTCTCTTCTTATATGGATAGCCATCAGGGATCTTGGATTGCGACCAAAGATGGTCAAAAAGGGACAGTCGAAAGGAGGGAAGCCCGGCGGTGGCGGAGGCTCCAAAAAGCCAACCCCAGCTACCAAGGAAGCAGATGACAGCTTCATCGTCTTTTCGAATTCCGACAAAGAACCCAAGCCAAGGAGGCCCGCGAATGAAGCTGCTGGTTCTTCAGGGCTGACCGGACCTGCCTTAGCCGGAGAAGCCCCAAAGCGACCGGATGTCAAGAAGCTGATCGGAGGCGCATCGTGGACTGGGAAACTGCCTGTCAATATGTTATCTGAACATTGTCAGAAACAAAGATGGGAGAAACCGGAGTACACAATGGTAATAACTTTGATCTCATTTTTGGCATCACTAATCAGTTGTCTACTACCAGTCTAAACCGCCAGAGGGATTTTCCTCGATGGTTATTCTCAAGGCTAAAAACCCGAAAACCCAGGAAATGATTCAACTCCCGCCGTTCAAGCTACCCCCGAGCCATAAACATCTTGCTACGAAACCTACTGCTCTCGAGGCACGGCATTTTGCTGCTACATATGCCCTTTTCAGAGTATGTAGCATGCGAAATATACATATGATGTTGCCTCCAGATTATAGAGATCTGTGGAAGGGGGAATTTGAGGTATTGAAGAAAGAAGATGTCAAAGACGGGCGTGGATGGATGTATGAGGCAGACCCGTTTGGTGCCCTGCGAGAGAGGGAGGAAGCCAAGGCCATCATGGAGAAAAAACGTAACGAGCGGGAAAAAGCTAAAGAGAAGGCTCTTAATACTCCAGGCGGCCCTGGCGGAGTTGGCTTGGCCCTTCGCAATGGCACATCAGGCGGGACAAGTGCAGGAGCCCACAGCATCAATCGAGGGTGGGCTCGAGTCCCAAAAATTGAGATGGGCAAACGAACTCGGACGAGCCTCGAAGCCTTGATACGGAAACACGCAATCTGGAACCCTCATGATGTAAAATTGTCGGGCTTCCAGAAGCATTCAATCATCAATGAATTTAAGAATCTCGAGTTTCGACAAAGTCACGTTGAGGAAGCTGTGGAAGAATGCAAAGATCGCGAGGAGTCCCTGGAATGGCTTCTCATCCACGTTCCCGAGGATGATCTACCACGATGGGCGTTGCCCGAAGGCTACACCGCTGGTATTAGCATGGCTAGTAGCGACCTTAAGAAAGAGGGCGCCATTAAACGCCTAGCCGAGGCTGGATATTCTATAGACTTATGTAGGGAAATTTTCGATTCTACCAGCGATGAAAACCGCGCTGCCGAAGCGCTTCAAGATATTCTCTTGGCAAGTGGAAAAGATTCAGATATTGCTCAAGCTGAGCAGGAGTCGTGGGCTTCTGAAGATGCAAAGGAAAGCTCCGAAAGCATATGGGAGGAGGAGTTAACAAGCCTCCATTCCGTTTTCGGCGAGCAATATAGTCGTCCATCCAAAGACGTCTGTAGGATTGTAATCAAGCCATCAAATCGAGGATGTAACAAGGAAGTACAGCCAATTTTACAATTCAGGCGATCACAGGAGTATCCCCAAAAAGTTGCTATCATATCTGTTCACGCAGCGCTACCTGCTTATATACGTCTGAGCATCATGAAGCAAGCTTTAAACCATGCCATAGACAACTTGCTTGGGGAACAAATGATATTTTTCCTTGTGGATTGGGTGGAGCAAAATCTATACAGCATCGTTGAGAGACCAGGGAAACTGCGAGAAATTTCAGCAGCGGCTTCCACGATGAGCGAGATGAAACCAATTCCACACAAGAGGCACAGGCCCCCTAGACATCCAAGGTCCATCGCTTGGACGCTTAATCCCAAGAGTAAAGACGACTGGACGAGGCGTCAAAGTGATCCCAAGTTGCAATCCAGGTTGCAGCAACGGAGGGGTTTGCCTGCGTGGGAAATGAGAGAGGTCATTATTGATACTGTTGATTCTAACCAAGTCACTATTATATCTGGGGAAACAGGTTCGGGCAAATCTACTCAGTCGGCCCAATTCATCCTTGATGACTTATACCAAAGGGCATTGGGCGACAATGTGAAAATCATGTAAGCGCGATTTCTATTCCTAGTACATATTCTCTAACGTTTCTGCTCTAGTTGCACCCAGCCTAGAAGGATCTCAGCCCTCGGCTTAGCGGATCGTGTTAGTGAAGAGCGCTGTTCTCCAGTTGGTAGCGAGGTTGGCTACATAATCCGCGGAGAGTCAAAAACCACACCGAACACGAAAATTACATTTGTCACAACTGGTGTGCTCCTTAGAAGGCTTCAAACATCTGGGGGGAGCAGTGACGATGTCGTTGCTAGTTTGGCTGATATCAGCCATGTGATCATTGATGAAGTCCATGAGCGAAGTCTAGACACTGATTTCCTGCTTGTCTTGCTGAGAGACGTATTGAGGAAGAGAAAAGATTTGAAGCTCATCCTTATGAGTGCTACGTTAGATGCGGGTGTTTTCGAAGAATATTTCCGGAGTAATGGTAAAGTTGGGAGAGTTGAGATCAGTGGGAGAACGTTTCCGGTCGAGGATTACTATCTGGATGATGTGATTCAAATGACCAACTTCAACGCTGGTCGGGTTGGCAGAAGAGATGACGATGATGCCGAAACATCGGGTATGGACCCAGACGTTGCCGCTGCAATCCAAAGTATCGGTATGAGGATCAACTACGATCTAATAACGCAAACGGTGAAAGAGATTGATGCGGAATTAAGTCATCTCAAACAGCTCGGCGGGATCTTGATCTTCATGCCAGGAGTAGTCGAAATCAATCGAGCACTCGACCATCTCCGCTCAATACCAAATCTTCATGCTCTGCCCTTGCATGCTTCCTTGCAGTCCTCGGAACAAAGGAGAGTATTCCCTCATGCTCCGACAGGAAAGCGCAAAGTCATTATTGCTACCAATGTAGCCGAGACTTCAATTACAATTGATGATATCGTTGCGGTTATCGATACCGGGCGGGTGAAAGAAACGAGCTATGATCCGCAAAACAATATGCGCAAACTCGAAGAGGTATGGGCATCTCGCGCAGCCTGCAAGCAGAGACGTGGCCGAGCGGGCAGAGTGCAAGCAGGGAAGTGCTACAAACTATATACCCGGAACGCTGAGCTCACCAAGATGATGGAGAGGCCAGAGCCGGAAATAAGACGAGTGCCATTGGAGCAGCTCTGCCTCTCGGTTCGAGCTATGGGGATCAAAGAGGTAGGCATGTTCTTGGCAAGTGCTCTGACGCCCCCTGAAAGCGTTGCTGTTGAAGGAGCGATGGAATTATTAGGGAGAATGGGCGCTCTGGATGGTGATGATCTCACTGCTCTTGGTCGCCATCTGTCCATGATCCCAGCAGATCTCCGCTGCGGTAAGCTCATGGTTTATGGAGCAATATTTGGCTGTCTTGAAGCCTGTGTCGTTATTGCAGCTATTCTCACCGTCAAATCGCCGTTTGTCTCACCACAAGATAAGAGGGAAGAAGCGAAAGCCGCCAGAGCAAAGTTTGCGAAAAATCAGGGTGACTTGATTGGTGATCTCAAGGCCTTTGAGCAGTGGGATGAGATGATGTCCAGTAGAAGGTAGCTTGACAGGCAGTCTATATCAAGGTTTTACTAACAGCCGTTCAGTTTCCGACAAGGAGAAGTACGGAATTGGTGTTCCGAGAACTACCTCTCTTACCAGACTTTAAGCGACATATCCTCAAACCGCACTCAGTACCTAACATCACTTCGAGAGCTCTCTTTCATTCCCCCATCCTCATTCATTCCACCGTCCCTCAATAGGAATAATGATAATACAATTCTTCTTCGCTCGGTCTGCGCCGGCGCTTTCAATCCACAGATCGCACGCATAGATTTTCCGGACAAAAAATTTGCGCAATCCTCTTCTGGGGCGGTCGAGTTAGATCCAGAGGCAAGAACGATTAAATACTTTAACCAAGAGAACGGAAGAGTATTTGTTCATCCAAGCTCCACTGTATTTGATGCACAGACATTTCCAGGAAACAGTGTCTACATGAGCTATTTCAATAAGATGGCTACCAGCAAGGTGTTCATACGGGATCTTACGCGTATGTTTTTCATTTCTAGTCTATTAAACTCTATTGTTTGGAACACGTTCAAATCACTAACCGCTCAAAAGCATTCAACGCCTATACCGCTCTCCTATTCTCTGGTCCCATTTCACTGGATACCCTCGGCCGTGGCCTTATTGTCGACGGCTGGCTGCGGTTGCGAGGCTGGGCTCGAATTGGTGTCTTAGCAAGCCGAATTAGAGGCATGCTTGACGATGTTCTTGCACGGAAAATTGACGAGCCTGGGTTAGATCTATCGGGGAATGAAGTTGTGGATGCCGTAATGCGGCTCGTGGAATTAGATGGACTGGATCAATGAATTTTCCGTTGTGTAGGGCTTTGGATTAGTCGAAATACGACGGCATACTGTAGGCGTTGGGTAACGGGGATATGAAAGTGCGAGAGAGATCTTATAGACCAAACAACCCGTCTACTTCAATTAGTCTTCCACTACAATGAGTTCAATTTTTGGGGGGTGGAAGGATTCAACACTCAGCTTCTCCCTCGAAAAGGGGAGAACGGTGGACGTTCACGTGATAATCGACTTGGACTATTACATAAGGAATTACCTGTGAGCGCACCACAGCGAGCACGGCCAAAAGGCGCAATGCAACTCTCTCGTCCCTCCTCTCCATTTTGACTCCTCAACCACGCACTGCCCATCCATCGCGATGAAGCCGACCCGGCATTTCGTTGCGCTGCGTGGTTCCGTGCAGATATGCAATGCACGTAAACGATTCTCGATGCGGAGGTGTCATGCAGGCTGAAGGAGTTCGTCCTCACTATTTTTCTTTGATGGCCAGGTAATTCGCGCATCACCATGATCTTACCTCTGACACATTCCTTGGTATGTCTCTCTTGACTTTTATCACTCCTTACTCTTTATCATCCTCGCATAGTGTCTTTTCTTGCATAACTACATTGCTAACTAGCTTGACTCAGTTAGTAATGCGATTCAACTGCGGTGTGCAAGGACGTGTATTGTCAAGTGTATCAGGTTACAAAGAGATGTGATATTTGGGAACGCAAACAACTGCGTTTTTCGTCGTTCTTCGTCGCGATGGCCAATGTTTCTTTTGGATCGACAAGTCTATACAGACACAACAAAATATCGAACGAGCCATCGCAATTACTGGTCTCAACTTCACGAACCGGGTGTTCTAGGTGATGCCTGTGTACGTGCGATGAGAAACGACGAACTCGAGTCGCACATCAGCCGATGCCGTCCGCTACAAGCTTCCATCAAAGGAAGTGGTAGCAGACAACTGGGATATTATGGCTGTGGAAACGCCAATTTCCACCGTGTGCCTTGGGCCCGGGCCTTCTGACGGAATCGAGCGAACGCACAGGAAGAAATTTTCATCCTAAGATGAGTTATACATATCAGGAACCTTGTAGTGAGATATCCCACTGTTTAAATATCTCTACCCTAAAGGTTATACATTATTTATGAGCTATGCATGTTATTTGGCCGGGCTGGAGCAGGAAAACCTCCAAAAGAGACCCGGCGGAGCTTGGACGAAGCTCCTTCTTGAGTTGCCCGATGTGTGGGCTGTGTGGGAGTGTTCGGGAAAAGCTCCATGTACCATTGCTGCTAGGATTATAAAATAAATTGGGTGGAATAATAATTACGGGAGAATTTACAAGGTTCTCTGCATACAATATGGATGGCAACATGTTGTTCTGATCAACATAACAATTAGAGACAGTACAGTTAGTATTGACTATGGAGAGTGGTTATTGAAAATAAAGGAATCCTTACGGTTGAATATCACTACTACGAAGTCACTCAAAATAAGGCCCTCCGTCAACCTAGATTAGTCCCACCTATAAGGCGACTGAAGGGGACATAACAGTTTGGCTTATATCAAAGGTATGTCTCGTATTTGCTAGGCTCGTCCCTAGCTAACAGCCGTATATAGGTTCGATTTTCTATTACAACTCTAGGCCTTAACCAGACTTCATTTCATCTATTAAAGGACGAGAGTAAGGACAAGACACGTCGGGCATGGCATTGTTCATTTAAGTTTTCTGGGATCAAGCGATGTGAATATAGTCATCCGGATATACTACGTATATCCACAGCATATAACGATGTGAAGACCGACCAAAATTGATGACCTCCGAAAAGGGTGTATAGCCCGAGCTGCAACTATACCAATATGCTCTCTTCTAAGGTAGAAGCCGCTTGACTACAGTCTTCGGCTTATACGGGACGTTAAAAGGAAACCCAAACAAACAGACAAACAAACAAACAATCCAGCGACAGAGGCATTTTATAATTCTTTTATGCTTAATTGGAAGGAAAAGGTTGGCCCTTTGTATATTAAGGGAAATGAGATCTGTCTGGTATCCAAGTCCAGGAGGAGACTTTAAGGCCATTACACCAAAAATCGAAGCCTTTGCAGCATCCGTTAGCCGGAACCAGAAGAAGCGATAGGACAATGCTAGAGACAAGCCAAAAGAAAAAACCCGGGAGGCAGACTAGAGTGATAGGCGCAAACCAGGGAGAAAACCAAGGGCAGCCAAAGATCCTATAGAGCTAGACGATTTAGAAGTAATAGGCTATAAAGACGAAGTCGAGATGCAAAGGGAGGACGCAGATGCCGAAGATATGGAAGCGCCACTGCAAGAGAGAAAGGCCAGAAAGATACCGACCAAACTGTGTTACTACCTGAAGGACCAAGGATACTCTGTAGAGTACATTGCTATAAGGATTCTCAAGATGCGAGTGTCATAGGCTTTGGCGAGCTCCTGAGCGAGTCAAAGCCAACGCAGGAGATCTTTGCAGAGGGATTTGGGGCGAAACCTCCAATGCAACTAAAAGTCGGTGAGGCCACTATTCAAGACTTCCTGAATGGCAAGCATTTGTCGGCCACACCAAGAGTCCCAATTTGGTCAATCCGGCCGTCCAGCTGCCAGATATTGTAGCCCACCTTTAAGTATTAATATCATTTGTCGATGTGGGTTTTCGCATGTTATACCAGCTTATACTCTCCTTTTGTCACCCGTTCTAGCTCATCTCTCTTCATTATCGCCATTACTCCCTTTTTCAGGTCGTCTCCTACTGCTGGCGCAAGTAGTTTCTCATTACACGCAGGGATCGTTTGCGAAGCAACTCATTTACTGCCTCTATGCGCCCCAATGCATCACCCACTTCCTTAACAAATAGATTGCACCCGGGTCTATAAGTATTAGGCTTCGGTAACGAATGTTAGAGTATATGAGCAGCGACAGGAGAGCTAAGTGAACAATAGACCAAATAGGCGTCTTTTCACCCCACATTGAGCCACGGCATTCCTATTCTCGAAGTCATAGGGTGAAAGAACCCCCAGGAATCGATTGTAGGTTGATTCGCGGTGGGACGCTTGTTTCGGGAGTTATTTTCGGAGTCGTTAGGACCGTGAACCTGTTTGGATCGTGCACGTGTTAGGGATATTGACTAATATCCTTTGTAATCAACAACGATTAAATATTGAACCTACATTTATCCGTAAACACAGGTCTCAACCATCACATGCGTGCCTCCTAAGACCTTCTATCGAACCGACTAGGATGAAAATACACAGAGGGAATCTCTAGACTTATCGTCTCCCGCAACGAGAACCTAGATACAAGCCCTGGGTAGCACTAGGCAGTATTCTGGAATTTGCTCACAAGCTGAAGCTCATTCGCCGGGCGTTGGAGGAATCACATCACGGACAGGTCGTGGATCCACAATAGTAATCAGTGTGGACAGATATTATATTGTATAGACCGGAAGGATCCTCTCAGACGAATCGAGCGCTTTGCTGGATACTACAGTCCGGTTCATGGAACCATCTTATACAGAAGTATATGCTAATTGGAGAGGATTTCTGCTTCCGAATACAAATTCGTTCTTAGCCTAGACCGTTGGCTACTTCCTTATCTCACAACCTACCGCTTTCTGCCCTTCGTTTCTTCCAATTGCAAAAGGTGGGTCTGCTGAATAGGCTCCTCCAACAAAGTCGCAAGCACGGCTTAGGAACACCAGTGCAATCGCACATCGTCCAGTCTTTCGGGTGCCACCTCCCTCTCTCTTCGTCGAATTACAACGTTGGTAAAATCCATTACGACAAGAGGTTCAAGCGTTTCTTTGATTACACCAACAATGTCTATAGAAACCCTCTCCGAGTCATGGTTCGATAGTAGGGCATTGACCTCGGATGACGAGCCAGCTACACCTGCGGATGTAACAGCCCTGAAACGGCTCTTGAAAGGTGTTGTTTCTCCATCAGTTGCCGCGAACGAAATCATGACCATGAGCGAAGATGAAGCGCCACTCGATTCGAAGCTCGATCGCATTGCATGGCTGATGTTCGATGTCGCCATGGAGTATCCCGCTGGGCAACCTATCATCTTGGATCTTGAAGACGCAATTAATGCTTTGCCTAACTTTAATATGAGCGACGAGCAGAAAGCAAGCTTTCCTAAAATGGCGGAGTGGAAGCGTCTAGACGCTTTGGGGGACGCGATTGGTGATATGTATAGGTGTATGACTCCTAATTCCGCTTATCAGTATTTTAAAGTAGGGACTTCTCTAACCGCCTGGTATTTTTTTTTTAGCATACTGGGCCAATCGCAATTCTCCAGATGGGGATATGAGTCTGGCGGAAAGGCGCCGATTGTGGGCCGCCATCAATGCGTTCTTAGCCCGGCGTTGTATCCGTCATGGCACCTACCACGATTTGCACCGTGGTTTAGTGGCGATACGTACAGCATTAGAGGAAGAGCCATGGAACGGCCAGGAGTCGCAGCCCTCGGCATCTCAAAGCAGCATTTATAGCTTAGACGTAAGTCTCCACTCGATTCGACTAGTCCTAGGAACTTAGGGAAATGCCAATACTAACCTCGTTTTGCTCCACCGTAGGCTGAAGTCCCTGCTGCTGCTGAGTGGATCCTCATTGCAGGTCGACTCATCTACAATTACATTGACGAGGAAAGATTCTCGGCGTTGGCAAGCACTACCGATTTATGGAAGGGTAAACCCAGGTTCAGCAAGGAGAGATGGGCATTTTGGAAATCGCGATTGCGATGGATTGAGATTCAAGCAAAGCTGGCCGATAATACTAGATCGGTTGCAAAGAAGGCAGCAGATGAGATGGACGAGATCGAAAGGCTCCCTCAGGAGCTACTCTGGTCGGGGAAAGTTGACAAAGCCCATCCGCTTGATTCTTGTGCCTGCGGCGCATGTAATAAGCAGAGACTGCAGAGCGGAGAGGAACCAAAGCGGAAATAGCCTGGTAGCTTCTTTCAAATTTTCGGCACTGAGACCTACTAGTATTATTTGAGACATTTATTCATAGATGGATTGCTCGTTCTCATGGAGTAATTGAAAGCAGATCCAAATCTTTCCCCTGAACCCCCACCGATGGTTTTTCCTCGCGTTTATTACTGCAAATAACACAAATGCTTGACCGGTTGAGTGTGACCTTGGATGTCGCCTACCACATAGCAACTTGAAAGTCATAGCTGCAAGTGTTGGGAATAGTCTGCCGGTGCATCAAGTACAATACACTAGCACACTCACGAAATATAGTATAAGAGGGCACCGCTGACCGTATACTACAAATGTGGGAAGGTAGGTAGCCAGTGCTACGGTAGTTGCACTACTCTTATTATTGTTAGTTGCAGCAAGCATAATGAGCTATTCAGCTTTGTTTGTCATGGCAGCAAGAGAAGTTTCATGTCCGCTTGAATAGATAGATTATTAATGATAAACATTACGCATATCTGAACTCAAGATAGGATAATGATCAGGCAGGCTTCGTATCGCGAAATTTCCGCCACATAATTCGTACCTTCCTTTTGAGCGTTGCAATCATTCTGATCATCCAACCGATGTTGAAGTGCCGTCATACACAGTCCACAAAAAATCCTCGAGTCCCTGAGTTCGTGTGCGTCATTAAACCACAATATTGGGAGGACCCTGTGATTGGGTCAAAGCTCAATATGACTCTATCTGCTTGAGCAGCTTTTCCGTTTCCTTTACCAGCTTGGAATAATCCAAGAGTAAGAATAGGAAACTCCCAAACCGGTGAACCACACGAAGGAGTAGTAGCTATAACATTCGGTGGAGGATCCCCGTTGCGGAATACATGAGGATAACTTTGCTTGCCTACATTTCAAGAATATTAGCTAGATAAATCAACCGGGGGGTTACAAAAGCAATGCGGGAGTCGCACCCGCTGTATTCAAGGATACTGGCGGTGTAAACGCCGAATTTATGCCGCTTGATAAATACTTGACCGCTTGTTCCAAGGAGTCTAGAATTTGTTGTTTTTGGTATATTTGACCTATGTACCATTTAGTTTAGTTCTGGAATGCACTATTACGAGGGGCATGATTACCGCCACAGTTGAGCTGAGCATTTATCTCACCGGGATTGGTCGGTGGAGATACAGGGCCGGTATATTGGGGTGGGCCACCTGCGATGCAAGCTTGCGGTGGTTGGCGCCGCTGTAATTCAGTCCGTCGTCCATAACGCATCCAGCGTTTTGATAGGTCAGATGGCGTCACATCTGAGCAAGGTTCTACCACTGTTTCTGGACTTGTGGCCTCATTGACAATCTCCGTAGCAGCTGCATGAGATTAGCTTGAACCTGGTCGAACGATGTGGCTGGTCTGGGGTTTGCCTACCAGAAGCTGCAGCCAGAGCACTAGTGACAGCTACAGCAGCCTCGGCGGTTGCTGCAATGGCAAGCGAGGCTTCAGTGAGCGGAGCAATGACTGCAACGATGAGGGCAATAAGACTTGGATCATTGGATTCTTCTTTTGCGGCATTGGCGGCTGCTCAGTCATTGCATTAGCTCCGTGAATCATGCCACTCGATGCGTTGAAACTAGGAACAGGGGATTACAAACAGTCAATTGCACTTTGTATTGCGGTATGTGCAGCCTGGGCCAGGGCAGTATTCGTAGGGTCTTGGGCGTAGTCTGCGACAGCAGTAGAGGCATTAATAACGTTAGATGATGCTGAAGATATTGCTTGCGTGGGAATAGTGCCAGTAATTGACGGAAGAATGATAGCTGTAGTTGTTGTTGAGCTACTTGAAGCGTTGTCTATCGGACTCGATTTTGCAGCAGTATTCGTCGGATTTGAAACTTGGGTCTTAGTTGGATTCGAGGTTTGGGTGTTCGTCGGATTTAAGGTTTCTACAGTTTTCGACAGATTTGACGTTGCAGATTTCAATGGATTTGAGGTTGCAGTATTAGAAGGAATTGAGGTTGCAGTTTTCAGTAGATCTGAGGTTGTAGTTTTCGGCAGATCTGAGGTTGCAGATCTCGACGGGTTTGAAGTAGCAGTATTCGAAGTATTTGAGGTTGTAGTATCCGATGGATTTGAGGTTGTAGTACTCGAAGGAATTAAGGTTGTAGGTTTCGGCAGATTTGAAGTTGAAGATTTCGACGGATTTGAGGTTGTAGTACTCGAAGAAATTGAGGTTGTAGTACTCGAAGGAATTAAGGTTGTAGGTTTCGGCAGATTTGAAGTTGTAGATTTCGACGGATTTGAGGTTGTAGTACTCGAAGAAATTGAGGTTCTAGTATTCGTCGGAACTGGGAATATAATTAGAGGTCGTGTCGTCGTCGGTGACGCCGAGCTGGGTGAAGGCGAAGGTGCTATGGCTAGTACGGGTTGAATTTTGAGGACCACATAACAATAGGATTCATACAGACTGCCCACAAGCTCGGGGTTGTCATCCAAATAGCGAAGGCCACATGAGACGCACCCACTCGCAACCTTCTGGAACCTAGATATTCATACAATCGTTAGTGGCTCCATCGACCGTTTGGGTGAGAAATACATACGCTGCTAATAGCACTTGTCCGCTTACTCCAGAGCCATAATTGGAGTCATGGATGCATTCGTATGAGGCAATGCACGAGTTGACCGTCTCATTGCTGATCTTCACCGTGTGACCGGAATAGATGGTGTTCGCGCTGAACTGGTTATACGCTTCTGCACATAGTGCTTTCTGCGGGGTCGCACACTGTGGTATCTGGCTCATAGCGCAGTATTGGCCTCCGGGATTCCCCTGCGCCGCACCTAGGCTGCTAAGAGCCAGGAACACTGCGATTGTGGAGAAAGTCGTGAACATGGTAACGAACGTGGGACTTGAAACTAGCGGGGATAAAAATAAGTAGTATTGAACGAGTGAAGTTGCAAAATGCCTTATGCCATTGACCTGGCTAGTAGTTGTAGGTGCGCAGAATGATTACAGCGCGAATGTGCCGTCCACAAAGTAAACCGTGAGGGTAGCTACTGTAAGTACTGAAGGAGGGGAGACGGGCCGTGGGGATTGCAAAGGCTGAGGGACGTTGACGGGTATTTCATCTCCTCTTCGATCGCAAGCAACCTTGGCCCAAGGGCCAAGGTATCGGCTCGTTTCAAGTCCTTCGTCCAGTTTTGGGGGGGCGGAGTGTTTTCGAACCAATCGACGGACCAACTACCTGGGCTGGTTTTATTTTAGATGTACAGTACCTGGCGGGTAGCGGGTAGCGGGTAGCGGCGCGCTCCCACAGGCTTGGGTCCTCAGCCACAGGCCCCCTCTAAGAGCCTCACGCCAATTCACAGCGATGCGCCAATTGTACACTCTAATTCCCGGGATTTCGATCTCCAAGAGGATAAACGCTTGCAATTATGCCTAGCTATTATTTAAGCTAACCAGAAAATAAGACTCGTCAAGTTAGCCCGAGAAAAACTTGTTTCGTAGGTTCTCATACTCCGTAATTTAGGCTTCATCATGGTTCCCTAGTCAGGGCATGCACGAACCACGTGGTTCATGCCATGCCAGAGATCTCCTAAGGCTCCGCGATCTCGTAGGGCTCCGCGATCTCTCCTACTTATGGTACAACCTTAACGGAAAACAGAAATTGAAACGAGTGAACGATCCGTAAGGACCCATGACGAAGCCTCACTGACACGTCCGCGAGGTCCCAGATTGACGAATTAATAGGGGCTACAGGAGTACGTATCTGCCCGCAAGACAAACAGGGGTTTGTGTTGCCAAGACCATGAGACCATCACCTTGCAACGGCGGCAGAGCCTACGAGAGAGCCCAACGAAAATTCAGGTACAGCGCAGGTTTCACACTCCATTCCCTAAAGCCAAGGCCCGAAGCCCCGAAAGGATGCCCAACCTTACCGCAGTAACGGTTGTTCTACCAGCTCAGTGGTTTGCGACCCCGTGCCTATCGTGTGGTAGCACTTTTGACACCAACCTGCGTAGGTACTTAAGGAGCTGCTAGAGTTGGCGACCCTGAAGGTAGCGACGCTGATTTTGGGGGGGTATGAAGATGTTGAAATGAGAGCTGTATTCTGGTGTAGGAAGTAATTATTGGCCTGTTCTACCCTTGAGGCTAAGAATGATGTATCCAAGACGCCAGATGTTCAAATATTTCGTACAAAGAGCCAGAGATCTATGATTTCTCTACAATAAAAACCCCCTAGCCAGAACTAGTCATTTGAGTATAGACTGGCTAGCGGCATGAATACTACAGCGACAGGGGGGGGAGGTGGCCCCTAGCTAAGGGGTATATAGAGGCGTGGGCCTAGGCGAGATTCGGTCCAACCACGAGCGCTTGTAACCACTTCCACCAGGCCTAGCCAAGAGCGTAAGGCTGACTTGTAGTTTACTATTTCTCACAGGAGCCTTCTTGTACCAACGTGGAGCAAAACTCGCCGGTAGAATAACTCAGTCGGGTCTAGGTGACGCTAGGCGACAGACAAACGGGCTTGCACGTGCGGATTGTCGAGGCAGGTGACGGTGACCCAGGTCAGAGGATGTCCATTACGAGTATCGCAAAAGAGTAGCCTGGGAAACTGGGATTGAAGAGGCTGTTACCATTGTGGCCATTCCTTAATCGCATCTCGAACCCAAACATCCCAATTTTAAGCGGGTTAGTCAACACCTCAGGTCAAGATGAGGGCCCGGGATCTTCCCACCCATCCGGAGTGTTATAAGTTGTCGCTTCAGTGACCGATCAATCAATCAACCTTATGGTTCTCGACAAGCATCCCGTGCTGTACGTGTAACAACAATGTCCACAGCTTTCTATATCACCGCCGAAGGTATGCTCCCATCGCCTTGTTTAGCCTTCAAAATTTATCCTCACACGGGTCGTAGGGCTCGTGTATGCAGGTATCCAGGGTACGGTCGCCATCGCTGAGGCAATCCCGCTGTTTTCTGAGCTTTTGAATGGCACATCTAAAGGTAAATATCACCAAACTTTTCCAACTCAACTAACTCTTAATCAACTAGTGGCCACCTTTAATGCCCTATCCCAGGGTATACACATCGGGTGGGCTTTGCAAGATGACGTCGCGAATCCTTTCGGCGACATACGCGGGTCCCTCACCATAGTTTACACCTTCGACCTTGACAGCGATATACTGATCCTCGCAAACGCAACCCAGGCTCTCCAACTCCCCATTTGTCGTTTCCGGGAAGATAAACCTGTGGCTCTTAATGAGTTCACTGCCTTTGAACAACCGTCTCCGCCTAGCCTTAACTTGCTTACGTTCCCCTGCCTGCAGTGGGTTCCGTCCTGCCCTTCGAGCTCCCGCCAACTTCCATTTCTGACTCGCATCTTTTCAGATTTCGGGCACCAATGGCGACATATCCTCCGCCGCCCTTATGCTGACTCTACCTTCCTCAAGTTCGCACGCGCCGTTCTCTCCATTGCAACAATGGGTTTTACGGTTGTTGAAATAGCCTCGAGGTGGCTACATCGACCTAGTGGGAACCCGTACGTTTACATCCATGATCTCCCATCCTGGCAGCCTTGCGAAGAGCACTTCATCCAGATAGGACGCATTGCAGTTGTACTAGACCAAGACCTAGAACACGCGATAACGCTTGTGAGGAAGGATACCACAGACAAGAACGAAACCAGAGAAGTAGCTGGAGGCCGTGTCCCGCTGCGAAACAACAACTATAACGCATATCTGCTCTTGTCCATGAGACATATTGCTCTATGTCGTATTAATGAGGAAGGCGTCTTATTATGCACATCACCAGCGACCTTCCTTAACGGCATCGATGCACCATCCTCCGCTGCAATAACTCTACTTATTTGCGGCCTCTTACTTGCGTTTCCACGCCCTCATACATGGATCCACGACTTTCCAGTCGAGCTCCGAGATCATATCCTAACACGTGTTTCTGAAGGTTCGATCGAAGCTGCAAGATTAGGCTGCTTGCTGGAGCTGGGCCCGCCGTTTAACTGGATGAGGGCGGAGGATCGGTCTCGCAAGGGCGGCCCTATTGGCAGGTTTCAATCGTATACTCACCGCTCGGAGATGACACCTGTAGAGTCGCAAATTTGGTTCGAGAAATTTAGTGGTTTGGCATATCGATAAGTGCTTTGGCTTGGTACGAAGGGCGCCCAATGTGAGAATATAGGGCTACGAGCGAGGAACAGTAGTGGCCTTGACGCTCCTCGATAAGTTAGAGAGATGGGTTGTTTGCTATATGACGAGACGAGGAATTATCACGGCAAGATGCATTATGGCTGACATGAAGAACCCTGAGAAATGGCCGTGAACTAGTCGGGCTGATGATTTGGGCAGGGATGATGGATGAGAAATCATGATGGTTTAGTCTAGAAAGGCATGATATGGCGACGATTCTCATAACCTGCCATTATCTGAGTATGTGGTTTTTGGACTTCTCGAACTCATCCGGAGTGCGACTCACCTTATCTCCACTAACTAATATTAATACAGTGGGCCATCTTTGATCTTTGTGTTTTGTTCTCTCAACAGTCTCTGGCCTATACGCCGCAATAAAACCTAGCTAGGCCTAGAATACAATTGTTTTTAAGTCCTGGGTATTTGGGAGGTCTGGAGTGGCTATCATAGCAACGGCGGTGTAAGGTAGTCACATAAGTATCGCGGAAAAAGGCTTTAGGATGGGCCAGAATACCTTACTTCTTGAGTCATCCCCACCGCACTTCTGCTAGGCAGTGAATGCAGCGAACCGAGTATTAATCCACATTGTTTCCTTCCATTTTCAAACGCCGACCTCTTCCCAGGTTCCTACCACACACATTTCTCTGTGGTCGTCGTCTGTCCTTCACGTCTTCTCCGCCAGAGCTCTGCTAGACCTATAACAACATCATACGCAATAGAAACTCGCCTTAGCCTAGCTTACTTGAATACCAAGGGCATCACGAAGCCATGAATCTTAGGGATCTCCATTCCGAAAGTGAGGACGACGACGTAACAACCGGTTTAGCTGACGAAGACCGAGAAACTCTTAGGCCAACCAGGCAGCCGGTCGGCCTAGTTCGTGGTTATGCTCCAGGTTGGAAGTCCCACGATGCTTTCAGAGAATATTATCAAAACTGGTATGTATTGAATCTTCCCTGCATTTAGAGGACACAATTGATCATGAATAGGATGGACGGTATGGTCGAAAGTCGCAAAATCTTACGGTCTCAAATCAATGTATCTATCAATGATACCGAAAAGGAATGGGTTGCGCTAGCACGCCGTTCAGTTGGCCATGAGCTACTAGGCTTCATACGATTCTCAAAACAAAAAGGTGAACTTGAACTTTCAAACTTCAAAGCTCGGCTGGAGCCAAAAGCCCTAAGTATCGGGGAAACTTCAAAACGAAACAATAAGAATACCGCCGGGACCCACGGAGAGGGGTTTAAAGTTGCATCGCTTGTGATGGTACGGAAGGGGTACCAGGTTCGCTATGAAGCATCAAAATACTATTGGAGGTTTGTTCTTTGCGGCCAAAACAAACGCCATCTCTACTACCAACTTTCGCCAATATCCGAGTCGAAGCTTACGAAGGCGATGGCAAAATACCGGGAGAACGTCAATATAGGATGCCCACGAGGTACGGTAGCAAACATGTGGGAAGATGTCACGGTAAAAATCGGCAAGGTATATGGGTCCAAGGCATCCGGAGAGAAAATTAAGTGGGAGAAATTCCAAGAATGGATAAAGGTCTCTATGGCATTGGTCCCGCCTGTAACCTTGATCAAAACACAATATGGCGACCTGGTTACTGACCCAGAATTCTCCGGTCGCCTTTATCTCAAAGGCTTGTTTCTTGAACACAAAAAGGATCTTAAATTTTCCTATGATTTGGCAAAAGGACACGTCAACCGCGACCGAGAAACCCTGGCAAGCACCGAAGAAGAGGCTAAGAATTTCGCAGAAATCTGGGGAGAAGCTATTAGGCTTCATAAAGGAGACGCCTTGAAGGATTATACGAAAATGCTCAGGGAAGACGACGGCAATAAATGGGCCGATGTCAAATCTGCGGAACGCTATATTATGAAAGATGTGGCAACTACAATCTGGGAGTACCTCAAAAAGTTAGGACCTGATGTCTTCTTCTGCGATGGCAAGGAAATGGCAAAGGTACGCTTGTCGCTCGCCAGACTGAAAGTAAAGATTTGAATCGTCTCGGCACTAACATTTCCCAAGGTCGCACAAATCATCAAAACGTCCCTTAAAAAGAATCCGATGCCGCTTCCTTCTTGCATCTGGGAACCATTGCGCAAATTCGGCCTTGTAAGGACACCTAATGAGCATCGAAACTATTTACTCCAGAATGCCCCCGTTTCTCAGGTAGAGGAGACGACATACTCAATTGGGCTTCAGAGGGCCTTGCGAGCTGCGTTGGCGCTAAATGTAAAGACCAGAAGCCTTAACCTGATCTTCAAGAGCGGAGCCAAAGGACAATTGGATTTGTTAATTGATGGAGATAATCTCCTCCTCTACGACCACTGGCTTTGTTTTCAACAAAGCCATGCAAAATCTACTTGTCGGTTATCACAGTTGGTAGCAAAGGTTGATCATTTCTCTTGCGACCACATTATTTCAGAGCTCTATGGGATGATTCTCTCCGAGTTACAAAGTGTCAGCAAACTTGAACCAATTTATCAAGATGAAGATAACTCCTTATGCCAGATGGTTAGCGAGAACCTGCGGCACATGCCAAGAATGATAAGAGTTGAGAAAACTCTAAAACCGGGAGAGTTGGCCGTTTCCTGGACAGATCCAGAGAGCCAAATGGCTTTTGAGCTTCATGGTCTAGACTTGAAGTGCCAAGTCACATTGCATCGAGAGAGCACCTGTGCCGGGGAAAAGGTCGAGCTATTATGTATAGATGGTATGAATCCCTTCCATGCTAATGACAGCGCACATTTTAACCAGCGCATAGAGAATATCGAAGAATCGGCCATAGAGAACTCTGCCAACGGTGATTTAAGACATTTCTCTGAATGCGGTTGCCCAAGCAGGCTGGTAATTCAAAAATCAGGGACAACAACCTTTTGCGACCTTTCTACTGACGAAGCATATTTTCCTATGGTAGTAACAGCCCGCGGCAAATCGTTCTTTGGGTTGCCTCCGGATGCCATCAAGCCAGCCCCACGGGTTGAACAAATTTCCCAAGAGCCTCCCAAGACACCTACGCCTAACCCCCAAGTTGATACGGATGGTTTATATGACGCTACACCTCCGAAATCGCGGAAAATACGGCCGCGGTTTGGTAGCCGGACTCGCCCAAAGAAGTTTGCGCCTACTCCAAGAAAACCCACCGCTAATCAAGCCACTGTTGAAGATTTCATAGAAGGTATGCACGAAGGCCCCAACCACGATTCTGACAATGAGTCCGATAACGGGGTTGTCGCTGGCCCAGTTCCCACTGGCGAGGTTCACAATGTGGAAAATAAAAGCGATGATGGGACAGAAGAAGTTGCTCGTCTCAACATGGGTCGTGTACGCCGTATTAAACAGCAGCTGGCGCACAAAGAGGATCAGCTTAACTCTACCTCCAACGAGCTCGCGAGTAGGACAACGGAGCTTAACGAGGCATTAGACTGCTTAGAAGGAATGAAGGTACAAATTCGTGCGCTGGAGGCGGAGTTTGGAATACAGAAACAACGACTCGAGAGCACCATCGAAGACCTGGGCGAGGAAAATAGGCAGATGCACGACGCACAAGCTGAAAGTATAACTCGTGTTGAGCAGCTTTTGGCAACAGTTGAAAACTTACGCAACGATATGCAACAGCTTCAGGAAGGAAAGCTCCAGGTTATGGCTGACCATCACGAGTTTGTAAGAGCAACCCAAGAAAACCGCGCCACTAGCGAACCTCAAGAAGTTTCCTCACAAGGTCTCCCAATTCAAACCTCGCACGCCGATATGGAAGTTCTCCGTCAATCAAACGATGCGTTGAGATCCGAAATCCACAGCGCTCAGACAGACCGCGCAAGCCTGGTTACAACGCTCAATGGTGCCTTGGCTATGCTTCAAGGGGTGCTAAGCCTAGGCTCTAGAGAAGCAATGGTGGGTATGCTTCAAGGCGTTATTACCATGGTCCAAGCAATGTTGGCCATGGCAAATAGAGAATCGTCTCCGCCTTTAGTCAGTCGGCCTAAACGGGCTAGAGTTAAAGACGAGAATGGGGTTGATGTGCCAGGAGAAAAGAATGCAAAGAGGGTTCGGATTGGGAGAGGTAATGGTTTTTAGCGCCTGCCTTGTAGGTGGTTTGGGGAGCCCGTGTATTGTGTTGAGGGACACAAACGATGATATTACTAGGAGATTGTCTACTTGATGATAAGATGATTCGAGTAAATAAGAGCGTATGTAAGATATGACAATAGAAAAGAATTCACCCCACGTCCCACCTCGAAACCTCCCAAAAGGCCAAGTAGAATATGGGGTTCCTATATGATATATATTGTTGGATTTTCGACAAGCTTATACGAGGGGCAGAACGGTGAAATTATACTACAGAACCAATTAGCTAATATTGCTGCGGATTTTAATGATGATGCTAACAACGCTCCCTGTAATACCAAATAAACACGGACAATCTTTAAAATTCCTGATAAACGCCGTACTTTTCTAGAGTTTAATCGACGCCCAGATGAAAACATGACACATCACGTGATACATCCCCCTTTCTCTTGTTCGCAGCCCTGTGTCTTCGTCTAAGCGATATAAGCACACACTCTATGGAAGTCTGGCCACCAGGAAGGGCATTAATTTAGAAAGGGTTCTGTTCCCAAGCGCTCTCAGCCTCCATATAAGGATCATACCCATACAACCACTTCTGGACCCTCGGACACGTCCACCGACTAGGAAAGTCCTCAACGGGCTCGCTCCTCCCAAAATTCCTCTCAAACACCTGATCCCTTATCCTCTGCCGCTCCCCATCCTCCATATGAAAGTCTTCCCTTTGTTTAAACGACTCCTTCTGTATATCCTCCCCACGCTGCTTCCTCAGAGCTTGATACATCTCTGCCAGCCTAGGTAACTGTTCCTCCTTCTTGTCCTTCGAGATTTTCCCTAGCAAAAGTCCAATCACAGCCCCATCTTCAAGGGAAGAGTTCGCTCCTTGTGCGAGATATGGAAGCATAGGGTGACAGCAATCCCCAGCCATCAGAAAGGTTCCTTCTTTATTCGCCCACTCAGGGAGGGGTTCCAACCACATGAGTTTCCATTTCGACACGGTCTTTACTTGGTTTAAGAACTTCATCAAGATCGGATCCCAGCCTTCAAAAAGTTCTTTCATCTCGTTGAGATCACCTTCTTGTTTTGCGACGCTGGGGGGGAGGTCGTCAGGGCAGAGCAGTCCCAAGTTGAATACTGAACCGCCGCGGACGGAGTACGAGGCAACGTGTGTTCTAGGACCGGCCCAAAAGTTCACATGGCAGGCTTCGATAAATTTCTTGAGTTCAGGGGCGTCGGTGCCAGACATGGTGGATGTGTCTATTGAGATTCTATAAGCTAGATCGCCAGTGGGAATTGGAGGTGATTGTTTCCCCAGAAACTGGGATCGGGCTGCGGACCAAAGACCATCGGTGCAGAGTACCACATCGCCCTGGATGTTCTCTCCGCTTTCGATGGTTACTTCTGCGTTGGCGAAATCAACGGAGACGACCTTGCTCGAAAGTCGGAGTATCACCCCCAATTCCTCGCAGCGACAAACCATGGCATGTTGCAGATCTACTCGGTGTAGGTCCCAGAACGGCCCAGGATATCGCTCAGCAATCTGGGCTTGGAAATTTGGAGTTGATGAGAGGACTTTGGTGCCATCAAAGCGCCGGACGTTAAGACAACCGGGGGCAGCGGCGAAGGGAAGGAGACGGTCATAGATCCCCCATGGCTTGAAAAGACGTGTTGCGTTGGGGGTCAATTGGAGGCCGGCCTAAAGCAGAAAATCAATTAATAAAGTCTTTTCAAATGAAAGGTAACAAAGGCGAGGGAAATGGTGAACGTACACCAATTTCAGCCAGCTCATGGACAGACTCGAGGATTGTAACTTTGTGTTCCGGATTCGCCAGTTTCGTTGAAATGGCGCCCGATAGTCCAGCGATGCCCGCGCCGATTACTATCACATGAATTGACATTGTGCCTAGCGGTGCTATAGAGCGCGACTATCTATGGGACACTTGGTCCAGCTTCGAGAACTTGTCCCACAACTGAATCGGATAGTTTCATTCGGCAATAGTACTGGAAATTGCAGGTTATTTTGTGAGCTACTTCAATTGTGGGGGCATTTATGTGAAAGTAAATCAGCAGCAGTGCAGAGGAAAAGAAAATAACAAAATGGATAATATGCAGATACCACTTGGTAATAGTTCGAATTTGAGTCGCACCGGACCTCCATATTGATTATGTTCTCAAACGGATGTCCGCGATGGTGGGGCTGAACGATATAATGGAGCTCTAAGCACTTACTCCGTACATCTACGACATAGACGTAACACAATATCTAAATGTCTCCCGACTGAGGAGCTCGGCATCATTAATACCTTTTTATTAGGTAGTTATAGACTTCTCCATCTATTCGACACCCATCACAGTAGGGGATAGTGTCCAAGATGCACAAACAAACTCCAAGCAATGCCGATGATAGATCCGTCCTGAAAATGCAACAAAGCACATGACTCCTCCCACTGCGTAACCGAGCAGGGCTCATCAGCTAGGCCATTTTCTCCCAATCAGGAGTAACCACAAACTTCCCCATAACTTGCCCCATCCCCATAGCTTTCCCCTCCGGCGCCTCTCCATTTGGATAGTGGATGCCCTTCTCCAGGCTATCGACCACAACACCTGTGCTCAAGAACCCAGACTCAACTCCTCGGCCGACAACCATACTTGTGCCACCCCAGGACAATTCAACCCGTCCACTTTCTCTGACGATTAGCTTGCCAATCCAGCCTTCCTCTTCAACCACATCATTCGACTCCCTAGCCTCTTCCTCCTCAACCCTTACCACGACCGCTTCCTCCGTTTTAATATGGGGGTCCTTGCCACCTGCTTGGCCAGGTTTGCTAGCAGAGCCGGTAACTTCAACATCAGTAGGCCCTTCGGTCCCTAGTTCTGCTGTTTTGGATGGGGGTGGCTTCGGTTTCGCCATGGGATTGTAGAGCTTAGGAAGAACGGGCGGGAATTGGAAAAGATAAAGGCGACCGAGTCTCTTATCAACCTCCTCCGCCTCCATACCAGTCGTAGCAGCATCCTTATCTGAATCCGCAGTTTGCATACCACCAAGTTCTTCCGCAAGGACTCGGACATCTTCAAGGTGGCGCTCATATTCCGCTCTGTCTTCCTCAGTTTGAATAACTGGCTTCTTCTCCTTCTTCTTGCTGGGCCGTCTCGCTTTCTTTTCTACATCTAAATTGATAGTAGATTTCCTTAATTCAGGCGAAGATGGGCCAGGAAGCTCTAAAGCTGACTGGATGTCCAAGGACTGATCTGGCTCCGTCTTTATCCGTATAATATCTGCAGGGGGCTCGGCTTGAGAGGAGCGCAACTCATCAATTTCCATCTCATCGTTTTCGACTTTGAGTTGAGGCTCCGTCTTCGTCTGCGGCTGGGTATTGACAATTGTGACTCGTTCCTTATGCTCCTCTCTATGCAGACGAACAGGTTTAAGGCCACCTTTGCCTGCCTTCGCTTTTCCCTTTCTGACCGCACGAGTACCGGTGGGTATGGGCTCGTCGGATTCCGCATCAGAGACGAGATTTATTTGCTCAATGTCAATTCGTGGGGTGTCGTCATCGTCTTCGAATCCGGGGTAAAGAGGTTCGTAGAAAGCGCCTTTGTTCCCTCCAGAATATGTTCCTGATCCGTGATGTCCCCCTTCACTCTTAATTCTTGGGCCTCCAGCTCCAGCTCCAGATCCCGCGCTCCAGCCCGCGCCAGTGCCTCCGCCTCCGCCGGCCCCGCCACCTAATCGGCCAAAAACAGGGCCATCACGACGGTGCTCTGCAAGCAACAATTAGCTTCATATTGAACAGCACAATTTCAGCATAGTACATACCCATGGCCTCCGGCGCAACTCCAAATAGTCCACTCGCCGAACTTCCTCGTCCCGCCCCACGTCCCCCCATAACGTCACCTCTTCCTCTACCTCCCCTAAATCCCCTTGATCTATTTGCGGCTCTTTCTTTCCTATCGGCCTCCTCCTGTGCCTTCTTTATAAAGTCCTCCTTCCTCTTCTGCTCGTCCTCGGCCAACTGATCACGCTCACTCTGGGTTCGCCGGATTGATTTGGGCTTAAATTTGCTTGCCCTTGTAGTGGTTGTTCCGGCAGCGCCTCCTCTACCTCTACCACCCCTAGCTGATGTAGTGGCTGTAGCAGTGCTGCTTTCTGGTCTTGGTTCTGGTGCGCGGACGGGTGTTGGGGCTGGTGTTTCGGTGGGCACTGTCGCTGGGGAGGAGTTGGGCGAGGCCATCGCGGTGTCATCGTCGGCGAGTTCATTGTGCAAAGCTGTAATCGCCTGAGGGGGAGCTGATTCGGGAGGCGGAGAGCCCTCAATTGTGGATTGTGATTGAGAGGAATTTTCATCTTGTGCGGCGGTTGATGGTTCTGCAGCAGCCTTTCCTCGACCTCGACCCCGTCCTCTGCCTCGCGGAGCTCCTCCGCGGGCAGCTTTGGGTGGCATGGTAGCGGACTATATGCGCGTTTGGGATTTGCGTAAGAGAATATATTATCACCGCATTGGGGGTAAATGTTGTAGATGTAGACAAAGCAAAAGTGATATTGATATTGGGTGTTCTGATAGTGAGATGACTATCAAGGCGGCGGACTTGGTGGGGGACAAATGTTGGTAGAAACGACTTTTTTGGTTCACAGCCTTCCGGACCCGCTTTTCTACGATGTCCGATACCAACCCCGGTCAAGTACTCAGTCAGCTCCAAACATCTGTATTCTCAGTAGATGAACATCCACTAGGTAGTTATTTAATAGAATATACATTCTACATCTCTATTAGATCCCGGTGACCACCTACCCTTGACCTATTTATTTGGGTTAAATACGTGATATAATAGATCTTATGGGTCCTGGTGTGGGTTTGAAGGGGTCACAGCGGCGCACAAGTACTGTAACTATGGGTAATCTATCATTGATATCTATCCTATCTACACACACAAAGAAATGGATTAAAAAAAAAAGTACATAACGAAAAAGGGATTCGCTGGCAATCCAATGAAATATAAAATAGTTGTAGTTGCCTCGCAGCTCTTTTATCCGGGGTATGTGCAAAGATCTATGGATCCATCGACCTATGAATCTATGCCGCCATCTATGTAGTGTGTGTGGGATCTATGATGAGTCGTTTATTCAATGACTGCGATGAACCTTCTCCTCCATAAATAGTCCATCAACGCCCAACCCAGCACGCATTCGAATATTCATACTCGCTGACAACACTCACTTCACTTCACTTCGTCCCACCCACAAACTTAGGCAACGTAGCCCATCCTGCTCGTCCACCAGGCATCTTCACCCTCCCAAACTCCTCGTCCAAATCCAGAATAATCTTCAACGCATTCCGACTCCGCAAATAGCTAAGAGGTCCCGCTTGCCCGTGTAACTTCTCGGAGAGGGCACCAACGCCCTGATGCGCCATCTCGATCTGCTCGGCCTTTGCACTCCCCGGCATTGGCAACAGATTTTGCAGAACCTCATAGGCAGCAAGTGTAAAACCAAATTGTGGGGATGAGCGGAGAATACGAGCTGGGCCACCCTTGAAGAAGGCCTTGAAGCCCTCTTCTTTTAAGATAGTCTTAGCGCAATGCCGAAGAGATGTGTATGAGCTTTCGCCCTTGCGAGCTTCGACCTGCAGACGGGTTTTGATGACATCGCAGGGCGTGGTTAGGTATGCTGCGGGCATACCTGCTATGGCACCTGCTGTGAGGAGTTGCAGGACGCCTAGGGATTTGGTTTGGCTCTCGCCGAAGTAATCACGCTTTAAATGATTGTAGGTGGGGAAGTAGATGGCGGAGAAAGGAACGTCGCGAAGAAGGCATGCCGAGGCGCCTTTGTACAGGCCTACGAGACCCAAGTTACGCACGATCCACATTGCGGATCGGCGAGGGGCGCCTTCAACGCTCTTGGCAACTTCTCCTTGCACTTGCAAGCGAATTTTGACGATTTCTAACGGGTTGGTGAAGATCTAATGTCACGATCAGTAAGAATCATAAAAGATGACAAGAAACGGAAGACGTACAACTTGACAAGCACCTGCCGTACCACCGGCCAGAATCTCATGGGGGATCCAGATTTTACCATTGTCGGAGAAGTGGTTTCGTACAAGGTCGTTTACCGTTAACTTGATAGCCTTTTCTGGGGCGACACCAACAAGTTGTGGCAACACTCCCGAGTACAAGCCTTTGAAGCCTTCGTTCTTAATAACCTTCTTGGCGCAATCCAAGGAATTCTTATACAGCATTTCACCAACGCGAGACGACCGTTGGTTTTGCATCCGCGTCTTGACCAGATCAATGGGATAGACCATGAAAGCTCCGAAAGCACCGGCGAGAGAGCCGAGTGCAAAATGGTGCACGGATTCAAGGACAGAGTGCAAAATATTTTGTCCCGCAGACTTTGCCTTATGGATTCCTGCGCCAGCTGCCTCACCGAAAGCATTGTATAAGGGACTCCGCCACGAAGGGTCGAGGACCTTGGCGAAATCACCGAGACCTAGACGCCCCGATGGGTCATCAAAGCTGGCAAAGTGGAAGAGGATGTCGGCTTCCATAGGGGTGAATAGTGAAAACCGAGTAATGCGCGCCGCCTCGTTGAGGAAATCCGTCCTGGTAATCTTGCCATCTGAGCTATTCGCGGTAGCTTGTCGAATAATCATCTCCACCAGGTCCATCTCCCTGATCATGTTCTGGAACGCGCGAACATTGGCATACGAGATCTTGGTGCCTACTGAGATGTTGCAGAGGGTAGGTAAGTTCTCCAACATGTGATCGGAAAGCTTATGTCTCGCCGTCTGAAGAATAATGTGCTGGAAGTCTTCTGGCTCGATAAATCCATCACCATCCTTGTCAAAATGGTGGAAGGCTTGTCGTATCCTCTCCCCTTGAAGACCTCTCAGCATTTGCGAGAATTGTGGATATGTCAAATCGTGCCGTCGCTTCTTGCCCCCACTGTACAATTTCGCCCATTCGCAATTCCAGTCGAAAGGCAGGCTGTCCGGGCCCTTGTTCATCTCGTAGAGCTGCTTCAAATGTTCATATTTGACCGCTCCGGTCCGGTCGACGTCAAATAATCGGAACGCAATCTCGTACTCGGCGTCCGGTCTGGTAAGGAGGTTCTCGAAGGTACCCCAATCAAACATGCTTATCTTGCCAGAATTCCTCCAGTCAGCCACTCTGAAGAGGATCGCATATTGTTCGCGTTTGATTTTGTGCTATAGAACCCAATCGTTGTTAGTCAATGGCTCACGATGCTTTCTTTAAGAGACGCGACACAGGATAGCCGTCAACTCACGTAATCCTCGCCCGGCGGCGCAACGGCATTGATGAACTCCTCCTCCCCCATAACGAGCTCTCCTGACTCTTCATCCTTTCTCGCATGATGCTCAAATACAGCCTTGGACTGCGCAGAAAGCTGCACGCCTGTCGGGGTCTCGGTGCCGAGCAGTGACTCCTTAACCGCCTCCTTCACCTTCGCAACCTCTGACATGGTGTCCTTTGTCTGTGCCAAAGCTGCACTGCAAGTATGATGATGCAAGCTTCAGTTTAATCCTTTTTGCCCTTCTTGCCAACTAAGAGAGAAATTATATCCGTTTGTCCGCTGACGCCGAGGAGAAAGATGGGGCGATTTGTTGTCACAGGGGAAATTTTAGGGTCCACGGTTGCGCAAGTCAACAAGCCACCCGAAAAACAAATCAACAATCCACAATCCTGATTGAAATGACGACAACTAAGTCAGCAATCGGCTGTATGAAGTAGAGATAGAGGTAGGAGATGGGCACAAAAGGGGCAGAGGTCCGAGGCACGCCGAGACTCCTCCGTTTTTTTACGAGGCTTGTGAAGTCTGGGGGAAAAATGGGGGAAGGGAAGCTATTTTCTGTAGGTGCAAGCAAGTCTTATTATTTTCTAGCCTGCCATGGCCGATCCCGCAGCTGCAGCGCGTTGCCATTCGCCGCTGCAAATTTGCGACAATGTCCGGCGCGCCAGGGTTCGGCCACGTGACGTCCATTTCCAGGCATTCCCGTGCCCGGGGCGGTGGGCCGCAGGATAGCGGAGAATCCGAGTAGCGCGCGTGTACCCCATATAGGCATACCGAGCGAAACTTGGTGCGACTGCTGCGTGGTGCTCCTGGGTCGATGTGGTGCACGCGCTGGAACAGTCTCCCCACCACGGGGGAACGGAGAGTGCATAATAGGATCTTATAAGAGGCGTTAACTCTTCTAGAACAAAAAAGATGTAAAATATAAATGATATCTGGAGGCAAATAAATAGTCTATTTCTTCTAACTCTATTCAGGGCTTCGTTTACGTCAACAAAGGTTTAGTCGTGTTTTACTTTCTTATACTTTATCGTCCCATCTAATATTAACATATTTCCTAACTTGAAATTCTATTAAGGTACAGAGTATATTAGGAGTTAGTATTATTTTAATAAAACATCTATAAACAATAATAGTAGTTTTCTGACCTTGACTTTTACATTTTTACAATAATCTTCTCAATACAGAGGACATCCGTTGATTATATCGAAATTCACGTAGAACGTATTAGATGATTCTTCTATAGTGGTTCTACTATATCGGATTCCCCCCCGGCGGAGTTCGGGTTGTTTGCAAGCGCAACTCAACGGCAGGGCTAGTAATGCAGGAACTCGTTAGGTACTTATTCCCTGTGGACTTAGACCTGGACATTAATAGATATAAGGTCGACGGAGGGCTAAGCAATTCGCTATCTTTTATTTCTCGCTGCTCAAGTTCCAATTGAAGGCCTACGAATAAGTGTACAGTTTCCATGTCACATAGTGCGGTGCAATTAGGGCAATGATTATAGTAGTATTTTCTAGCAGTACTATTTTCGTACGCGCATGGTGTAGTTTCAATCTGACGAGAGCTCCTCCACAACACCGCCGACGCAACGCCATCAGGAGGGACAAATAAACAACAGCCATTAGAAATCTGAATGATAAGAGAAGGAACAAAGAATTACACCGCCCTCCTTTCTATTTTCCGCCCGTGGTTGCAAGTTAAGGGGAGCGAAGCAGGCTGAAAAAGATCGTGGTCTCGTCATATCGTGGGGCATCGTTACGCTAGGAAGCAGACGTGATGGTGAGTCAAGATAGCCGGGCCAGCTCTGAAAATTTGTTTTTCGAGAGTAGGCGCGGATGTCAAAGAGTGAAATGGAGGTATGTGGTCACTGATAGGAATCAGATGACTCTATGCAAAGCAGCCGTAGCCGGTAAACTAACATGGTGCGTTGAAGTTTGGTTGGCGCTGCGAAGGAGGTCCAGGTGTGATCAGTAGGAAATAATATATCGACAGTCGGGGAATGTGTAGTCGGCAAATCTGATTCAATAACAACAGCGAATCGAATTTCGTGTTTTTGTCTGGGGTTAAAGCGTTATATCCGCCTAAGCCTTGACTTGAACCACACGTTTGAAAGGCTCATGAGTTTCGAATGGCATGCGAGCTGCAACGTCTTCGAGGGACGGAAGCGAGGGTCGAGCATGAGGAAGCTGAATTGAAGGCAGAACGAAGCCCCGGGCCATCTCTCCTTGAACATAGAGGGATGCACGCTTATATCGGCGGTCTGAGTATTTATCGAACACAGCTCCATGGTGCTTTTGGGGGTTCTCGCAGCATTCTAGCATCATGGATATCAAGGGCCGCAGTTGCGTCCAAGTGTATCCGGAATAATAGACGTGAGCCGACGACTGCACATAATTAGTCTTTGGAACATTTCAAGTCAAGGATGACACTTACCCAGTCACCCTTCTTCAGCATGAAACGAGCGAAGCAATGAGCACCGGCGGCGATATAGCTAGGTGGGCTACCAACGAATCGTTCATCCATGATAGTCACTTCCAGAAAATATTTGGCCAATGTTCTGGTCTCAAGATCATAATCGTCAGCTTTGCTGATGCGTCGGAGGAAGCTCATAGGTCCAGGCCAGCCGAGCTCGAACTGCAACATGCTCAACATGAACCGCTCCGCCTTCAGAATCTCATCGACGGTATAGCCCTTATCGACCATGTACACGATTTCGTTAACGGAGGGACAATTGATTTCCTCATACTTTGCGGCAACGAAGATAGCGGTGGCGCCGACCAACTGAAGCTTGCCAAGGGAGACGATTTTGCAAGATAAAAATCGATCGATGTAGTTGACGCAGAGGAACAATGTTTCTGGCAGCAAGGAAAATCGATGGTGAACTTGGATCAACCAATCCATCAAAACAGACCGCATTGACCATTGGATCTCGGCCTGGTTGTCCATATAATGTGCATTAGGTAGCATCCTCATCTAAAGACTGGGGTTAGTTGCTGTACTCCAATTGATAAACAAACAGGGATACGGAGGTAAACAAGGCCCATAGGGAGGCCGCATGAAAGTGACTGGAAACGCGACCAGGTGAATAGCGTGGAAGTTGAAACTCACCTCAAGTTCACGCATGTAAGCAAAAATCTCGTCGCCATATTCAGCCACCATGCTAGTATCCCATGCCTCATCTTCTATCTCCTCGATGGTTCGGGCACTTTCAACGATCTCCTTGGCGACAGCAATTTCCTTCTTGGACTTGTTCGTGACCTTTGGGAAGAGAACAGTAGTAGCACCACCGGTAGTATTGTCACCACGGGATTTGTAAGAATGGGCGGTTGCGTAGCCTTGCTCATCGTAGATCTCTTCATCTTCATCCTCCCAGTATTCCTCAGGTTCGGAAATTTGCGGGGCCGCCGGGAGTTGTCTCTGCAGTCTATCGACAGCATCGTCGGTGCATTTGGAAGCTGGCTTGACCGGCTCCTCCTCTGCTCTCTGCTCAACCATTCTTAGGTAAGTCTCGTATGCTTCGTTAGAAGTCATTCCTTGTTCCTCTCGTGCATCTTCGTAGATTGGGTCGGCTGGGATAATGCTTTCCAAGATATCGGATGGCTTTTCCTGGTACTTGCTTTGGGTTCTGCGCAAGACGGGTTGCTCAGTTTTCAATTGAGGCTGGCTCTTGTGATGGCGAGGCTCAAGCGTTTGGCGAATAGGAGCGGTGGATACCGAAGGGTGATCGGCAATTGAGATGCTAGCTGAGCGAGATTGTACGTCGTTCTCAGCGCTATCATCTTTATAGATCGTAGTACTATTCTTGCTCTGTGTGCGTTTTGTCGCAGGTAGGTAAAGTGACTGTGGCTGCGAGTCTGGAAGAGGAGCTTTTGAGGCAGGTACCAAAGCTGATTGATGAGGCGCCGAAGGCTGGATATCCAGAGGTCCCTTCAGTGGTGCAGCACCCAGGGGTCTCTGAGCTGGACGGACTCGGGCAACTGGCTTCTCAGGAAGTGCAAGTGGCTTGACAATGTCGGCCTTGAGTGATTGACACGCAAGAGCAGTGTCATCACGAATTGATAAGGACTTTGCGGTATTGCTCACATCACCGAACGCGGTTCTCTTCGCGGCAGCCTTGAGTCCACCCATTGTCGCCATATTGGAAAGTGTGCCGGAAGACTTATGGCGTTGATGCAGCGTTTGGTTGGCTGTCGGAGCGGTGTTTTCATCGCCTGGCAGACGAAGAGGTCGAACCGGACGCTGTGGCTATTTGGAGAATTAAATGTCAGTTCTTGGTCTGTATACAAAGCAGATTGAGAGGAAATGGTGTTGTCGGGGTAACCTTGAGGAATGTGGATTCTGCCGGACGGGAATGGGAAGGTGGTGATAGGCATGAATGGGAACAACAATACATACTCGCGCGTCCATTTTGGCAGGTAGCTGAGCTAGTAAGCTATGCTAGGAAATTAAAGTGCAATAGAGAACGGCAAGATAGTCGTGCAATTACTCCGTGCTTTGCTGATGCGGTAATGCGAGGCGTGCAAATTGAAATTCGCGTCCCCAAAATCATGCAGGTTTAGGAAAGGAGTAGTAGAGGAGCTTAGGCAAATCCGCCGCGGAGGAAATAATTGGAAGAGGTCGCGATTCTACCTGATGCTTGCGTGCACTTGAGGGTATACGCAGATAGAAGTCACTGCAATTCCATGCGGAAGGGAGGAGAAGGCGATGATGGGGGCAGAATTATGGTGTTTTGGTCCTTCGAGTCGGGACTGTTGATATCGCAACTGGCAACCACAACAACAAAATGAAGGCGCCGCACCCCTGTCGTAAACACGGCTAACCCGAAGGCGGCGTAGCGGGCTGGGCGGGCCATTCCATTCCACGACCCCGGGGTTCTCGGGGAAATAAAGATCCGGTCCGACCCGGCAACCGAGTCTCGTCGGCAAATTCGCGTCTCCCCGACGCGTCTCCTGGAAAACATAGAAATATATATAATTTTACAACAGCCCCCAACTGATGTTTCGAATTCTATATATTACTTCTGGGACTATACAAAGACGTACTTGATCGGAAATCCAACTCTACAGGGAGATGCGACAATGTGTTGCTGTTGTAGCAGGGTGTATCTAGAACCTGTGCAGAATTCCAGGTGGAATCGCGAAATGCGAGCGTTATCACATGATCGAACCTCGATCACACAGTGCACAAATGCGACAACGCAACAACATCGTTCTTGGGCAGCGAAGTATCGCATTGCTGCCGTCTCTAATGTTTATATGGATTGTGCACAGTATGGCAATTGGTATGGTGTTGTTTCTGCCGTTCGCAGGCGTCGATTGAAACCTTAGCCGCCCGGCAGGCGGTTGTAGCTTGCATGCCACGAAAGCAAGAGCCAGGCTTGATTCCGGCTCTCTACCGTATGCATCCAAGACGCCTGTTCAGAGAGCAAGATATGATACACGATTGGCTGTCAAGTCTTTATGTTGGGATTCGAACTGGGACCCTGAAAGGCTACTTTGTCTGATCCTATTCTGATTTGCCCATCGACCAACCGACGTTTCGGGGGATGGCGCAGACACGTCTCTTGCCTCCTATTAGCACGCAATCCCCTAGAATCCTGTGGTGCAATAGCATGGCCGTAGAGCGGCTTTGTTTACATCCTCGCGGGAGAGCAGAGCGTACTGAATGGGTGGGTGTACTCTTGCGGACATCCTTCCAAGTCTACGGCTGCGGTCGGTCGGCCAAAGACCTGTTTGGGCATGCGGAATCTCGAAAAGGCTATTGGGTCGTCGTGGTCAACTTCTCAAACTTGCGCCGGATCAAAGATCTAGAGGAATCGGCCAACCCTGCAATGAAAGACAAAACAGCCTCGGTCGCCATCGAGAGCCCTGCTTCCGCGCCATATTCCGATTCTTCAGATCGTTGGTACAAAGGTGCAAGCTGTGCAATGCTGCAAACCAGCTCTATGTGCGTAGCGCATTTTGCGCCCGTAAAATGGATCCTCGATTCTCGATTCTCGATCTCGAGCGGTGGCACGCACACGACAAAAGCCTTTGTGTCCGAATGCCGACTCAGGCTGCACTGCTGCAGCTCGTAGATCCATCGATCCATCGATCCATCCAGTCACCGCAGCACGAATCGTGAAGTGTCAGTGACGACGGGTCTGCGGCATCACATCAGAACCCACTAACGTCCTGGCTTCGAGGTGGTTATCCTTAGCGCGCTACAGTATCAGTTGTCAGGAGCGTTGGATCTGCCGTAGGGTCTTCGACCTGGCGTCTTCCAGCGCACTCCAGGGACGAGCATGAATGTTACTTGAAACTCCCCGCCAGCGCATGCCAGAAATCCTTAGCCGCAAGTTGTTGACGTTGGAGCTTGGCCCGACCATCTCCGCCGGTTTGCACAGGATCGAAACCGCGCGAACGATATCGATACATAGGCCAGGCGCCTGACCACGGCACTAACGGCCGTCGTATCCATATGACCCAATGATCCAATGTGTGCTTCCAGGGCGAGATTCAAGCTTGTTCTAAAAAGACATCGACCGTGTCAAACGACTGAATTTGAGGGTTTAGCCCATGGTGGTCTTCCTTCGCACATCCTTGGCCCAGATGTTGGCGCATGTCATCATTGGCTAGCCCAGACTTGATCCAGCACTCGGCCACTTTGCTGTCTTGCTGTCTAGACCAGGCCAGAGAAGTGACCTTGGTGAGAGGATATCCAGGCGCATGCGCTTGCAATCTCTGGTGACTTGCGCACCCCGTGGAGGAGAGCAAGCAGGCGCAACTACTTTACTCTGACACCTGTGGCTTGTACGTAGTATACATGTATTAATATGCTTTGGGCTTGATACTGCCAAATATGCTCCGAAAGCGGGCTGAGCAGGAACCTAGACCAGCGAGGCTTTTTCCAATAATCGAAAGACTATCTCACTAGTCACTGGTCACTTATTAATGTGAGAATGCACCACTTCGATTTAAACAAAATGAGGTGCCTACCTACGTAGATAGGATCCTGATATACGGGCCTCACCACAGTTGCGCATCTCCTCCATCCGGATTCCTAGAACAGCGTGCGGCAGCCAACATGACCGGCATGCGGGAATCAGCTCGAGGACGGTGAACAACTATGGAAGTTTCAGAGGCGAGGAGGAATTAGTCTGTAAATAAGGAATGTTTTGATATTGGGCGCATGTAAATATGTAGTTGCGCAAGAGTTATGTTCAAGGACTGCATAAAACATGAAATCTGAGTCTGGGTACGAAGCTACGCACCTCAACACCGCTTGCCGACCTCTCGTACTCCTCTCTTCACCACACAACCCGGAAGCCTCCCCAAGAGCGGAGCAACACGACGACACATAGGACCCCCAGGTGAGTGCCAAACCTATTCATCGCCTTCCTGCCGATCAATCTGGATCACCAGCACCTACAATATCCTACGCAATCATCGTCTTCTAACCCCTCCCTCGTCGCAGTGCTTCGGACGGCCAATTCCTGTGAACGACGACTCCAAATGCCTCGATAGGCCTCACAACGGCATCCATTTCGACCAACTGTAAGTCCTAATCATCTCCTGATCTTATGCGATCGGCCATGTATAGTCATCTTCTTCCCATATAACTCCTGGCCGTCTCTGCGCTCCTCCCGGTCTGGAGTCAAATGGGAAGCGCCCAGAGACTGGTGAAGAGTCCACAATTCCATCAACACCCCATTCCTTGCATCAGAATGCCCTTCAATACCATCATGGACTCTATTGTTCCTGGCGCTAACAATTGTGCCGCTCTAGATTGAAACTCCCGACGACGTTCGTTCCCTCTTCGCTCATCCAGTTGCTTGCGACAGCGACTCAGCGGGCCCGGCCCACGACCACTCCCTCGTCGACCACCACGCATTACTTGGTCCTAGGCAGGGTCAATCGTTCGGATAACATTTATTCTATAACAGAGTCGAATTATCCAATCTTTTATTTGGCTCAGCATCGCCAAACGCACAAATTCGTGTTCAGGCTACTCGTCCCCCTCGCACTCATTCCTACCCGACCCGGCACACAATGGCTGAGATGGATACGCGCGCTGGAGTCCAGAGAATGGCTACACCACCGGCATCTTATGGTGGCGGCCAATCTAACTCAACTACTCCACACAATGCAAATATGTCTCCTTTTGGGAGTCCGACCCCCAAGAGTGTCGCATTCGAGCTCCTCTTTCCCGAGTCGCCCCAGTATCGTGCGCGCCTACCTATGAGGGTGCAAATCTTTCCTCATGATACTACCGACTCGATCGTGACCACTGTCAAAAACTTCTACGGTCTTTATGCTGGACCTGGCGGGGCCAAAGGGGTGAGTTTCGAGGATGAGCAAGGGAACACTCTCATCGCTCGCTACGAAAATCTGCGCAACAACATGATCGTGTACGTTCGGGTCACCGATGAGCCAGCACCGCCTCCCGGAGGGTTTGGTCCATCATCGTACCATTCCGGATCACCCGTCATGCAACAAGCATACTATCCTACTGATGGGCACCAGATGCCTCCTCCCCACCCAGCCCAAGCACTCAACTATGGGCAGCCTCCATCTAGGCCTACTTCGAGAACTTCTCGCAAGCGCAGCACTTCCCCAAATCAAGGGCGTGGACGTCGCAGCGCATCTGCAAGCACAAATCCTCCTCCCACGAAGAAGAGTCGGTCTCGGTCGAGCTTCAAGAGCCGTGGGTCGAGCACTCATGGCAGCTTTGCAGATATTCACAGCGATGGCGTGAACGGGTATAGCAGTGGTGACGGCGCACCCGGGTCTGTTTCCAGCAGGACCAAAAGCGAGCATATTGGCAACACTGAGATCAGCTTGGACAATATTGTTGAGGGAGGGCGCCGCAAGAGGGCCAAGTTTGAGAGTTCCGTAAGTTCTACTAGACGACGCAATCCAATAACTCTTCTGAATAATCTCCTAATTACTGTTCTTCTTAGGAGCTACCCTTGTTTGCACCACCGCAAATGCCCGCAGCGACTTCAAACTCTTCGGTGTCTCCGCAGCGCCGCCTCGAGCATCAACGGGCTTCCCTTCCCTTCACACATCCTTCGCAGCACCCCTTCTCAAACACCCCGGTGCTGCATTCTCCTCAAAGCTACAATAATGGATTTGGGCAGCCCGGCATATATTCTACACCTGCAGCCCAAGGTCGTCGCACTCGAGCCGGCGCCTCATATCCAGCTAGGCAGTCAATTGGTTCTACACCAAATGGCAACAGCTCCGGCATACTTCCTACACCCGACCCTACTGTCGGTAGCTGCATGTCTGAAGAGGATAAAGATGTTGCTCTACAGCTCATGAGATTGGGTGGCATGTCAAACATCTCCCACGGTCGCACATCTGCTTCCACACTTGATGATACCTTTAGCGGAAGAGCAGATGCTGCTTCATCAACGGGTGCTACCAGTGACGAGGAAAGCGAAAGCGAGAATGAACTTCCGCCAGCACGCCGTCAAAAGCTTGAAGACAGCCCTATCTTACCTCCCGGTGCAATCAAAAGGTTCCGCCCACATCTGGATGATATCCTGCCTAGCCAAGATAGTACCGAACCTAGCGGAGATGAAGCTGACTTTGAATTCAATCCTGGGAATCTTGACGATCCCATGGATGGTGTGGATCCTCAGCCAAAGGTGATCAAGTCCAAAGGCTTGACATCCGTCATGGGCAAGCCGCGAACCAGCGCCTCCGGAGCCAAAGTGAACAAGGCAGGCAAGTCCAAAGCTCTGCGCCCTAGTCAAACCGTAAAGTCCAAGAAGTCGGGCAGCGCGCCCGCAGTTACCAAACCAATATCACCAACTTCGTTGCCACCTCAATCTCGAAAGACATCCAATGCTTCCGCTCTCAACTTTCAGCAATCACTCGGCGATGATGAGGAAGATCTCTCGTCTAAACCTCGTTGTCAGCGATGCCGAAAGAGTAAGAAGGGCTGCGACCGTCAACGGCCATGCCAGCGATGCAAGGATGCTGGGCTCAGTGCTGATCAGTGCGTCAGCGAGGACGAAGGCAATGGTCGCAAGGGACGCTATGGACGCCACATGGGTGTTCCAGTCAAGAAAGATGAAAATTGTGCTGAGGTTAACGTTCTTGCAACTGCCTTGGTTGGTGATCAGGGCGGCCCAGATAAGAGCAAGAAGAGAAAGAGGTAGTCTAAGCAATACCCGCTTATGATTTCCTCTAGGTCTCCCTAGAACTTGAACAATTCTTCGTGTATTAACGACTTTGTCTCATCCATCAGGACTATATATCTCCCTCGCCTCCCGGTACTTATCCAACAACAAAAGCTCTGCTTATCATCGACAATCTTCTGTCGTATTATCCTTACGTCCACACCATTGTCTATTGTTCTGGGTGTTGGTAGCTGCTGCTACTTCTGCTACAATATCTGCCAGGCGTTTGTGTTCCTTTGTGTCCTATTGTTTTGCTTGCTGGACTTGAATCAGTCGTGTGGCTTGGTATATCTGAACCTGAGGCTTCAGAGGGAAATGGCGGTTGGGGAAATTGGCACACTCTTTATGACGATTGATGGACGATTATATTAGACGATTTTCCTTGCGTCTTGTTGCTGTGCTAAACATTTTTGTCGTTGCCGCTAGCTATTGTTTTTGCCTGCTTCTTGCGAGTCTGCTTTTAATATGTTTTATTTTTGGTTTTGCTGTCAATCAAGGGAATAGGGAGGGAAGAGGATCATGGATTAACATTTTCGCGCACTGTTTGGTAGAGAACGTTCTGTGGTAGAAAGTTCACAGTCAGGAGGAATATGGGTATTGGGATTCAGGAATGGGAACCAAAACGGTTGGGGGTCAATGACAATCACGAACACACATACATAGCCAAAGCTAACTGGCATGCAAACAGTAACTGGTTTTCTTATATTATCGATGAAAGGAATAAATTTACTCGTTATTCCAACCCCGGATGGATCTGTAATTGATCCTATCCCTGTTTCTCATGCCATTCTGTGCAAAAGTCTTCTCGATGATAGCAGAGGCACCTTCGATTTATTCCAAGTCCATTCTGTAGCTAAACGCATACCTAGCTGAACGACCAACCCTTTCCACTGCTGCAATTGTATTCCTGTTTCATGCAACAATGCAATTTGGCGAATAAACTTGGCCAATAATCGCAAGACAGCCACACTCGCGCTGCGCCCAGTAGCCATGCCCCGAAACGCCTTGTTGTGTTCCCAAAGCATCCTCCCCCACACTGCGACACGGAATAATATCTCAGCCCCCTGCGTAAACCGCGCGCGTGCAGGTAATACATAAGGTATGGACAAAAGAAAGCGGCCTTGCCGGTGGTGGTACCAGATGAGCGACCAGTTTACTGGATATCAGTGGCCAGGAAACGTTACGCCATTTAGCGCATGGCGGGCGGAATCGAACTTGTGGGGTTACGATGGTTGGCTGCGAGGTGATGGTGTATGAGTAGGCCGTGTCATCCGATAGATTCAGAGCACCTCGTATTGCTTCTCACTGCTTCAAGACACTCGCTCTAGGCAAATGTATTTGCCAATAAACTGGGATTTGTTTATCTATCGAAGCAGGTAGGTACGTACCCAGGTAAGCACTTATTCTAATTTAAGTTATTGTCACGTGATATAGCAAAACGGAAACCTACTAGGTAGATTGGCATATTAGATTAAGAGTAGAGAGGGATTTCGGATTGCAGGAAAACAGCTTAAGAAGAAGGGGGTATTCTCTACATTTAGCCTTGTGGCTGAATTAACAAGAGGTTGCGTGGAGTGTGACGTACTCCTACGGAGTACACGTAATCTATGTTTTAATATCATACAGGAAAATGAGGCCCAAGCTGGATTCCACTTACCGGCACAGACATATATCTGCCATCGCACATGTCTTTGCTTTAGCGGCGCTTTAACAGAATGAAAAAATAAAAAAGGGGGAGCAAGAGTCACGTAGTATCATTGGTATAGTTGTGTGTTTTTAGCGAGCCCCTGAAATTAGCGAGCATATCAATTGGATCCCCCTATTTAAATTTTCGCTAATTAAGATACTGATGAAGATGCGAAAATCCGATCCCCACATGATTTATATCTATTTAGGGCAGTGCCTCTGGATATTATAGACATTCGATATACTACTACTTGTTAGTGCACCGCAATTTCTACCCCAAATAACGTTATTATGCACATTGAAATAGCTCGGAGTTGCTTAAATAATCTATCAATTTGGTTCAAAAAAGTACTTCGGAGTGAACAGTGCGAGGCTGAAGGGTGTTGATGTCTAGCGTTTATGTGTCCAACTAGAGACAGTAAATCAATTCCATACTATGACGGATGTGCAGTTTAATCAACGTAGTGATTGGTAATAGTCGTCTCGCCTCTAACATTCTAGAGTGTCATTGTGGACAGCTTCCTGTTCTTCGGAAGAGTGGGCAGAATTCAGACCCGGCTCATTGACGCTCCAGTCAATGGGCTCATCGCTGTGGAACGGCAGGATTTCAGGCCCAAGATTGACCCCAGGCGCCCCTAGGATGTCACAGTCAAAGAGGGTCTTTCTTGCCGCTCTAATTTCGAAGTATTGAATATTCAACTCGTCAACCGCGGCTTGGTACCGTTCGACGAAGTAGCTAAGATCTTCTGTTTCTAACGCCTTGGCAGCCTCATTCAACAACATCTCTGACTTCAATCCAGAATATAGTTCGTTGAACTTGGGCAATTTTTGTCGAATATAAGACCTGATACGCCGTGGCATGTCGCGCCCGAATGAGGCCCCATAGTCTTCAAGGAGAATAATGGCAGTCACAGGTCTATCAGACTCAATGTCGAGAATTGCATCGGATGTTTTATTGACATCAAAGAGTTTTCCTCGTGTTTTCTCCTCTTTGATAAAGCCAATCAGGTTGCTAGCTGCTTTGCATATTCGCTGGTACTGGGGCTCAAGATACTCTAGCACGATGGCGCGGCGCTGCTTAAACCCGGGGACATCGTTGATATCACTCGCCAGCTGAGCTAGGAAGAGATTATATTCAACAGGATGATCAGCGGCTTCCTTAGGTGTTGGCCCTCGGTGGAATGGGCTGTCGTAGGCCACATGCCGACGGTATTCTACCGCGCGGAATGGGGTCGTCTCACCGAAGTCGTTTAGGGACATGTCACCCTTGAATGGAGGGTGCCTCTCAAACCCTTCTGAATACCTGATAAGTAGTCGATACATGTCAAACACTAGTTCAACCACTTCATTGCTCATAACCATCTTCTGTAGTTTGGACAATTCCACGGCCAAGGGCTTCAAGGCAGAGTTGTCGGCATTGCCAACATTATCTTCAGCGCACCTAACATCGACGACTACATCTGGGGACTCCGGTCTTATAGCAGCCCGGATCGCAAAGTCTTGGACGCCACGGATTATTCTGAAGGGATTTAGCAACGTCATAATTGGGTAGTATTCTTCGAGGTCCTCCTGCTCCATACCAGCAGGGATGATTGCAATGTCGAGTGATTGTAGCGGAGTCCGACATATCGATCTGCAGAACGAAACAAGTGTCGGCGGCCCCGAATCCCAATATATATTACCAACCCCGGCCGAAAGAACCACCCGCCATCGTTTGACTTTGGAAATTGCTGCCACGGCACTGCGGAGTGAAAGCGCCTTCTCTTCCCCATGCCCGCATTGATGGTGTTGGTACCGTGTGATAGGGGATATACTAAGCAGTATATCTGATGGCAGCCATTCGATATCATCTAGTAGAGTAATGAAGAATAGATTGTGTCCATATAGGATATTGGACGATTCATTGTGTATTTGATGACTGACGGCAAGGATAGCTGGGTGGAGGTTATATTGAGAGCGTCCCCCGAAATGATCGTACTCGCATACGGAAGAATACTCCCCTAAAACCGGGTCCACAAGAAGGAGCTTGTATATTTCGTTGCGTAGTTCGCGGGGTATGCCTAGAAAGCTTGGACTGAAGCTTTGACTTTGAGATGGCGCACAAGTAGGCTGGATGGCTTGTGTGGCCGGCATGTTGATTTTGACTTGGTAGGAGCAGGTGTTGATCTCCGTTTCAATATTTGAAGACAAAAGCGGTGCGCCAGACTGGTCTTACTAAGGCTCGGGTTTGGTGAGAAACGAAAACTATATTAAATAGTAGTTGCAGCGAGTTGAAATACTCGAGGAACAGTGCTTGTTTAAACAGTGCTTATTTAAATATTGCTTGTTTAAATATTGTTCTTTATTTGCCGGGTGATAATTTGTTAACAAGGGTATTGCCGTGAATCAATAAAGTTGTCCGAATCTCCTACTGCACCCGAGCCTCTCTAAGACACTTGACCGTTGTGATTTCTCGCTTCAAGATAGTGGACAGCCTTTCCCCCCCCCTTCCTCTCTCCTCTCGTCACTGGATGTCGCAGCCTGCTTGTTTGGTTCATGGCGGTGCGGAATCTCGAGTATTCCTTGTGCAGCCTCCATCCACATGCAGCTTTGCAAGGAAAGAAGAATAAAAGAGGGCAGCGTTGCCCCAAGGTAGGTATTTCCCTGAGGTTAAAATGATTTCCATTTCCGGCTCTGTAGAGGCGATCGGGTTGGCTTCTCACGGGGCACTATTCCGCTCTTCTGGCCACTTGAAGCTTTTCACATCAACACCGATAGGTGTCGACATGGATTTCTGCAGCCACTTGGCATATTCCGGGAAGCGGGCAACATTTCCAATAACCATCGGTCGATTCACGCCCCTGACTCCCTCAAATAGGCCCAAAACCTCGTAATGGGGGTCATTACGCGGGGGCCGAATGACATCGATGGTCAGTCTATGCACACCCGTAAATGCTTCCTGGACTTTTGCTGCAGAGTAAGGGGGAGGGCAGTCTAAGCGAAGACATATATAATAGCTTCGGATCAGCAAACGCAGATCGGGCCGACTGATGGGATCATAGTATAGGCGCAGCCGTGGGCGGCAAGAGAGGGCGGTAGGATGTGCGATGAACGTGTTGCGACTGTAGAGAAGATGTTTTGCTTCGTCGTGGATCACACGGCATACGGCCAGAATTTGAGGATAGATGGGTGTCTCGTGGCAGCCTGGGAATTGGGGTGTGCCGAACGCTGGTACGACGAGCAGATAACTGTACACCTGGAGGCGGATCTCCTGCGGGAGGTCGAGGAATTCGAGATGCAGCATCATAATTGGAAATACCAGGCTGGGTTTAGTAGAGCAGCAATAAATGGCATACGAATCATAGAAATGTGGAAGACCCAGGTCGGGACTACGGGCTGTTATTATTAGCGGTTGCAATGCGGTCGAGAGGAACTCAAGATGCTGGGCGGTGTGCGATAACCTTAAATTCTGCCGGCTGCCGCTAGCGTACCCGCGTGCCCGAGTCCCGAGTACATAATCGCGTGCAAGGGTGCACCCACGTGAGCCGTGAGCACGACAGATGACAAACATAAGGTACCTTAGCTACAACACAGAACTCTATATCTAATGTCTCCATTCTCGAGTTCTACGTTCTCGATTATCGTTGCTTTAGCAAGATGCTGCCAATATGGCCGCTTCGTATTCATTCCTTGAACTTGTATCCGAGATATTTGGCTGGATATACACGCTCTGCTGGTCGCTGTCGTTCTATCCACAACCGATCCTCAACTGCCGCCGACGATCTACTACTGGAACTACCATCGACTTCCCCTCAATTAATGTTGTAGGCTTCCTGGCATACTTTGCCTCCAACGCTGCATTCCTCTACTCTCCGCGAATCCGTCATGAATATGCCTTAAGGAACCACGGCTTAACGCCGACGGTTCAGCTCAACGATTTTGCCTTCGCGGCGCATGCGCTCGCTCTCAGCATAATAACTACATCGCAGTTCATGCCTTCATTATGGGGATTTGAAAAGCGTGGCAGGAGGGAGCCCGGGGTAAGGATCAGCAGAAGCGTGATGGGGATAATGGTTGGGAGCTTCATAGTTGTCGGTTTGGTCGCCTTCATTGTTTTTCTGCGGGGCGATCCAGACCCGCGGACGGGATGGGCGTGGATCGACGTGGTCAGTATACATTCTTTAGAATATATGTACCCCATCTAATAGTTTCTCTACGCGCAGATATACACCGCTTCTTATGTGAAGCTTTTTATCACGCTCGTTAAATACATGCCCCAAGTCCTTACGAACTACCGAAACCATTCCACAGCTGGCTGGTCAATAGCGCAAATCCTCCTGGATTTCGCTGGCGGAATACTCTCCGTCATCCAACTCAGTATAGACAGTTACCTGCAACGTGACTGGTCTGGAATAACAGGAAACCCAGTCAAATTGGCGTTAGGAAATGCTAGTATGTTTTTTGATGTTATATTCATGGTGCAACATTTCTATTTGTACAACGACAAACGGGCGAAGGCTTTCGCGGAAGAATACGATCCGTTACTATACAATTCGAGCGGGGAAAGAATAGATTAAGGTTCGTTTATTTGTCCTAAGTTACACAATGGCTAGCTGTTCCTGCATCACTATACAATAAATCTATTGATCACGTATACGCTCAATTTTTATGGACCATCTAGAGGATAACATTTCAGTGCCACGAGTATTAAACGTACCCAAGTCTTGAGCCTAGTAGTTTCTAGCATCATGTTTGCCTAGTCTTCTCCAGCCAACCCTATTTTCCTTCCCCTGAATCCGTCGCGGTGTGCGTCTCTTCCATTCCTAGCCTCTATTTTACGTCCTGGCACAAGTATAGGGGATAGGCACACAAAAAGTCAGCCCTGACCCCAAGTTCCATTTAATATGCACGCTAGATTCTATAAAATCAACGGGGTTCCCAAACCTCATCGCCACCATCCTCCGCCCATTCACCGACCTCACACCAAGCCCATGCATGAAGTTGGTTTTGCGTCGTCATCGCTCCACCGGAGAATTCATCATACATGAGAAGAGCAAGTTCTCCTGGTAGTACAGTAAAAGTCGAAATCAGTGTCAATAAATTATATCTAGCCCCGCATTTTCTACGCGCTAGTACTATCATAGCTTAAACCTTGCATTAGGTTATGTCCCCTGCTGGGAATCTGCACGTGAATTTTAATTTCACCTAAGGATTTGCTACATCCCTATTGTAGAGCACTCGTTCTTATGCCTTGTTCCAAACCTAACTTCTCTCCAGCCAACATTGCCGCAATAGCATCTGCGCAACCATTGGTAGAGCATAGGTTTCATTTGCAAAGTCTTTGGCTTGCATAATCCTCATTAGCAAGTTGTAGCTTAGAAAGATATGGTGACCTAACTTACTTGTGATGACACAAGATTGGATTGCTAGTATACCCAACGCTGGCAAGGTTATACAGTACCTAGTTACTCTTATCGGTAAGTCTTAATCTGCATTCTGAACACCCCCACTCATGATGACACAGATTGGACAGCAAAGGCCGGGCACACGCCGGCCCCAGAAGTGATTATCCCAAAGGCAACCATGAGCAGCCCCGACCTTTCCCACAACTCATTTCCCTCCGAAGCAAACCGCCAATAGGATCTAAACGAAGAATTACTGTGCGATCCTTTGGACGATCCATTTGACGAGCCCAAGTTAGCAATAGACATAGACACAGACACAGGCAAACGAGCTTAAGTTATGTCAGCTTCTTGACTAGGATAGCGGAAGGACATACGATGAGCTATATACGTTACTCAACCGAGTATAAGGTGGCGGTGAACGATAGGGCAATCATACCAAAAGATACAGAGCAGGGTATAGTTCTAGCATCAGCTGGTTACTGGCAAATGTTCCCTGAGCCTAAACTGGACGATTCTGTGCGTAAAACGGACAGATCCCTGAAATCCGCTCACAAGTGTTATAGTTTCAGTCACGCAGCGCAAAGAGGATCCCCTTACGAAACGATTTGATAACACTAGTATTGATTGGGCAGTTATAGAAAGCCAACTTATTATATAGGGCAGATCCTATCTCGTAGGTAAGAAACTCAGAGTGAACCTCTCATTTAACTATGTAGACAAAACGAATACCGCGTCGCGGAGCGGAGATAAAAGAGGCTCCTCATATTCACAAGCTTAGTAGTTATTGTAAAAATAACCCGGGCTCGGAGTTCTCGCCCTCGGAGGGGCTCTTCGACTCGTCCTCGCCGTATTACGCGGCATCCTCGGCCGTATGGCACCTTGACATCTCGGACACGCCTTCATCTTACAGCGCGGGCACTGCAGCAGATAAGTCCAAGCCTCATAGCACTCCGGGCACGCTGTACGACCTTGTACTTTTGGCCACCAGCCGTCGTGGCGGCAGGTTGATCTGGAAGCCTGGTGAGTGCTTCCCTCAGCTGTAAAGAAGCACTCTGGGATATTGAGATGTGCGTATTGTTCCCGGCATTCTTTGGTTTCATCATCGATAATCTTCTGCCATTTCCTGGCCTGTTCCTCTCTTTGTTTCTGCTCTGCTGCTCGCTCCTCAGCCTGTTGTTTTCTCAAAGCCTCTGCTGCTTCCCGCTCCTTAGCCTGTTGTTTTCTCAACGCCTCTGCCGCCTCCCGCTCTAGTTTCTCCCGCTGCTCCTGCTGCTGCTTCCAAATCCTTGCTATTCTCTCTCTCTCCACCCTCTCCCTCTCTTGCCTCTCCCGATTTTCTCTGGCCCATATCCTATCTTGAATTACTCGCATCTTCCTATTATCGACTAGATCGGCCGCATCCACCTCCTCTTTCGCCTTTTGTAACAGGCTTTCCTCTTTCTTCAAGTCCGCCTTCTTTAACTCCAGTCGCCTCTCCTTCATATCTTTCTCAATTCTTCTCTCCTGCCTCTCCCTATCCTTGCATGCTTTCTCCTGCTCGCTATCTTCTGCCCTCTTATATATTGGAGACAACAACCATGTCCCCCAACTATTCTTCCGTGCCTCTTCCGCCGCCTCAGCAGCTACAATACTATCCAAATTCTTGATTTCTTGCTCCAACCGCCGAATATATCTCTGCAGCTCGAAGATCGAGGAGTCGAGGACATTCTTCTTGGTCCACCATCGTGCACCGCGTTCTTGCTTCGATCTTTGAAGTGCGGCGATTTGCGCTGCTTCGCTGAGCGCTCCTGATTGCGGAGTCGAAGCAGGAGACGGACGAGGTGTTTGTGTGGTTTGAGGAGATGGGCAACTTCGTGTTATGGAGGGGTAGATACTGTCGTAGGCTCGGCGTTTGCTTTCGTCCTTCAATGTCTCGTAGGCTCTTGCGAGCTTCAATGTTTGATTTCAGTACACACAATTTGTGGATCGATAAAAAGAGGTCCTAGAAAGTTGACATACCCGCTGAAAAGCTTCAGTAGCATCGTGCTTGGCATTCCGATCCGGGTGGAGCTTCAGCGCCAGCCGTTTATAAGATTGGATGACTTGCTTGGGCGTAGCAGTTTGTACTACTTCAAGGACCATGTAATAATCCTCTGTAGTTGGCGCCGGCGCCATGCCTCAGCAAACGTGTTCTCAGGAAGTTTCTTGTCCAGTGTACGGTTGCAAGAAGAACCAAACCTGCCTTATCTAGAGCCTTGTTGCTCCGACTACATGTTTGTTGTCAGTGCAGGTGAGGTCGCACTGCGCTTCCCGTGACTTCGAGAGGAAGTTTAAGCCCAATCAGAACATCCAAAGAGATTCCACACAAAGTCAGCTATCTCATAAAACTATAGCCTAAGCTTTATACTAGGGAGTTAGTTACTACAGTAACGTCCATCCCTTCGTAGCAAAAAACCCTACGTGCCAGAACGACTTCATAGTTTGGGGGTCTCAAATCTCTGCTACATAAATTTACAAAGCTACAATCAGTTTACTATTATTCTTTAGCTATCTATGAGAATTCGGTTTGCGATAAGAAAATACTACGGTTGTAGTCATATTATCGATTGTCCCGTCGACGGCGTTGAAAGCACTTTCGGCATTGTTGCGGCCTTGGTCTAGGGACTACAGTTGTTTAGAACGCGGTACAGTTGGCTGTGAGATTTAATTAGTCAACGTCTTTTGCTTAAAACCCAATCACGTGTACCAGTATGCTTAAACTTCTGCCTAAGAATCGGTCGCTATCAGCGGGGTCAATCCACTTTGTGCATTTCGCATTGACACTGGTACAATCCACGACCATGTCCCCTAACCAAATTGACCCCGAGTTGGTTCAAGATACCGATGGCTCCAGTATTGACACAGCCATTACACCCCCCGAAACCATCCCTCCTGACCTGACAGACGACAATGACGGCCCACCATCCCGCGCTTCTTATCCGATCTCCTACTCGATTCCTGAGCCTGGCTCGACCTTTATTATCCGCTCTGTCTGGTCGAGGAATATTATTACATTGCTCATGGGGCAGGTTGTGCTAGCCCCGCCGGAGGACAACTTTGGATCCCCGCACTGGGAGTGTATAGAAACCAATGGCTGCCTTGGCTTCCGCAACATCGCCTCAGGTAGATTCCTGGGTCGCAATAACCAGTGGCTGTTATGCTGCTCCGTCAACTGGCATCAAGAACATGAGAAGTTCCATATTAGGAGCAGGCCGGAAGGAGGCTATATTTTGCTTATGACGCATTGGGGGAAGCTTCGGCCGGTAGGAATGAAAGATGAGAAGGGGGAGAAGAAGCTAGCAATGGTAGAAAGCGGTAATACCAATGGAATTGTTTGGGAGTTTGTGGAGGTAGATACTATCTAGTACTCGCTGCTTATTATTTTCTTATTTACAGAGCTTTGCAATATTCAAAATAACTTTTAACATTCATTGCCTTCAAATCTGTCCTAATTGCAGCTACAAGCTTGGAACAATACAAGCTAGATGTGGCGCACCACCAGCCGTATTTCCCCAGAAATATTACAGTATAAAAATGATGGGATAATATTGCACTAACTAGATATAGCTAGCTTTCTGATTGGAAGTATTTATTAGTGTGGCGATCTTATATGAATTTGTACGCTATAGTAGCTATAAGGCTGAGGATGATTTCCCGCATAGTAGTGAGGTCTTGGAGCTCGGGTACAACTCCTTTATATATATTAGAGATAGTAAAAGCTCAGTGGTGGAGCTATAATAGAAAAACTGTATTTTGCTATAAAGGAGACTCTTTATAAATCAGGCATAAGAGCGACGAGGTGAACATAAGTTTCTAGTACGAGGGCTTTAGGGTATCTAGGATTAGCTACAAAATATAATTTATAAAACATTATAAGAGATATTGTGATGTGCATAGGTTTTGAGGTGCTTAAAGTCAAAGTACCTATGATTTTTCCCGGCACGCAGGGTTTTTTCCGGGACGCGGGGATGGACATTACTCGAATGGCATGTTACTAGTTGGGATAATTAGTGATACTAGCAAACTCCAGGGTTGAATTATAAATTCATGTGCAGATTCTGTAAGACCAGGGAGGGATGCAGACTCTTAGCATTAATTGTGCTAGCTCCTAGAAAATATAGGGGTCCAATTCAAGACATTTAGTGTTCAGACTGACATTAATTTCAACACTTACTATAGCATAATCTTTGTAATTTTCATCATTTATTTTAATATCCCCAACTCTGCATGTCGATATTTAGTATGATCGTTGTAGGTCTTGCCTCCAAATATAGTTTTCAAGGTTCTGCATAGAGGTGGCTTTATGCAGTGATTAATTAAGTACTCTATCACAAGGTATGCTTAATGTTACAAGGCGAAGGCGCCCCGTAACATTTACCTCCAAGCGATTAAGGCTCAACTGTGTCTGCTCTTCTAGATTCGCGTCACTTTTAGCGCTTTTATGGATCTCGGAAACGAGTTGAATGCGTTTAATGGTTTTCTATTCTTCAAAAGACAATTCTATTTTTCACAAAAGACAACTCTGAGCCCGAGGTCCAGCCTTCCAACCTCAATTCCTCCTCTCACAATCGTAACAGTCCCAGTGACGATCTATTACCGTTACACTAGCATCGGTGCAAATGCCCTCTGTGTTGTGACGTTCGCAGAAATCCCGAGTTAAATCCTTGTGTCCACATTCGTAGACCACCATAGTGACGTTTGTGCACATTGTTCCTAATGGGAGTTTGTGGGAGTTTCAAGATACAAAGTATGGTGAGTGGGGGCGTTCTTGGTATGTATGAAGTGAGTTGCGATGGAGTGGGTTTCTTGGATAGGAGGGAGTTCTGCCCATATTTATGCTCTCCATGTCCAGCGAGCTGGTGCTGTTCCGAGTCTGTTTTGAAATTGTTTGGAGGTTATTCTGAGATACTATGCAAGTATAAAGGTGCGTATACTGTTTATTAAAGACGTAGTTGCTTTATTTGTGTCCATAGCCGATCTTGAACAAAGGAGGTGGACCCTTTATTCAGCTAGATTTGGGGATTTGCTTTGGGAGCCACGATTAAAGATCCTGGCTAGACCACCTGCTTCTCGAGGAAGATCAGTTCACCTTCCTGAAAATTGTAGGAGATGGGGAATCAGGCACCCCTGGAATTGCTCACAAAGTGACATTTCCACGTCCTCCTGTTGGCTTCTGAGCTCAGTCTCCACTTCGTCCCCTAACAGTTGTGCCATAACTTCTTTCAGCTGCTCGAAAACCTTCTTCATATACTCCTTGTTCCTTGCGATCTCCTGGTATTCTATCCGATCCATGCAGAGCTCGCAGATATCGTCAATCTCGAAGTAGGTAACAGATCGGTTTCTTTTTCCACAACAATACGGGTTTCCCAACTCGCACGAGTCACGAAATATCACTACGAGGCTATAGTTAGTATTAAAAATATTATTGCAAGGTGAGGGCAACTTGCAAGTGTGGTCACAGCATTCAGCCCTGTATTTAACCACCGAGAGGATGCACATTGTCGCCCTATAGGCTTCTCCGTTACGGCTCTATTGGGCTCGAGTAAATGTTCGATTACGGAGAAAATCGAGGCTTGAAAGTGAGTCCAAAGGTGCAGACGTTTGCTGGGCTTTGGAGGAGAGAGGTATTTAGAACAGGGCCCGCTAACTTAAGGAAAGGGCTCTGCCCACAGCACTTCCTTCCTTCCCTCCTTGACCTCGATGCGCGAGCAAGATCTAGTAAATTCACTGATTTCTGGCTTAGCACGCAAATTGACCATTTCGCCCAAAGCTCACTCAGACTTGGTCACTCACTTTCATTTATTTCACCTTTCACGTTATCCCATCAATCAAAATACGTAGCCTTCAAGGTTCCACATCTAAGGTAGAAGTCGCAGGGGTTCTAAGATCCGTAGCAACAGACTACCTCACCAGAATTCCTAGTGTTCTAATGATGTATCCTATTAATTCAATAGATTTTAGCCTAGGAATCATGAAGTAATTATCAGAATAAAGCAACTGTCTCATAATTATGCGTATAGACAAAGAACTTGCTTCCGCCTGTCTCCCCGGACAAAGAACCCCTTTTCTTTCAGCAATCAAGGGACAATGCGAGCTAACATAGATTAAGCCTGTGGTTTTGACACGGCGCAAAAGGCAGTTATAACTTGAAGGATTTAGTGCCGGTTCTACACAAAGGGGTATTGTCTGGTCTCCGGCTGAGGTTATTTAAGCGCCAGGTCCCAACTGGCGCCATGGAGAGGCTGTTGTACTTTGTGTAGCGGCGGTTCATCAGTGGTCAAAGAAATCCAGTTGCTGAACAGAATTCGCAGAGAGCGTATAAAATCTGAAGTTTAGTCGGACTTGTGCCATACCATACGATAACTAGGCATACCGCTTACCTACCTACACATAAGAAATACGAAGCTTCCAAAACCCACCAAATCCCATCAGCGATGTCACCAGTTACTACCCGGAGTGCTAATTGCTCTCAATGCACCCCCTGTCCTCCAACCCAACAGCTAGGTTCTAAGGAACCAAGACCTTTCTCACAACCTATCGTTGAAAGTGAAGTCTTGCAGCTATTGGGCCCCGAGCCTAATAAGGTGTTGATTGAGCTCTTACGCAACCAAGTCATTAAACGCATCGAGGCCGAGCATCAGTGGCGGCTTCGAGACATGCAGGCATTTGCCTCCACGCTCTCGGATCCGATCGAGGCAAAATTGAATGAAGCGAGAGTACACCAATGGAGCTATACCCTGATAATCCAATGGTGCCAGGTGATGAAGGCATACCGCGAGGATCCACAGGATCCTAGCTTCATGCTTACCTTCCTGCGGCAGCTTGATCAGAGCTTTGCACAAGTAGTGACGAATCAAGCCATGGAAGGATGTGCCTCCACCGGCGGCTCAACTACCGATACTGAAACTCGACCACAAGTTCCAAAAAGCAGTGGAACCCAGATCCCATCAAAAAAAGGTTTCGCTGGACAGCAGACTCCGAAAGAAGGGTATAGCCCACAAGCTCTACAAGCACTTGCCCCTCGCAATGCTATGGAGGGGTTTGAGATGCATGCCGCAGTCAATGTATTCGGAGATAAAGCTACGATAATCAATATTAATTCCCGCGGCCAGGCTACCAACGCTGCGCCAGTTCCAGACTGGCCACTTCCAGGCTCTTCCAACTCCGGGGGCTCTGGGTCTCAAGCCGACCCAGTTCCAGCAGGCCCTTCTCACTCTGGTGGGGGCTTTGGGGCACTGGCACCAACTCAAGTAGGCGCTCCTCACGCTGGTGAGTTCTTTGCGAGCTCTGATAGTGAGCCTCTAAAGAAGCCCCAGAGTTCTTTCTTGAAAAGGCTAGTCAGACAACTTATATGGCAGTGAAACTTGCGTGGATACGCCGAGTATTTGTTATATTTGAGAATGGGAGCAGAGAGTTAAGATGGATAGCTAGTCTATTCCACTCTTTCTATTTTTCTATTCGTGAATCTTGTGAGCCGCGAAGGTGGCTTGCTCCAAGGCTTGCGGGATCAAGCTCGAATTCATATTGAGATCCACAGTGCGTTACTCGGGTATTTGATGGCTGGTAATAGAATGTTAGAATATAAGCAAATAAAAAAAATATGCTTCTTAAAAACTTGAAGACTGAACAATTATGTGATCGGTGAACTACTAATTAAGAATTAAGTTGTCTAGCAAGTTTCGTAGAGACAGAAGTAAGGAATGGGGTTAAATGACGCGAGTTGGCTACTACTAGCCTTCAGCTATAAAATATCATTAGATAATCTAATTTCACACAAGTGCCCTAATCATACAGAGTCTATCAAGTCTAGATAAACAGGAGGAGAAAGAAATAACACGACAGATAAGCTGGTAGTCAGAAATAGAAAGCCAGCCAAGAAACAGCGCCTGATACACGGCAAATCCCTTGTAATTCGCCCGCCATGCGCAGCTCAGTTAAGTCTTATGACTGATAAACGCCGATAACTCGCACGCTAATAATCTTAGACTGAAAATGATTAAAGCAAAACACCAACCCAGCCCCCCTTTCCCAGTCGCAAACATAGCATCAATTTAGACGCCAATGATATTCATGATATCATATGGTCAGTCTAATTTAGTTCGGGGAAGTACTGCGCGATTTTCATCGGATCACCGTACGCCGCTCTTGGAGGGGTATCGAGTTCGTTTTCGTCTTGCGCAGTCTCTAGATCCTGCTCAGGCCATGTGCGCTTCTTCTTTGTATTGCCCTGCTCTTGTGGTCGCGCAGTACGATTGGTGATATTACTAAGTGGGTGTAGGTTTTCGATGTCGGTTATGTTCCGGATATCAGAGGGGGGTGTGCTGGGACGGTGATCTCGGGATACTGATAGCTCCCCCCGGGTTTGGCCGTCCATCGGTGAGCGGGAGTCATATGAGAGGGGGAAGTCTGCGTTTGCGATGCTGTCTTGCGTATTAGAAGGCTTCGAGTTCGGGGCCGAAGAACCGAGCTTCTTGTTGGCGGTGGAAATACCCGGCGTGCTGGCAGGACTATTAAGTGTTCCTTTTTCGTTTGTGATGAGGCCTTTGTCCTGAACGAATTTGGAGGAGCGTTGATGATAGGGGTTGTAGTTATAGTATTCATCGATGATGGGATGGACCATGACGGTCTGTTTGTGGATTGTCAGGGTCGAGTTGGTGGGGACGGTCACCCAGCTCTCTGGTCTGTGTTAGCTACATTAGAGGCTGTTTGTTCGAATTACATACCTCGTTCAAATGTTAAGGGTTCGCTGGCAACTAGGACGATATCTGCCCCTTTATCTCGACGATCCATCTGGTATTCTCCCTTACTGCTCCTATCCTCCCAAGATGTACCAGATGAGTAGTACAAACTCGCAGCCTCATCAGTGCGGCTGCTCACATACCGAGTACAAACAACACTGTGTCCATCGGCGACCGCAAAATTGAGCAAACTTCGAGTGTCCACATTCTCGTTCTCAACAGTTGACTCCGGAATATCTGCAATGAAGTCGTTGATTTGCTTGATTGTTTTGAGCATTGCCTGACGCAATACAGTTGGCCCGAACCCATTCGCTGGTGGAGAGCTTGGATTGTGTCCCATCCGGTCAAGCGTATCTAGATATAGGGCGAAGGCCCACTCGCTGTCCGTGCCGCCCTGGACTCCGAGATACCACTTGTCTGCTAATCGCTCTCCAAGTCGACGCTTGATGTACTTCCAACCGCCCAAGCCTCCATTATGCATCCACATCAGGCTGCCGTGGCGGAACGGGTGGCAATTGTCATCGCTGAGTGAGCCTTCGGTAGTAGCTCGTACATGGGCGAAAATGAGGGGAGATGCGGTCTTGGTGGCAATTCGTTGGAGGTTGATGCAGTTCCAAGCTGGAGTAGTAGATGTGAAGATGCAAGGTTCAGCGCCAAGTTTAGGATCAGTGTAGTACCCAATGCCAAAGCCATCACCTGTAACAGGAGTTGTTAGCCATGCTCTGGAATAAGAGGAGGTACATGACAAACCGTTGTGTGGCCTTCTCATATCCAGACGAAGTCGCGAGTCGAATGACTGTGCGAGAATGGAATGGGTCGGATCCAGGATCAATTTGGAGAGTAATATCTCATCGGAACCTTTGTACACCTGCATGATCGCCATCCATTAGATATGTTCTTTACAGACGCGGACGATTTGAACTTTGGCCTACGAGAAAACGACACATCGTCGCGAGTTGGGCTGAGCAGGGTTGGGTATTGCGACGCCCCGAAACCGTGTAGTTTAGATAGGATATGAAGCTCGAATTATACGGAGTCTTTCGAAGTTAATAGAGTGATTTCCCTGTCTTGATGTCGGGTTGGGAGAATTTGTCTTGTTTATGTGCGGGTGTTGCGTTGCGTTGTTGACTCAAATCTGTATGCACGAAGAACGAGGACAGCAAGCTCAAGGGGCGGCGGCGAGGCTGAGGAAAGATGGCGCAATCGGAACCAGCGATAGCACCGAAATAAGGAAGAAAAGAGAGAATTTTAAAGGATTATCCAAAAGACTTTCTGTTTCGTGGTTGCCCCCTGAAGTGAAGACAGATCGAATTATTACGCACCGACAAAGCAAATACTCGGTATATAGTTCAAAAGACACCTAAGGTATGTAATGGGTTGATTGTTGATTGCTCAAGGCTGCGAATTCATTGTCGCTGGACCCTGTCTATTTTGCTGCGAGGCTCTAGGAGACCAGGAGGTCTAACGTAGGGATCGGATTTTTCACGTTATATAATTATATAATATTGTAAGATTTACGTTATTATTATAGGAGGTGCTGCGTTATATAATTGCATAAAATTAAGTACAACTCTTGCATAGCTATGCATAAAAAGACCGAAAAATCAGGGCAAAAACTGGGTAAAACTATGCAGCTCTATGCCTCCAACGCCTCACGATTATTAGCCATTTGGAGTACAATTTCGTCTTCAATTGCCAACAGATCGTCGTCAGTTAACTCATGCTCCTTCCGACTCTGGTGCAGTACTCTACTATTCATATATATAAAGGAAAGCTTATCCATTGTCTCTATTGATATCCGGTTTCTTGTTTTTGTATGGAGATTATTCATCGTCGAAAAGGAACGCTCTGAAGGCACACTGTTGGCCGTAGTATTGATTAGTCGAAGTGCAAGAGAACTAAGTTCAGGGCAGATAGCTTGCTATTGGATATTATTATTAGAGGAGAGTTATTTAGTTGTATTAGGAGTATACTTACTTGGCATCTCCAAAATAGATACGGATCCAACTTATAGTGCCAAACTGGGTGCGCTGGGTGAAAATCACCTTCCTGGTCGATATACTGGAAGTATTGTTTCAAAAGGACTGAACCACCTGTCTCCCTAATCCAAGTCTCCGCGGCTACCTTGAACTTTGGAAGTAGTAGATCTCCATAGTGTACTGGAGTAAGCTTATAAGCTACCATATAGATAGGAAGAAGCTGCTTTGTCATCCGTTCTGCCTATCCTGCAACGTCTCTTTGGGTATATTGAGCAACCTCCTCCTACCATGGATTATTCCCTGGCTGAGCGCACTTTTGGATATGTAAGTTGATGTCTATCTATCGTTAGTAGACTTTAAAAACAGTGGCGTGGTTGCTTTCTGACATCTGTTGACATTCGTGGAGTGGGAGGAGGAGAGTATATAGGCTATTAAGGCGCTGCCAGAATAGATCGTCTTAGATAATAGGATTAATCGTCTTTGTAGTGTCGGGATGGATAGCAAAGGATTTGAGTGCTAATTCGTTGTCGAGGATGCTCTTGATCTGCCGGACCTACATAGAGACACTAAGTTAGTAAAGAGAATACACTAAATACAAATATAAGAGTATAGTAAATACCTGAGTCCCCCATCGCGTTAGAACTGTTGCAATAAGGGCTTTGACCTTACTAGTATTTGACCTTTGGATGTCGCGGAACAAAGCCAATTGCTTCCCTGAGCTAGCAAAGAAAGCTATAACCTTAGCAAGAAGCTTGAAAAAGTCACGGAGAGCTGAAGGGATAACCTCCTTATTGCCGTCTTTGTTTAGATCAAGGAGATCCTTGATAATAAGCTGTAAGCCGTGAGAATCACAAGGGACTGAGTGGACGTGTTCCAGCCCTGGGGTGGAGTGGATACAGGCCCAAAGTGAGCGCTGAGTATCGCAAGTATCCGTAGCAAAGGATGACCACTTCTCTACCCGGTCCTTGGTTAATTCCTTGACGATATTGTAGATATGGCGGAGTGACTATTGGGCTGATGCTGTAACACCTCCAATCTCACTAGTTTTCCAATAGTAAGCTTGTCCCTTGGCCATAACTATGATGTTTTCGACGCGAGCTCTTGAAACGTTGGAAGACCCATCAGATACTATTCCAATATAAGAAGACTTATCAATTACCTCCTGAACTTCCTCCTTAACCTGGTCGTAGTAGTGATTCAAGAGCTTATTAGCTAGCTTTTTAGGATTAGGAACCTTAAAGTCAAGAGCTTTAAAGAACTCTATCCATTCAGGAGTCTGGAACGTCGAAAAGGCAATTGTTGATGTATATACTGCCTTGGCAAATAGCTGTTCACGGTTTTGCTTACGTGGACTATTGAACAGGGAGGCAATAGACACTGTAGCAGCTCTATTCCTCGTCTCCCTATCCAATTTAGCCCTGGCGTGGAAGCTAGGAGTCTGCTTGCCTGTCTCCTGAAGGTGATTCTGGTATTGGTCGCAAGTAACCATATGTGGCTGACAGAATTGGGTGGTATTCCAGGCCTTATTCATCCCACAGTAAGAACAGACAGCCCGATCGTGTTGACCAGGGACCTTAATTCGCCGAAAGACTATTAAAGCCTCCTGATTCTCCCGTGGATTGATTCTAAAGGCCATTGGATTGAAGTRGTATRRGTAGTTGGAGTRGTAAAARGTTGTTGTTCTGGAGAAAAGCAATGGGCCTAGGAGATTTTGGTATTACCTAATAAAAGCTAAGCCTAATATAGTATACGTTAGTCCTAATGCGGCTAGTTTTATCACGTGGTACAATTACATTATAATAGCCCAAATCGCACGTTATTATAGTATAATCACTAAATGGGCAAATTATATATAAAGGCCGTTAGACTCTAACGGCCTTAGGTAAGCAACCTTACGCGGTGTTTTTTGTGAATAACGCCACATCACTTTCGGCATCAGCCACACTTTATGCACGAGTTATTGGCCGAGATGCTAATCTTCAATCACTACCTTACGTATATGTAGTACTGTATTCACACAAGATTCAACCATCTCGCCCGACAGATCCATGACTCCCAGATATCCAACACATCTCTATTACGGTCGCTCCGCCAGCTGGCTACAATGAGTGGGCGACTTCTATCAGCAAGCCTTCGGCCGTTGGGCCGGAGAGTTCGAGTCAACCCCCAAGCAGCGCGTCAGTCCCACCATCGCGCGACTTCTTCTGCCGGTGGACTTCTGAGATCAGGTTCGGATTCTGCTGTTCGGGCAGCGCGGCGACGGGCATGGCCCCCTGGTTACTTCCCATTTTCTAATGCGGTGGTGGTCCGAAATGCCTCCTTTGTTCGTATACTGCCAAACCTTCTGTTGAAGTTCGCCAGGATTCCGGCTTTGTTCGCGGGCATGACAATTACCGGTCTGGCATATGTACAATACCAAGCGACGCGTATGTTTTCCTCCTGATTAAACATGTTATATTGGATCCCTACTAAAGGCCATCTATAGAGGCGGGCAACTATGCACTCGATGTCTTCGGTCGGACGAAGGATACGGTTACTGAAGTTGCGGGTGGCATATTTGGCAGTGCCAAAGATATCGCAGATCAAACCCGGAAGGGATGGGAAAATTCCAAAGAGCAGGTAGAGCTGCCTGAGTGGATGCAGAAGATATTACGCATTCATGAAGAAATTGGAGAACCGCGAAGTGATAGCGGCGGTGAGGGCGGCGGTGGACAAGGCCCAGGAGGTGAACCGCCCAAGCAGTCCAGAATGGGGACAGCAGCTGCAGGGGCCACTGCAGCCGCGTATGGATATGATCAATCGGAAGAGGAAGATCTAGGCGCAGACGAGGACGTAGCAAAGGATGATCAAATGATGGTGTTGACCAAGAAGATGATTGAGATTCGAAGCATACTTCAGACAGTCGGCCAGTCGAATGCCTTGACCCTACCGTCAATCGTGGTCATTGGTTCCCAATCGTCCGGAAAGAGCTCCGTCTTGGAAGCAATTGTTGGGCACGAATTTCTACCAAAGGGATCGAATATGATCACCAGGCGGCCAATTGAGCTCACCCTTGTCAATACTCCTAGTGCTCAAGCCGAATATGGAGAATTCCCAGCACTAGGCCTTGGGAAAATCACAGATTTCTCGCATATCCAGCGGACTTTGACGGAGCTCAACCTGGCAGTGCCGGAATCTGAATGTGTCTCAGATGACCCTATCCAACTCACCATTTCCTCCCCAAACGTCCCAGACTTGTCCCTTATCGATCTACCTGGATATATTCAGGTTGTAGGGCACGATCAGCCTGCCGAATTGAAGCAGAAGATTGCTGATCTATGCGATAAATATATTCAACCCCCGAATGTGATCCTGGCAATTTCAGCTGCGGATGTTGATCTTGCGAACTCCACAGCCCTGAGGGCTAGCAGGCGAGTAGATCCAAGGGGAGAAAGAACCATTGGAGTCGTGACCAAAATGGACCTTGTTGATCCTAGAAGAGGAGCATCAATTCTAAACGACCGAAAGTACCCATTACGGCTTGGCTATGTTGGCGTCATCCCACGAGTACCTGCACAATCGACAAGTTTGTTCAAGAAGGGCAGCGGAAGTATAGCATCGGCAATTACCAGAAATGAGAATGCCTTCTTTTCAGCCCACCCGCTTGAGTACGGCGCTGAATCTGGGCTAAGCGTCGGAACAACCACCCTTCGCAAGAAGTTGATGCAAGTGCTCGAACAAACCATGTCAGCCAGTCTCCAGAGCACGAGTGATGCGATCCATCAGGAACTCGAAGAAGCCACTTACGAGTTCAAAGTCCAATACAACGACCGACCCCTCTCAGCAGAGTCCTACCTCGCCGAGAGCCTTGATGCTTTCAAGCATTCGTTCAAAGAATTCACAGAAAATTTTGGCCGTCCCCAGGTCCGCGAGATGCTCAAGGAGGAACTGGATCAAAGGGTGCTAGATCTTCTTGCCGCGAAATACTGGAACAAGCCAGTTACAAACCTATTACCGGCACCATCGGATCCTGACTCACTTGCCGATCTTCCAAAGGCTGACCCAGAGTCCTTGTACTGGCATAGAAAACTAGATGGTTCTACTTCGGCGTTGACTAAGCTGGGTATTGGTCGCCTTGCAACAACCGTTGTCGCGAACGCAATCCAAACTAATGTGGATCGCCTAATTTCACAGAGCACATTCGCATCCCACCCCTTCGCCCGACAAGCAATCACTGAAGCTGCAGCCGGGATTCTCAATGAAAGGTTTTACAGTACCAGTGACCAGGTCGAAAATTGTATCAAGCCGTATAAATTTGAAATAGACGTCGAAGACGCAGAATGGGCTCGTGGGAGGGAGCACGCCGCTGGCGCCTTGAAGAACGAATTAACGGCAGTCGAAGATGCGGTCAAGGCGGTAGAAAAGACTGTTGGCGGGAAAAGAAAACTAAAAGATGTGATATCATTTGTGGACAAAGCGCGGAAAGGGGAGGTAATTGTAGAGGGCGGTGGAGCTAGTGGTGCTGGAGGTTTCAGCTCCGATCTCCTTCAAAAAGGTAATTTACAAGTCCCATCCAACTATAAAACAGATTCTGACGTTGCCAATTTTAGGCCAAGAAGCGCTTTTCCTCTCCGACCGAGCCACCCTCCTCAAATTCCGCCTTCAGGCCCTAAAGTCAACTCAATGCGCCTCAAAGTCAAACAAATACTACTGCCCTGAAATCTTCTTAGACGTCGTCTCCACCAAACTAGTGTCCACTGCTGTTCTATTTCTCAACGTTGAACTCCTCTCTGAATTTGTGTACCAGTTCCCTCGCGAACTCGATGTGAGGTTAGGACGCGGCTTGAGCCACGAAGAGGTGGAGCGCTTTGCGAGGGAAGACCCTAGGGTTAGAGCACACTTGGATGTTATTAAGAGAAAGGAGTTGCTTGAGTTAGTGCTAGAGAAGATGGAGGGCGTGAGGGATTTGGAGACTTCGAAGAGGGAGAGGGAGAGAGCCAGGAGGAAAAGAGCCGATGGTTCTGCGATTAAGGGAAATGAAGGCAAGGGCAGGAGTGGATGGGGTTTGTTTTGATATCGCCATTAGCTCGAGATGATATTGTAACGAGATTACGCATGGGAAAGGCGTTCGCTGCTTGATAGGGATTGGTGTTGGGATGCATAATTCTTGATATCATGTTGGTTGGTTTGGAGAATCCCCGCCCCGACTTTATCCACCTCAGTTTATATTATATAGTAGAATTATGAGAAAATGTATAAACTCTACTTTAGCTCATTTTCCCATCAGCTTTACAAGGATAGATAGCCAGGTAGAAGTTGCTTTATATTACACCTAATCGAGCCTTAAGAAGTCTGAAGATATGCACCTCACTTTCCTTGCGGCATTTCGCTCATTCAAGCAGGCTCGTGGATTTCAAGCTTATAGAACATGTAAGCAACCGCCTTACAGAACAGAGAGTGATCAGGTGCACAGCCAAGTAGGACAGGCAATTCGAGTAGACAGCCTTCCTCACCGACTATGTCGCCAACTCACAAAGCCCACAATAGGCGAACTTCGAAATAGAAAAACCTCAAAACCGTTGCAAAGGCAGGAAAAGGAAGCAAAAATATTATAGCCAAAAAGATATTATTATATAACCAGGAAGCAAAAGAGTTCGGCCCGGTCGATTGCCTACATCTCTTGTCGAATTTTTGTCGTTGTCGTGTTTTGTCGCTTTTGCCCAATCGATCTTCTCCAGAAGGCAATTTGACCTGAACCACTTAGCCAAGCGGCCGCCTTTTGTCTTCCTTAAACACAAAATCGCCTATCTTGATTTATATAGCTGTAGGCCGGAGGGAAGGGCATAGGTATGTGACTAGCCCATGCAATTATGTACATGGCAGATGCGAGTGTGCTTCTAGCTACAGCCCCATTTACTCCTTGTTCCTCTTCTTTCTCCGCTCATCAATAAACAAGTATATACTTCGTACAAACTGCGCTATAATGAGACCCGAAACTTCAACCTCTCAAACAGGTTTAAGCTAATAAACCTCTACCCCTTTGGAAAAAGTACACATATGTCTTGAGGTTTCTTGTAAATTGTAACACTATGCATCTTCTTCTTGTCCTAACTTGTCTTATAAATCTTACCATGGAGCCACGCCGCAATGGCGTAATCCAGGAGGTCACGAATTCCATGCTTCCCCTTTGCATCAAAACGGGCGCAAAATACTTCTGAAGCCTGTGTAATAGGAAACTTGGAAGATAGTTGACTTACGGCCTTGTATTATGCCTATATTAGAAGATCAAATTTAATAGTGACGAAGGCCAGCAGACCAGATTTTTAAACGGCTAAAATGCCGCAGTTCTCGTTTGGGCATACTACTACATCCACGGGTATCCAGTCGCCATCCCATATAGACCAATCCAAGTAGATACAAGAAACTAAACATACATAATACACATAGACTTACAAGTCTTAGGTGTAGCCCCTATCTTGCGTGCACTGCACTGTGACCTCCCACTTCAGCCCTGAACCACTCCCATACCCACCGCCAAGACGATTCCTAACGAGGACTGTAATTCTCTCCTTCAATTTCTGCATCTGGATATCGTCACCCCGGACAACGAGCTTCAAGTTCGCCATGCAGAGACCGAAATGCACCTGCCAGAACCGCGCTTCCTCCACAGATGTGATAATTGGATCTCTGCCGATCTCCCGCATCACATCACGAACGCCTTGGCCGCTGTACGACATGAGTAGCATGAGACCCTGTGTAATGGCGAGGCGGGTCCCCAGGAATAACATGCTGGCTGCAATCAGAGTGCAAAGGAGACGGTCCAGCCACAGATACATTTTGATACTTAGTAGCGGTAAGAGAAACATGATTGCGCTGCAAGAGAGTGTTAGGAAATGGGATGGGTTAGAGAGAACGCTAGGAAGAGAAGAAATATAGACGAAACGCATGGCTTTTCCTATTCTTGCGTGGTTTTTGAGCCCAATTGCCGATATTAGCGTGCCGATAATTGAGAGAAGTGCAGCGGAATCGACGCTTCCCGGTGATATCCTCTGGTGAGAATGCGGGTGGTGGGGGGTATGAGAGCCTATGGATTCGAGGGCGTGCTTAATATTGTGGGAAATGAGATCGAAGCTCATAAAGAGGAGGAAGACGGACATGGCGAATCCGGCGAGGACTTCTGCACGCTGCAGACCGAACGGATGGCGAATGGAGGATCGTTTCCACACCTCGAAGTTGCAGAATACGTCCACTACCACACAGATTGTTGCCGATATCGCATCGAAGAATACGAGATGAGAGAGGGCGGTAAGTGCAAGGGAGTTAGCAGAAGAATACAGCACATATGCTGCAATCAACGCATGACACCCGCACCAAACTATCCGCGTTGTTTGTTCTTTCGACATGCTGTGCCACGCCTCCTTGAATGTGGGTATCGGGAGAGAGGCAGGTAGGGTGAGGGGCGCACGAGGTGGTGGCTCTAGGAAGATTTGATGCTGCGTAGACACACTGCTGTGTTTGTACCTATGACCTCTACGCTGGCCCATATTCTTTTGCCGCCCGTTAGCATACATTTTTTGCGGTGATAGAAAACCGTATTCATTGTTTGGTGATTGCCCTACTGATTTAGCGACTGCTGGAGTATCACTGATTGTTTGTGTCTGGAAGTTAAAAGGGTTGCGAGCCCCCCCGCTGGAGGGCGGCCGTCCCTGTCCCATGGTCGTATTGCTCCCACTGCTCCCAGAGGGCTGCATTGGAGAGCCCATTGACCCGAAGCGCCCTGGAAAAGTATCGGTCAATGGCGACAGGGTGTTGCGATCGAATGGAACATTCGAATAGCCATGTCGATCGGCACCACCAATCCCCAGACCATCCGCTTCCTCACGAATTGGAGTTGGCGGAGTAGGAGTCCGCGGTGGAGCGGGTATCGGCAGGCTCGAAGCCATTATTGCTGTCTATCGGGGACGAGGAATCATCAAGTCTGATTATGATTCTGATTGCGGAGGGAGTGGAACGTGGAGGAGGTGGGCGGTGGGGGAGATGGTGGAGATGGTGTAAGTGTAAGTGTCCTGAATCCTGAGGAATCAATTGAACGACCAGCATCCGGAGTACGAAGTCCGCCGAATGGAGATGATTAAGCGACCGCAACGACCAACTCTATTTCAATAACACCTCGTCAACATCAAGCCCCTTTTACCATGTATCAGCGTCACAACTGTCCTTCCAGCCTCAACACTCTTTATTTTACAGGATTGAAGTTGTACAATCTCAACTAGTCGAGGAAGCTTTGGAATTTCCAATATCTCTTGTCTTGATAATATTCACCACGAGCTGAGCTGTCAAGCTAGACCGCCCAATCAAACAGCTTCTATCTAATCTACCTAAGCTAGATTTGCGGTACTTCGTACAAGTTTGAACGCGACTCACTTGAGAGCCCCGACACTTCAACACTTCAACACCTCACAACTCGGTATCCTGAGTTGACCAATCTGCGATCATAATTATTAGGCCCCATTAAACTCAAAGGTTTCTGTACTTCAGGATACTTTTCTAGCATATCGTATCCTAACGTCACGGAGTTCTGGCCATCGCCAAGGCTTGCCGCCCTTCCTCCGTCAACTTCCTCCGCCAACTTCCTCCATCAACTTCCTCCATCAACTGCCTCCACCAACTGCACCTGTCCCCTATCGCTAGATCACTTTAGATTCAGTGCGATACAAGGCTTTCTTTCCCTATTGGGCGTGCTTAGAAGGTAAGTGAAAATCGCTTGCCCACTCTATCCTCATTCATCAAACCCGACATACAACTAATTCCCATCCAGCAATCGCTTGAGCTTATCCTAGCTAACTTCTTTGGGTTTGACTTCTGCATCGGATTGGAGAATCTCACTATACTGTGAACTTCTTCCAACTCCTTTTAGCAACCTGATAACCACACTGCTCAAAGGCAACCTTCGCTGCAATAGGGTTTTTGTTCCAGCTTCAGCCTTCGCCTTGGACTTGAGCATGAATTCACTTTAAATATAATTGCGTTTAAAACTTTTTTGAAGATGGAGAGTTCAACATTCAACGATAGCGATCAGAACGGCTTTCATTCTGATCGTACTAGTCCACCACTGGATAATGGGCCCGATGAAAGCCGCGCAACAAATCACCAACGGAGTCTCTCTGGAGGCCTTCTTTCAAAGCTTTCCTTTCTGAGTACGAGCTTTGAGGATAGTCAACCTGCATCCGATCATGGCCCACTAAGTCCTGAATCCACTCCCGGAGATGACCAAACCTCTCCAAAAAAGGTCAGCCGAGCAATGGCGGTTGCGGTTCAGCAGCAAAAGACAAGAAGAAGAAAAGGCTCTCTGAGAAAAGCAGCACTTCTCGGGCGAGGTGCCCAAAGAGACAAGAAAGAGATCAAGATTCCTCCACTCGAGACCGGGTATCAGCCCATGTTTAGAGGCGGCATAGCCCTCAGTCCAACTTCACCAGAGGAAGCAACTCCAGCTACCAGCTTCGGCCTGGGGATATCTGATACAATGCATCGCCCTTCCACAGACGGATATGGCGGTGAAACTCACGATCCCCTTCTGTCACCCATAAAGACACTTCCGATGGGTACTGAGGACCACCATATTACGTCCCCGACTTCGGCGACGAGTCCCACTTTGACATACACCTCGACTACTGACGAGGATGACATTCTCAGTATCCCAACCCACAGTGCTCCTAATGGTCGGGGTGGCCCCTTGAACTCTTCTGGGTCAGACTCTTATTTCCCCAAGGGGGCTGGGTCGCTTACCCGCCGGCGCTCCTCCCAGAAAGCGAAATCACCCCTATCAATCGGGGGTCTTGCTGCAAACCCTCTTCCTATTCCTGACGATGAGTGGGACTATTCGGAGACCGAATGGTGGGGATGGGTCGTCTTGATCGTGACATGGCTTGTGTTCGTCACCGGAATGGGCTCTTGCCTGGAGGTGTGGAGCTGGGCGTGGGATGTTGGAGAAACTCCATACGCTCCGCCTGAGCTAGAAGACGATCCTACTCTTCCCATCGTGGGATACTATCCTGCCTTGATCATTTTGACGGCAGTGATGGCATGGGTATGGGTTGTTGTGGCATGGGTGGGGATGAAGTACTTCCGTCACGCGAAGATAAGTGGTGATTAGTTGTATATATAAAAACACAATTTCACGTTCGGAGAGAGTTCCCAACAGACCTCACGACAGATCGGAACTTAGCGAGTTTCGCCCACCAACGCGTCCTCCTCGTCTACAGTATTTTATTTTCTCGACGCGCCGATCTTGACAATCCAAGCTCACCATTTACACAACCTTCCACATCATCAAGAGAACAACCCCTTGAAGACGTACTTGTTCTTCCAGCTTGAAGCAAATCATTCCAAAGCTGGGATAACAATAAGTTCATCCAACTAGGGGCGCATACTTCCATCGACGTGTCCACCCCCTCCCCCCTCCTACAAGATATCTTTTCCTGACGCGGTCTTGGTAACTCAAGCTCACCATTCACAAGACCTCCCACCACCTCAGACAAACAACCCCCTAGAGTCATATGTGTTCTTTCAGCTTGAGGCAAATCATTCCAGAGCTGGAATAACAATAAGTTCATCGATCTCAGCACATAACCTGCCACCGACGCGTCATCCCCTTCTATAAGATTTGTCCTTCCGACACGATCTTGACAATTGCAACTTACCAATTACAAGATCGCCCACATCATCAGGAGGACAGCTCCTTGATGACATAGTTATTTGTTCAGTTCCAACCCAATCAGGCTCAAGTAGCACTAGTAGTAAGTTCATCAATCTCAGCACAATATCCCATATCTGTTCTCCTCTAAGTTCAAACCAACGCAGAAGTTATGGCGTCTTCCAACGACGGTGTCCACGACGCCGCCTCCCACCGTAGTGACTCCTTGGATAGTGATAGTGACGATTGCATGACCATTAACGGCGAGAACTGGGCGGCCACTGACGGTAATGAGTATATGTCCATGAACGTTGACGGTAACTCCGACGTTGACGATAACTCCGACGTTGGCAGCGGTCATGCCTCTGACAATGCGAGCGTAGACGACCTTGACATGGAGAGCGACAATGCCTCTGACGATGCCTCTGACGATGCCTCCGACGATGCGGCTGACCGGAGTGACGGGAGTGATGAAGGATCCCAGAACGAGAGCGATGAGAATGCGGAGGAAGATGATGGGTACTACTTCAAGCCTGACGAGGAGGTGGAGAACGCGAATTCAAGTAAGTCCTGAGCTATTATATAGTCATGTTGGTTTGACCTAACAGCCTCAGTTCCTATCAGCACTCTCGTGTCTCTGCCAACTGGAACAGATCCCACTGTTCACCCTCCTGAATTCCTATCTGGCTTTGACATGCTCCCTCTGGAACTTGTGATGGATATCGGAAATGAAGTGTTCACCCTAGAACCAAAGAAAGTCCGGGCTATATGGGATGGACAGCAAGCCGAATGGACCTACCGCACAAGATGCCCACCTAACACCATCCCTGTTGCAGTATTGAGCTATCTCTCTAGACAAGCTGATATCCCTGCTGCTCTTAACGTCCTGGTTGACGCGCCCGCCCTATCCGAAGCCCTACAGCCATATCCATACTTCGACTACAGCCAGGACACGCTTGTGTTGGAGTACAACCAGTGTGGAAACAGCCCGGCTCATGTGGCTGAGCACACTGTTGCATTCTGCCGCGCAATCAGAGCTCTATGCAGATCACCAGCTGCTCGACGTGGACTGAAGTTTCTCAAGATGGTGTACTGCCCCTCCAACACTCAGGCTTGCGAGTTGGTGCAGAAGCTCGGAAACAGGCTGAGAGCCTTGGAACTTGTCACGATGGAGAGCCACGACCATTACTGCTCGGAGAGCGCTGCGCATGATATCTGCTATGATTATGATATGATGATGTTGCAAGATGAAGTTTACAATGAGCAATTGGAGGGCTATCCGTTTGAGGTTGTTCTTCTCGATTGCAACGGAGATCGAGTTACAGCAACTTAAAGGCGATGTGATTACTTGAGAGCTCTTTGCATTTTAACACGACAGGACGTTGCAGGCTATTACAATGGATTTGGGACAGGAGTTCAGGGGAGGTTGCTATTTGGAGACGAACTGGATGGAGCATCGGCGTATCGGCGCGTCATCTGACTACACGACTGCAGTGAGATGAAAATACATGACTGCAGTGATTTGCATGAAGCAATTGCTACACCCTTGGCATGGATTGCCTATAACACTTTGCCACAAGAAATAACACGAGCTATCTTGCTAATCTTTGCTCAATGTGAAAATAATGTGAACATATGTGACCAGCCGCCCCACCGGCCTTTGCTCTCCTCACAAAAGACATAGCCATGGAAATATGACCTCCTTTAAGCTCCTATAGGCCCTTTGACTAAAGGAGATTTGATACAATTACTTCAGTTCCAACCTCAACCCCCCCTTGATATAATAAAATTGTAACCACTACAAACCCATACAAAATGATACGAAGCAATCTGAAAATGTAGAGGGAACCACCTGCCGGCATTCTTGCTACAAGTACAGTAGAAAATCTGCAGGAGAAAAAAAAAGTAATAGATGAGAAGCAATAAGAGACGAGCTTGAGCTCCCTTACAGAACAGCGGGGGGGGACAGCTGCACTCCCGGCGCCTCAACGGCCTAGGTTGTCAGTCTGTGCCCTCTACCTGCTTTAAAAATAAAATTTTAAAAACTGCTCACTTTCCCGTCACGCATTACCGGGTACGCAGCGCGTACCATGCAATGGCAATCATCATATTTTTTATTAAAAAAAGAGGTGTGTGCTGTACATACCTACCTTACCTACCGTTGCAAGGTAGCTACAGCACACAGACACTCGGCAGGGCACGGCACAAGGGAAAATCCCCAGTTGCTCCTCTGGTCACGAGGGGGGCATCCAAGCGCCTCGTGACGTCAACGTGACCTCACGAACAACGCCCATGGCGTGTTGCCCGCGTTGCTATTTGCTTGGGAACGGCAATAATGCGTTGCGCGCATCTGAGACAATGCGGGCTGGGCTGTGGGCTCTGGGCTTCGTTTCCGCGTGGCGTGGCTTGAGGGAGAGAGGGAGAGAGCGCTGGTGGGTTTGCGGGGGAGGAGAATGGAGGAGGGAAGACGGTGAGGGGTGCATGTTGGTGGCTTTGTGGTTAGGTATTCGAGCGATAATAAATGATGGGGATTGGGATGGGGATGGGGATATGAGTGGAGAGAGTGGGTAGAGAGTGGATATTTCAGTATGAAAGAAAGAGAAAGAGAAGAAAAAAAGGAAATTGGGGAGGAGCTATGCAGAAGAGAAAGAGCTTGCTTGCTAGAAGCTTTGTTTCGTTTCGTTGGGGGGGGGGGGGGGGGACGCCTCTATTTCGAATATGTATCTTCAAAGCAGCATTTCGCATTTAATGTTATTCCCGTTGTATTTGAAAACGGGAGCTGGTGCTTTGATACCCTGATCAAAGCCTCGATTACCGTTTACGGAGCTGAGATTTGTCATGTGGAATGTTGGGATACTGCGTGGCCGCGGCAAGCAAAGAAGCAGAAGCAGAAGCAGAAGCAGAAGCAGAAAGGCAGGCTAAAGCAGACTACGCAGCTGACCCGAGTAGAGCCCGAGTGGAGTTCAAGTATCGTGGTTTGAGCGACGACGGGCGCGGCGCTTCTGTCGGCGGCTGTGGATGCAGATGCAGACTTGTGGGCTTTGTTCGGGGGGGGTCTAGAAACGCCGTAGAAGGGACGTCGGCTGGGCTAGCCATTGCTTACAGTACTACTCCGTAGGTAAGGAACTCGTACGAAGTTTACGGGGCGACTAATTATTGAAATTTTGGAATTGGATGGGGCTTTGGGCGTTGAGGTCTGGAGTCTGGAGTCTGGAGTCTGGAGTTCTGGAGTAATTGGGGGGCGGAAGTCTGGAGTGCAGTCTGGAGTGAAGTCTGGAGGGGTTCTGGAGACTCCGAGAGCGAGAGAGATACGCTATGAGAAGTGATAGGGATCTGGGCTCTCGGGGATGTACGAAAGTGCTGTTATTCCAGAGGCTACTCCGTATGAGGGACTGCTATACTGGATGCTGTACAGAGTATCTGACTTTTAGCTCTGGACCCGGCTTATTAAGCTTCTTCGGTACCTACTGTAGGTACTCATACTCCGTACGTACTGTACTACGTACTGCGTACTCGAATAGTACCTTCTGTGAAACAGGAACATGAGCCTGGCTGGGACTTCTAGAGTATCGACAGCAACACCGCTGCGTAGATCAATCCATCAACACGAGCAAACACGAACACAGACACAGACACAAACACAAACACACAACCCGAACTCCAGCACAGTACCACGCGACCGGTATGTCGATTCTCAAATGGCACGCTCCCCTCGTCCCGTGTTCTTCCCTTTCGTCGAGTTCTGAGAGGCTCCGTCCTCCGTCAACTGGCACTGCATCGGGACGCAACATGCCCGCGTGCACCACGACCAAACCACTGGATCGGCCTTGTTGACGCCTCTGACGAGTCTGGCGAGCTTCTATCAATACTCGAGGAATAGGAAGCCGTCGTGTGGCTCGGTGGCCGTTTCAACTCTCAAGCCACACTGCGATACGGCCCTGGGCGATAGGCTATACTCCGTACGGTATAGGTAAGTACTGTACGCTATACACTGCACCCTACACGCTACACAACGCCACACGCCACCATCCGGCCCCCCCATACGCTACGCCACGGCACTCGGTCGCACCAAGCGGCAACGACCGAAACGCCTAGAGGGCTAGAGGGCTAGTTGCTAGCTACTGCCCTACTAGCTACTCCGTACTCTGACGTTCTGAACGCAGAAGACAGCTGGAAACCACCGCCGCCAAAGCCACTCGCCTGGCGCCGGGCTCTTCTCGGTCGCGGAGCACCAAGAGCCTGGGCGCCAGTGGGGATAGCGGGCATGGTGGGTTATAGTGGGCACTATACACTCTCTCGGGATTCTAGTGACTTGCTCACCACTGCACGAGATCACGCATAGCTGGACCCGGTCGGCTGGTTTTGGTCTGTTTCCTACCTCATGACGCCGAATCGAGCATCTTGCGAATAGTGACGCCAGTGCTTCACGTGCTAGCTATTGGCCGTAGCTCGGATAATTTCAGTCAGGAGATGAGATGGGACGAGATGGGATGGGGTGGGATGCGCATATCACGGCAAAGAAGAAGAGAGTGCAACACATACAGCACACATACTACGTACGTACAGTACGAGAAAAGGAATATCAGTAGGAGTACTACGTACGTACGCAAGATGCAAATGCAAATGCATATGCGCTGCGCTGCGCTGCGTTTCGTCCAAAAGAGCTGCTTCAACTGCTCGACTTGCTGGATGTTTGATGTTTTGATGCTTGAAAGCTGTCAAACCTCCGCTGTGCCCGCACCTCCGCGACCCGCCCCAACCAACCCCAACCCGGCCCTATTGTGCATTATCTCGGAGCCTCTTCGGGGGGCCCCATACGAGTGCTAAAAGCCTAAGATATTAGATGACGGGCCGTACACGGAGGCAAAGTGCTAGAGGGGTGGGTTTTGGTTTGGGCTTTTCCTTCTCAATCGGAGATGAATTCTAAATGATTGCGTGTGCCATGCCATTGTGCCATGTGGGCGGCGATGGAGAACGCCGCCAGGGGATCATTGGATCGAATGGAGACAAAGATAGCCTCGGCCAAATATATTTTTTTGCAGGATCAGAGTGGATTATACTGTAGACGCGGGGGAGAGAGATGGTGGAAGTCTCCGTGCTTTGGTGCGAGTGCATACGGAAGTGCTGTGAAGCAGAATACAGTAATTAAGTGCTGTACAATTAAGACAGTCAAGTGCGGCTTCATTCTGATAGTGCAAAGCATCCTCTAATTCCTACTCCGTACACTTCGTATACTTCGTACTTACGGCACCATTCGCTCTCTGACTAATCCCCCTTTTTCCCTACGGAGTATCCCCCCCCCTCCCCCCTGCACCGAGCAAAAGGCCGAGAACAGGGGGCCCAGCGCAGTCTTCGATTTCTCCTTTCGTACATCCTCCAGAGTGGTGACGCCTACTTCCGGCATCTTGGTACTGTAAGTTTGGTAATTTTGGTACTATGTTACGTCCCCGACCCCCAGGACCTACGCCGTATGTGTGTCGCTATTTCCGGGTTCGAGGGCAATTGCTGCTTTGGATACAGTACAGTACAGTGCAGCACAGTAACTATTTACTCCGTATGGATGCGGACGGATGTGGCGTCTCGAACCGTGGGGCGCATGGCGAAATGGCAGTGGATTTTGCGAAAGACGCGCCGCACGAGTACCGTGACAAGCTTATGTACGGTGCCTGTACGTCGTGCGCCGGTAGCTCTGTGGCCTGTGTACTTTCTGTGTATACTGCTGTATCCCCGGACCGGACCGTACTGCGGTATCACGTATTATTAGGTGTGGTGTTGTGTTGTGTGGTGTTGTGCTGTGCGGTCAAATTCCAGTTCCAGCGCAGCGCAGTACAGTTGCTGTGTGCAGTTTACAGGCGCACTGTACTGCACTGCACTGCGCTGCACTTCACTTCAGGCGCGAGATGCAAGCAGCAAGAAAAAAAAATAAACCGCTCTGGCAGCGACCGACAGAAAAGTTCATGTCATGTGTATTCGGTCCGTTTTGCAAGGGGGGGGCCCCTACAAATAATCTTACGGCGGCGTACGGTGACGGTTTACGGTACTATCGTCGGGGCCCTCCTAGCGGCGAACCTTCCACGTACGAGGCGTTGCGAAGGCGTTGCGAAAGCGTCTACTCCGTAATTGATGCTCGATAGGCGAGCAGGTGTGGTGTACAGTAGTAGGGTGGTGGTTGTAGGGTTGTAGGGTGTAGCAGTAAGTACTTACGGAGTAGGCCCTGTAGGGAGCAGCGTCGCAAAGGCCAAGTCGAGGTCTGCGACCGCCACCACCAGAAAAGCTGGGGGTGGCGATATGGGCGACGGTGATGGCGACGGCCGGTATGGCGAGACGGCGGTGGTACTCCAGCATCCATCCGTACGGCCCAAATACGGGGTCTGGGGTCTGGGGGATGGGCGTGATTGAGGGGAATAATGGGGGGAGAGGGGATTTTGTAGGGGATTATTATGGGATTACTATGGGGTTGACCATTCGAGCATCAAATGGGGAGAGAGGGAAGATGGCAACTGGCAATTAGTATTGGGGATCGCAACATGGTACTTCGTACAGTACATGTACCTCGAGCCCTTCCCCTCCCCCTCCCCCTCCTCGTTGTCACCTGACCTCCACCAGAATGAGTAACGAACGAAGTAATGTCATGGTACGGAGTTAAACGAAGTGCTGACTGATTATTATTGCTCGATTAATTATTCGAGGTAATAATAGCGACGGGGAATTCGCCGACAGCGGGGAGGGGACAGGGGGGTAGGTGTAGGTGTAGCAGCAGGGAACGTCCTCCGTCAGACGCTCAGAAGTTAGAACATCCCAAAAGAAACCCAGGATCGAGCAGATCGAAGGTGGAGTGAAAAGATTCTCCAGACCGGGGGCTGCAACGCCCCTCCACACGCCACGGCTCCCCGGCAGCCACTAGCACCGCGAGTTAGCGCAGCTCTCCTTTGTTGGGTAGGGGAGGGGAGTCGCCGCAACCGTTGCCCTCGCGCAGGTTCGCCGAGCTGTCAACACTCAGAAGCCATCATCATCATCATACCACTGTACTGCAAATCATAAACATGGCACGAGCTGGCGCAGAGTTAGCTTAGGAACAGGACCCGTCCCCTAGCCTCGGCCTCCTCCTCC